GCCCGAATTCCGGATGAAGACAGATCTATCAATCGAAGCTCGAAAGTCTTCGGGCCTCGTCCCTACTCCTGCTAGGTTCTAATAATCTCCCCGGAGAGCGGCCCCTCCGATCCCCGGAGGGTGGAAACGGAAGTCATACCAATTAAGTGCCTGCTCCCCGAGCTAGGCTGGTCCCGGTCCTTGTTGATAGGCCTTCGAGAAGGTTTCACCCCCCCAGGGGAAGGCAAGGTCTGGTCTCTGCCCCAAGTTCAAGTTGATACGTCGGCAGGGACCGAAGGCCCTGATAACGATTACAATAGTGGGGGAAACAGTGTTTGATTATGCCGACGCATAAATCACATCCTCGCGATGGGGCGTAGTTCATGCCATCAAATTGTTTATGTACCTACGTACTTCGGCACTCGTTACCAGGCCATCAGGGTCGTGGTAGATCTTTACCTACCGTGGATGATTGAAATGACGGGCAAATCTGCCAAGCGCCCAATATTAATATTTTGTGCTAGGCACCAATCTAGGCCGTACCATATTTGAAAATTGAGCGGGCCAGGGCTAAACCAGAGAGCTACTCGGTCGGCACAAGAGTTTTAGGTTTGCCACTGGAGTCAATGTTGACAGCACCTCCACATCACCAGAAGCGGATCTTGGAAGTCAATTGGGCTAAATGGCCCATTCCCTAGATCATAGTTTGCTTCAGGATTACATATGTTATTGCAACCCAGCACATATATCAAAGCATAAGGACTTTTCAAGCATACAAAGTGGAGCAGTACAGCGATGCACATGAGTCCGCATGCTTTACACGTGGCTATTTTTAGGCTTTCTAGAGGAGGTGCAGTACCACTGTACCAGAGGTTGTTTGACCGGAGCCTCGGAATACTCATGTCCAAACGTTCCCTTGTCACTAGGCACCCGTTACGGAGGCAGTCGCCGGTTGTAAACCAACATGGGAAGCAGTTCACCTCAACGGCTTCCTGTTGAAGCGATGTCTCTCCCCCGGCAGTTCTAATTTGTGGCCAGAAAATTTGGGATAACGGCTCTCAAAAAACGAAGATCTAATTTACGCCACAATAGTAGGTGCAGGCGATCCTCTGCCCTCATTTTTGCAGTACCATAATTGCTTCTTTTGCGGAAGTAGATACCGGCTCGGGAGCCGGCCAAAAAAGCAAAGCAGCACTTCTATCCCGAAGCACACCACGGGAAGAAAATTTGCAAAATGGCCCAAAATGGGTGGTTTTGTTATGACCCCATCCCGATGTAGTAATTTGATGCGCGTTCTGATACTCGTTTAGCTTCGGCGACCTGGCACATCGCAATCTCAGCTACAGTTAGGAGCACCACTATCACTATCACAGTTTTACATGGCGTCCATACAGTAATGGCTGCCGCCATTATGTATACTGCAGGAGACCTGTCACTGTGTCTGCCTTTTGAGAAAAGAAGAAAACGTGCTGGGCTTTTGAGTGGTGTGCAATATGCTGCCTCAGCTGTGGCGGACTAATAAAATGATGTTATTCAGGACCCACATTTCTGCTTTGTTATTTCTCAGGTTTCATTACTCGTCGGTCAAGAAATCCACCAGGTCCATCAGTATCAAGCTTCATGAGACGGTCTAGATGGGGGGTGTTTTCCTGAATCGGTTTGGTTTCATGTCGCAATGCCGGACGGCTGATGACCCGGGTGTCACTTTTCTTTTCCGCCGCCAGCCCTCTCGGACGACAACAGTGCTTTTCTTGCCATTCGTAATAAAACCGTTACGATTTTGTTAGTCATCGAATCGACGATGACACGGTGACAAATGGCAGTCCTGCTCTGTACAGAGGTACAGAGTAGATGACCACCCACTCGATTGCTAGAAGTCTACTTTCGTCATCTAGGACATTGTGTCGCCATGGAGGGTGAGGATGGGGTTTGAAGGAAGTCTGCCCAATTATTATATGTAATAGAGCATGTAATGGATCTGCCTGTGCCGCCCAACTTTCAAGTGATATTGGAATTGTAGAGCTCTATTTGACCTCCGTGATTGATCTACCTATAGAATTATCCGACAATTTCCCCACAAGAAGAACAAAGGCAAGCTCCTCTGTGGCTAGTTTTGTGGGCGCACGTGTCTTGTTGTCTCTTTTTGTGTACTCTTCGGGTGCTATTGTGTAAAATGGGTTGTATATAAACCTTCTTTGCGGAATACTGCTTTGGTCTATCGTAGTCATCTTCAGTGGTTATCATAGGAATACTTCATATCTAGTGCGTCTTAAGTAATGCCAAAGTTTTGGAGTTGCATCTCACTTTAGAAGCACCGCTCACAGGATTAATTTTTCTTTTCAATATTCTGCTATTGCAGACATCCTAAATGGAACATGTCCAATTCATTTCCCCCTCACATTCTACTCCTATTTACAAAATTATAAGCTCATTGATCTAGCTTTCAAGTGATGCTTGAATCTTGATGGCAAATCTTGATGGCAATGTGCAAAGTATCTAAGATGGGATGCCATATACGTTAGAATAAAAATTTATATCATTGTGTACTTGAACCGCCTGGAGCAACCATTTTGATGTACCGAATAGTCCAGGGCTATAATTCCTGAGCTGATGCAATTGCAATATCCTCGGCCAATTCCAGCATAGGGACGGGTAATAGTCTCTCTGTCAATCACACGAAAACTTTGTAGTTTTTATCTTTATCTTGAGCGTTTGATATGTTAATCATGTCCTTTTCCTAGCAGTTCATAATAACTATATATATATTAGTATATATGGTTGAGTGGGAACGATGCTTGAAATTAAAACAGTGCTTGAAATGAGTAAAGTAGAGCAGAGTAATGTAATAGTCGTTACAGAGTTACTCGGAGTGACTGAGTAATTCGTTAAAATACCGAATTAAAACATTATTATCAATTTATGCCAGATAAGTGTATTTCTACGTAGCAGATACTATAGAACTTGAATAATTAAAATTATAATTTACTCTCTCCCCTAAGCTTTATATGTTATTTCTTAATACACAATACGAGAGACAGTTTTCCAGTGTCAATATACCCAACTCCTTGAGTATCTGAGTGAGGTGAATCTGCAATCCTTAGCCACCCTTCTCCATAAAATATGCAGTCGTAACCAGATATGCACCTTCACTTTGAAAAGTGCAGAGGATGGGTGAGCTTATTTAGAGGTTACGAATATTCTCTCGTCCAATGACAGTATGGAGGCGATTATCGGCCGCTATTAATTACATTACGCGGAGCATCTGTTGCTAGTTGTGCTCTAGGAAGAATGTAGGGTGTTACTATAATCAATAGCTAGAAGGGATGTATACCGACCTGCAGTGGTTTAATGAATTACTCAGTTACTGTGAGTAACTCCGGGTAGAGTAGAGTAAGTACCCGTTACTCTACTCTACTCTACTCATTTCAACCCCTGCCAACGTAGTTCATATTATTAAAAGATAGATGCGATTGAGGATATTATTGATTACTTGATTTGGTTATACCTCAATGTGCCCATACGGTATTTAGATTTGTATGTACTACTAAATATTACGGTATATAAAGTATACAAGAGCTCGGCACCTATTTAATATCAACAACGCTGGCAAATCTGACGTCGAAGGTAGTATTGCAATAGTTTCATCTTCCAATCTATCATGTACACTTCTATAGGGGTCTTCATGTGGTATGATTTTTTTGAAAGTGAACTCACTGCAAAGGTCAAGAATGCTATCGAAGCTATTTTATATCTATTTTACATGAATTCACTAGCTGTTCTCAAATTATATGGGTTAATATCTGGCCCACATGTATTTCTTTCCCTTTAGCGGCGCGAAATTGCTGATTCCCAAAAAATAAAATTATTAATTTACCTTTCTCTTTTTAATTCCTAAAAAATTACCGAAAGACGAAAATAGCAAAAGAGTTCATTGTCCACAGCCAATTAATCTCTGCTTCGTAGTTGTCGCTAGACTTAGTTATATTTCTCTCCGATATGAGTGTCGTGTGATACTCGTAGGGAGTATCTTAAAGCTAGGTTGTCGTTAAGTGGGGTTTGTTTATTTTGGATATATATACCAGTGGGAGCTGGTAGCGAGGTTATATAGGCTGACCACCTAGTAGGGTAATAGAATTCCCGGTGCCGGCTTATAGGGTAGAAAAGATGTGAGGTGTGAAGGCATTTTGAGTGGGATAGTTACTGCGACCTATTGATAGCTATGTAAACTGGTAGACTGAGGCATAGGGTTTATCGAGATTCTAAGGCTATAGCCAAAATACAACGGCTCTTTGTAGGTTCTAGTTTGTGTAGTGATGGGAAGAGCGCTTACCACCCCTCCTACATTGCCCTAGTATAACATAGATCAACGAAATATGTTAAGACAGTCAAGATATCAAAACTATACCAAAGAATAACTTGAAGCTACTTGACTTATTCTCCATTGCCACCTCCTAAGCCATGTCAGTAATTGCAGATATTAAACGGAACGCTAATCTTGTAGCAATATAACAATGCCGTATACCAAGTTTTAAAATTGGCCCATATGAGGTTATATACCTATTTATAATTTACTATCTACCCGCAACAATATTGTTAAAATGACGACGGCAATTCCTCAAGATCTTGCTCGGAGTGAATTTTCATACCAACGTTCTTCATAATCATACTCGCCAAAGGTACATACATCTCTCACTACCTACCTGCCAATATCATACATGTTTACGTAGGTAAGCAGTTTAGACTTTGTTGCGGCAATTCCGGATTTTGGGCTGCATCATCTAACCTTTTAGCAACTACATAGTCTAGGGGCTAGTATATTTTACAATAAAATCGGCTCACACCCGTTTTTTCCCCTAGGATCGAGTTTGTTGTTACAACCATATATACCTTTGTTTCCTAGGTGCTTCCCATTTTCTTACCTACTTAGGTAGTCACCATCATTGTCGCCACCACCGTTGGGCCATCGAAAAGGAGAAAGAAAGCGAAACAGCAGGAGTAGCTATAAAAGTGACGACTCGAAAATGACATACAGTATATCAGACAGCTACAACACGAGATTCAACATTCCAAAACCTGATTTTCCTTTCACTGTTGGCAAGCAGCTTCAGGTTCGTCCCCACATACCTCCGCCACCTCCGAGAAATCGTTTTAGCGCCTTCTTAGAAAATGACAGACGTCATGAGAGGGATTTCATCGATCCAGTTCAACGTTGCCTGCTACACCCTCCTGTACTAGGTCCCAGGGGTGGACTCGACTCTGGTGTCACAGAGTTAGAAATAGTCAGGTTAGTCCGGGCAGGGGATGGGCATGCTGCACAGCTACTTGCTGTTAGAGTGCTAACATCAACCAACGGCTTGCTGCCCGATATGAACCTATTAGCCAAGCTGTATGACCCGCTTTATTTCGATCACGAGCAAGACGACGTAGACCCATTTCTCGCCGTCTATCGTGCGCATACGCGTGAGTGTGCAGTCTATAAGAAGGTTGCGGATCTTCAGGGAAGCGTCATACCGAAATTCTACGGATCATTCACGTTATCACTACCTGTCAGCCAGACGTATACCCGCGAGGTTAGATTAATTCTCATGGAAATAGTACCAGGACTCTCTATGGACCACCTGAGCCCCTCGAATTTCAAGAAATCGGAACGCCAAGCGATCATGAAATCAATTATCGATTCTGAGACGGCTCTGTATAACCGCGATATAAACGACCGCGATATCCATCCTCGTAACATACTAGTTGTCTCCGAGGAGTCTAATCGTGATGAAAAAGTCGTTGTCGTGGACTTCGGATCGGCATGGACCAGTCGCTCTAAGTATCCAGATCGGGAGCAGGGCTCGCTTCCTAGAGTTCCGATCTCACCGTTACTACGCTGGATTGTCCCGCCCGAAGAATTGAAACCATGGATCGATTGGGATTGGAAGGTGTGGGTGGAGCGACAGTATGAACATACCAAAGATTCCATAACAGAGTATATGCAACGTCGGTGGGCTGGAGGAATATTTGAGGGGCCGGAGGCATAGAGGCAGCGAGTTGGATAGCGTCGATAAAGACTGAACGTCGATTGCTTGTGCGGTGAGTGTATTTATTATTCATGAGGCACAGAATCGCACCTCTTCTAATTACCGTCGCGGGGTTTTTGGAGATCACCATGAGTAATAAATGAAGGTAGATGAGCTATTCTATATATTTGCCTTCTGCCATGCCAAAAGGAACCGTCAGTGAACCTTACCCTTTGGATTTCGAAGGAGCTCGCTGCTCTGTCATTTCTCAGGCCATCCTTGGGCTTGTTGCAAGTGACCAGGGGAGAGAAGGATGCACAACTTAAAAGAGAGCGGAGAAGATATAGCTACGTCATAAGGGCTAGACGCAGTAGCAGGATTAATTTGTACCCGACAATCTCCCACTCTAAACGCAACCTTGAATGGCTTAGTCTAACACTGTAATAAAGCGTAATATTATAAATCGCAGTATTAGGTCGTAGTAATGCCTCTATTTTTAGCCCCACTATAGCAAGGTACTTAATATCTTTATTGATTAACCTCTACAAAATAACAATCTATATATACTCTTGCCACACCTCTCTTACATCCTCGTGTCTTTGTTCAGTAGCGCTAGCGAGAGGGGATTGTTCAGTCGTACTTAATAAGTCTCGTCGATTAGATATACTCTGTGCAGAAAAGCCTCACTTCTGTACTAGAGCAAGCCGCTCTTCGGGGGGGGCATGGGTCTTCCATCCTACTATAGTAGATAGTTTAAAAAAATTCAATCAAGTTGTACATAGAGGACCGTGAAATGTGCTACTGAAAGTGGGAAACTGGCCTTTTATACCGCCCACATTCCTCACCGACTCACCCACTCACCTGGTCGCGCGAATATCTCACCAAAATTGAAGTATTCAAGTCATGTAAATGGAGGGTAAGGGCGGCGAGGCTCACCCGCTAGGCTGAATAGCACCGATCGAACTATTAAACTAAGAAAGCCTCCGATCGGCAGATTAGTAGTTGGGGATGGCTACCAGCGAATACCTGCTGTTGTATTTTTTTGGGGGGGGNGGGTGATTTTTATTGTCAATATTGTATCCATTTACCCCCCGTATTAGGCAAAGAGGTGGAAGAACAGGCACTTACTTGCAAGACATATGAAACTTAAATCTGAGACCTCAAAATATTTATATATATATCAGGCTTGGTATCAAAAATAATTCGGTTCACTGCGGGTAAAAACTACCCAAAACAACGCTAACGCTAACATGCAAAAAACCGTCCTATCCTACAATGACTAAAACCAGCCATATACCCAATATCATACATTAACATGCTACGCTTCCTCCCAACGATAGCGTAAATCATCAAAGCCCATGGTATCATATTCCGTAAAATAGAACCGTGCAAATGTCACACGAGCTGCGCTCCTTTTCCAAGTGTCATCTGGCTTAGACTCATAGTCCGTGGTGCGGTTTTCGGCGGTCCAGACGCGCCCATTACATCGCCGAAAGTATCGTCTCCAAAAGGCCCTCTCTCCTCAGCAGGAGTTTGGAATATCTCCTCGGCCCCATATTGTGCTTCGTCATCGCTGCTATCATGTTCGAATGAGGAATAGGTATCGGTTGGCATAGTAGGTTCGGTTATGCGTACTACTGCGGTGTGATTTGAAACCGGAGAGCGTATGGCGTGGAGCTGCTCCTGGAGATTATGTACTAAGACTTCAAGCTGCTGTCGAGCACTTTGCTCGGCTAATATCAGGTTGGTAAGATAAGTAAAATGTTCTGCTGTAAAACTGCCATCTTTGGGCATTGTAGGTGAATCAGAAGGTAGACCACGGATTGTGGCTGAGGTAGAGAGTGGACGTGCAGTGCTCTGTGATGTGCGGAGGAGTGCATTAGAAGTTGGTAAAGTTGACAGAGGAAAAGTTTCAAGGGAGGGATCGCGTGAGGTGTTGGTGTTGACTGTTGTGGGACGGCTGCTATCAAAGGAAGACGTTCGCTGCCGGTTTCCACGTGCTCCGGCTTCCAGAGTATGCTGTTGAGGTTCCTGACGCCCCGCGTGCTTTGGCAACGACACCTCGGACGCACCAGTTGTTGGCCGAGCAAAGGAGGAACTTGAGAATTCGTTGAACGGCCTCTTAGGTGGGTCATTGAGCTGAAGGGCATCTGCAGACTGGCCGCGATATATTCGTCTTACCGCCCTATCCATCTTGTGCACCTGGGATTCTAATTGCCGAACTCGAGTTTCAAGACTTGCGGCTTGAGTGATTTTCATTCCAGCCATCTCCCCAAGCGGCCCAAAATTGAAGGGTTGAGGTTGATCCTCTGGCTCTGTGGCCTCATAGTCCGCCTCATCCGATAGAAGAATAGGATCTTCCCCTTCGGGTCTATTTGATGACATCGGCGAAAGGATTCCTGGGTCATAGCTTTCTCTCCAGTACCTTATTTCGTCACTTCTACGTCTTGGAGCCCCAGTCCCAGACGAGGTAGCTCTGAGTTCACCAAGACTTCGGGAGCGCCTATTCGGATGGCTGCCGCTTGTGACAGCCATGCCAATATTGGCATCATCCTCAACACTAGACATTACTTTACTACCGCGAGCCTGACTGCTCGCAGGCCTTGGTGAGAGACCAGTCCAATTTTCATACCCAGGTATTTTAGGCGGCGCCCATAGTCTGCTTGGTGTTGTAGCCCTGCGAGGCCGTGACTGCCCATCAGCTTGTATTGACTCCCGATTCGACTGTGGTGTGCTCTCCTGAGGCAAGCCCTCTGAGTCCGCGATAATCGAATGAGACCGCAAGGCTCGGCTATACTCATTGATGGGTAGGGAGGCCGAGCGCTTCTGAGAACCACCTCCGTTGGTCGGCAGTTTACTTAGAGCGGGTGGATCCTATTCATAAGGATTAGTTACCACGCTTTCTCGATTAAGAAGATTCCGAACTTACGCTGCGATGGTGACCTGCACGAACACTTGGGCTTCGTTCTCGCTCGCCAGATGATGTGCTGCTCCCCTTCCTCTTCTTCCCAAAAAGCCGCCCAAAAACCGATTTTAATGTCGACTTCTTCCGTTGCGGAGATCCCACACTCGACTTCTTCGAAGGCACACTTGTCACCGAATTCCGCATTGCGGTGGCTCCATTATTTATCGCTCGCGGTGGCGACGGTGGTGATGGTGCTTCCCTTAGTGGTTCCGAAGGCATCGTATCAGACTGGGGAGGATCTACTATGTCCCCTCCGGCGATCTCTGATTGTTCCGCTGTGATATCAAGTTCGGTACCGGTCGAGGATCTCAGCCGCATCTGCTGTTCTGTGCCGTCAGCTCCCAGGGGGGTAGCTATTCCTGCGCCGCGGGTCCTGATGGGGAACTCGTCGTCGTCTTGTATGGGAATTGGAGGACCTATACGGCCTCTGATCGAGGATCGAGTATTCGTCCGAGCCGGCTTCCACGCTGCGGATGGTCGAAATTTGCTCATCGTTCCCGCCGAGGGGTCAAGCCCCTCTGCTTCGTCTGATGCTCACAGAGGGAATGGATCGAGGGGACAAGAAACGAGCTGGACGGGTATATGATAGATGCATCTGCAGGCCAGCTCTCGCACATAGCACCATTACCGGCAAAGGTATCGTGGGCGAGGGGCAACAGCAATAGCAACAGCTAGATTGGCGGCACACGAGCCGGCCTATATACAATATGTCTCAAGGGACGGAGACATTGTAGGAATGTGGGACGGCGTGTTGGCATATAGAGTCCCATTAACCAACTAAAATATGCGACGATGCATCACGTATCATAAGTCCTGCGACAGGTCATCATGATTGACAAGGAGAGTGGGCGATGAAACGGGATATGATAGCAGAGGGCGAGCCCGGCATGGGTTAACATAGCACAATGATTAGGACTGAGTACTCCGTATAGAGCCTACAGGCCCATAGTAGAAGCACTCGTACTACTGAACTAAGGCACGGAGTAGGTGTAGCTGGATAAGTGGATAAGGGAAAGAATGGGACGTGGAGGTTAGGCCAAAGCGAGATACGAGGCCCGAAGCGCAGGAGACCCCTGCCGAGCCGCATTTCAAGTTAACAGCAGAGACATGGCATAGAGAGCGGCAGTCCCGTTGGTCCTGATGGTTACGGGTTATCAAAAGTTATATCAGCTATTCATCCCGAGTGCAATGCTCTGCAGCACGAAGCACTGCGCAGTCAGGCGTGGCAGTTGAGTTTGTTGTTAATCTGCTGCAGTGTTACATGTACTCGCGAAGCTCCGAGTACGAGTTGATTATTGGGTAGCTCTTGCGACTTGATTACTGAGTATTGCAACCACTCGATCTCGACCGTCCTTAGCACGACGGGCGCTGCTTGGCTGTGCTCTGCATCCGAAACAAAGTGGGGAGACAGGGAACTGGGCATCTTTTCGGAGGCGCCCAGTCGCCGAGCAGCTGTCCCTGGGAGCCTAGGAAGGTGGATGGACTCATTGCCAATTGCTTGATTTCGAGCCGGGAGAGATCGTGGTACTGGTAACGGAATATCCTCTGGATGGCCTACAAGGCCAGGGAAACCCAGCCAAGATCTGCCCTATCCTCCCTCTGTACCATGGTCCTGAGGATTCTGGAAGCTTTGGCAATCAGCAGCAGCGACGGGTGATGGACATGAAGGAGATATCCCAGCCTGATCCGGTCCAGCGTGCCAATGACCTTCCTACCTACAACACCGAGTACATCGTGCCGAAAAAGAGGAAAAAAGAATCTGGGCAACGGTGTGGCGTTGAGGCAGGGAAACTCTTTTGTGACTGCAACTCCAGCTGCCCCTCTCCTCTCACTTCTCTTTCGCTCTCTTCCTCGGCTGGCGCATCTGACGATCCCGGTTTTGCGAACGGCTTACGAGGACAAACCGACCTGTACTCACGGCGCTGGCTCGAAAGTCCACGAATAATCTCTATCGACTTTCCTGCGCCATGCATGCATGCGTGCATGCAGCAGCATGTCTGAGCCTTGCAGCTTGTTGGCAAAAGCGGCCAATGCAAATGCCCCGTTGCGTGAAACGAGCATGTTGTCAAGAGTCAAAGCACCGCTAACTCGTCGACAGGCTGCTCCGGACGGAGAAAGACGAGTCGTTGTCAATTGTCTAATCCCGACCCCTTCCGCTAGAAATGTAATAGTTGAACAATAATGCATGAAATTCATCAATTCATAACGTAGTCCTGCGAGCGCGTTCTCTTCATGTGTGTGGTTAGAAGGCGCAGCGGTTATGTAGCTGTGCCCCTCATAACCAACCCCTCTTGCTGCTCCCAATATTATATTGATAGTGAACCACTAACCGCCTCTGTCCTGGTGAGACAGCAAGGTCCGCATTCGTCATTCGTCTGATGCACCCAAAAGACCCTGGGCCCCGCGTGGCTGCGTGGCTGCGTGGCCCGGATCACCTATCCGTGCTTTGGAGGCGAGTCCTTACGAGTACTATGGCGCAAAACCGCGAGTTAAGAGCAGGCATTGGGTGATAATGGAGTTCCCAGAATAATGCCCTTATTAACCAGGTTGGCCAGCCCGAGATTGTGAGGGTCAATATCAATTTAAGTCAGCAACCGAGGGATATCGTAAATCGGAATGCTCCTCGAGGAATTCCATCCATCGTTTGAGGAACTTATTGCCTCTGCATCGATCATACATTCCTCGTCAGCATGCTTGTCTCAGCAGGAAATCATTTTCGTACTGCCGAGGCAGGAAAACGTGGTCTAAACTCACTGCAATGTCTCAGAGTCCCCGATGAGGGTCAAAGAACGCCGACTCCTGGTTATGGCAACTGTTTCTACGTCAAACGATGTTACTGTGGCATTTGGGAAACGATGAGATGTTTACCATTCAGCCGGCGTTTCTCCCCTAGAAACCCGATCTCGCGGTCGGAATTGCTTCTTACGAGGCTCACGATCACGGCCTGCAAAACGTTAGTGAGGTTCTATTCATAGCACGATCCGGGAAAAAATAAAAGACAATGTGTTTGAGAGCGAGGGAGTATTCGCGGGAAAGGGCTTTCCCATACTTCTTTCTCACGGCCCTGAAACCCATCGATACTTCCCAATTCAACACCTGGAAAAGTTTCCTTCATCGCTCGCGATATCAATCCTAGCTGCACACATGTCAGCAAGTTTCAATAGATTCCGAGCCCGTTTCTTCTGGATTCCATGACGATAGACTTCAAGGGCGGGAAAAGTGCTCCCCCCTCCCATTTCTCGCATCCTCCCGCTCGAGCACATATCCTTTCGATGTAAATAAGAAACACAAATCCACTCACCTGAGCATTATACGGCGTAATAACCGCAATATCCTCGGGCCTCACCCCAGCATCGACCAACTTTCTCACATGATAACTCACCAGCGCAGCCTCCATCTCATTGCTCTTACTCTCGGCGATCATTCCCCTCTTCGCCTTCTTCTCCGCATCCTCCTCCTCGTTCTTCTCAGGGAAATCCCCGCCTTGCGTGTCGTAGAATATCAGGGGTTCAGTTGTGTCTTCGGTGTCCTCCACTGCGTAAGGAAGGTCTTTGAGTAGTCTTGCCTTAACGCCGTCCGCTGCTACGAGCTTGGATTCGTAGAGTTCGTCGGAGGGGAATCTCATAATTTTTTCGTGCATGCGGTATTGAGTGGTTAGCATTCGCTGTCTTGGGTGTTAGTAACTGTATCTAGTGCAAGTGCACATAATCCCGATTCAAAACCTCGAGGTTCTGCTAGCAAAACTCTTTTGGAAATGGGGGAATATTACCTTAATTCCCGGACCATGAAGATTAAGAAGTCTATCAAACAGGGTCTTCTCCAAAGTCATGCCCTTAACAACGCCTTCAACATCCTTCACTTTCGGCGCCGCTTTCGAATTGAGTGACTTGATCGTAGGAGGTAATTGCAAATGGTCACCCGCAAGGACAACCTTACTCGCCCTCAGCAGCGGAATCCAGCACTGAGCCTCTAAAGCCTGACTTGCCTCATCAATGATAACGACATCGAAGACTTCATCTTTCGTCTGGAAACCCCCAGAGCCGTGTAGAGTAGCAAGTACCACCTTACTGCTCCCCACCAAATTACCAATGCATTTCCTCTCCCGCTCCCTAAACTCCTTCCGAAGCTCCTTGAGATCACCATAAATAGCTTTCCGTTCTCGGCCACTCTTGGTTTTGCGGATAGACGCTTGCTTGCTATCCATTTCCTTCCTCACGTCTTTGACAATAGCGGCTGCATCTGATGTCTGCGTAAGGACGTCTAGGGAGTGATTGAGGATTGAAGGCAGGAGACGTGCTGGATGCCCGAGACGCACAATAGGGATTTTGTGAGGAGAGAGCCGCTCTACGATGTTATCGACTGCGAGGTTGGACGCCGCACATACCAAGACTCGTAGATTCCGCTTTAACATCTGGAGGATGAGCTCAATTAACGTATGAGTCTTACCAGTCTGTGTGTACTGTTAAATTTGCTGTCATGACTTCGAAAGGTATTTGATTTATGCTTACACCGGGTGGTCCATGGATCAGAGCCACCTCCCGTGAAGCCAAGGCAAACCTGATAGCACCCTTCTGTGAATCATTAAGACTCGGATCAACCCAGCCTATATCTCCCGGATCTTTAAAATCCTCATCAGACACAGGAGAAGGACTCGTAAGCCCGAACAAAACCCGAATAAAGCTCGAATACTCCTCGGTTCTCATCTTCTGCAGTCTATTCATAATCTGATTCATTCTTTTTCCTCAATATCAGCAATGAAAGCCCTTTCGCTAAATGAAACGGGGCATTATACCTTTTATAAGTAACGTCATTAGCCAACTTTACAATCCACAGCCGTCTCATCCCCGCTACATTATCATCATCTTCCCGATCCAACGCAACCCACACGGCACTCCTGCCTACCCTCGTAACAACACCTCTACTCCCCTTCGCCTCCAATTCCCTCACCTCCCTCTTCTTAGCGCTGCCCGCCGGCTGCTCACTCACAATCACAATATCACCCGTGCGGATGCCATGTTCAGGTAACTCGCCCTCGCTGTTTGCAGTAGCGGAGTCCGGTCCAAGCTCGATGACGGTCTTGCCACCAAGACCTGTTCGCTGTGATGTGAGTGTGAGGTTTGTTATGGCGATTCCGGCACGCTGGAGGGACGTGGGTGACGTGTTGGAGATGAGGGATGAGGTTTCTGTTAGCTCCGATTGCAGTTCGGCGTCCAGCAGGGCTAGCTGAGAAGCTGCGAAGGAGGGGATATCAATGGCGTCTTTGGGAGCCATGGTTTTATAAAAGGCTATTAGCTGGCTTTTTTCTAGGTTGTGGACTTTGTTTTGATCATGTGAGGCGTTGGAGTTTTGTTCATTGGGTGATTTGTGTAGGTTGGTGGAGGGGTCGCTTGTGGGCGGGGTAGTATAAGGTTATCAGATCGGGGGTTTTATGGGAACTACTGGACTACTCTCAACCCTTCTTTTAAAGGTAATGGAAGCTGTGCATCAAGAGATGGAAGACCATCTTTATATATTATTCCATATTCTGGAACGAAACCTATTTAGCCCTTATGTAAATATAATTTATTGCTATCAAATCAAACACCAAATGACAATTCCCGACTCCTACCAAACCCATTAATGATAACCCCATACCGTAATATAACGCCGTCATATACACTATACATTAACCCCCCCTCAACTTATCTACGTATCAATAACCCCCCTACCTCTTCTCAAACGCCCTGGGTTCTACCGCCACCACCACAGTCAGGGACGTAACCATCAATGCAAACGTAATAAATGCAACCAACGCCACACTCCCCCTACTCGCCGGGAATTTCCCCCGTATTATCCAATGTTGAGATTCGAAATATCTGTGGAACCCGATGCCTAGCATCACGATGCTTATGCCCAAAAACGTCGCGCCAAGGGGCTTTCCGATGTGTCGAAGGCGTTGGTATGACTCGGCGGGGCTGTCTATAGCCGTGACATTGAGTCGGAAACTGGGGGATCCTGTTAGTGGTGCTCTTCTCACTTGAATGGAAGGCGGGAAGTTGGGGGACTTGCAGTTGTGTGATGGCTATGCCAATAGAAGCGAAAGCCAGAGAAGTCCGTAGCCACGCAAGAAAGGTACGTTCTGGACAGAGCAATGTTAGCATTCTGCTTTTGCAAGGCCATTTAGGGAGATATCATACCGAGAGCCAAATGGTCCCTGGCCACGCTGCCCTTGTTCTCGAGCTCTATCGACCCATATTCCGAGAGGATCCGCGCCCACCACGACATATGCTCATCCGCCAAACTCCCATTGTCGTTATTGGCATCGTCTTCAGGCTGGTAGACACGCCCCGTTCTCCGTATGCTTGCGGTGCTAGGACGCGACCGCAAGGCCGTTGCAGGCTTCTGTGCCGTGGACTGGTAATTCGGATTCTGCCCGCCGGGCTTCCTGACGATACTCGTCTCCTCGTCCGCACTGCTCTCTGGTTCCGCATATGTAGCGGCGCTCGACCGAAGCATGTTTGCTCGCCGGTGGGAGGTTCCGCCCGGGCCCGAGTAGTGCGGGGAGGTGTTATTCGAAGCAGCTTCCTGCGTCCGTCCTTGGAGGATATCGTCAGTGCTGCCTCTCTGGGGCCGGACGACAGCCTTTGGCGAGTCTCGCACTCTTGCAGAGTTGGGGGTTGCAGGAGGGGCAGCTCCTCCTTTGCTGTTGGCGGCTGACATGGCTATATACCCTCCTCGATGCTCTCTGAATGCTCCTGTTCCACAAATGCCGACTGCTTAGGGTAGCGAGGCCCGGGGGGCTTGAAACTTTGAAAGGTTTCTCGGCAGCTCCTTTCCACAATTGTATGCCGCTGTATGGTGTTATCCTGCCCGCATCGAAAAGAAATGGTGAAATGCGCCGATATTCTGCATGTCCCAGCCCGCACGCAATTTGGTCGTCACAAGACGCGGGTATCGCGCTCTTGTGGCTCCTGTGACTCGCTACTTGCACATCGACACTTACACACAAGCTGCATGTTTACCGAGTCTAGCTGTGAATAATGTGGGGGTCGGCTTATTGCCAGGCTTCGGTCCCCTACTATGCAAGAACCGTCCACTCTGTTGTGCTCTTACGGACAGCTGCTCCCGCTCTGTTTACGGAGTATTTATTAATAAAGTATTAAGTGGCGGCAGTTGTGGGTGGTTCACGCTCTGAGACGCATTTCAGGTCATTCAATTTTGGATTTTCACCTATACGCCCACTATAGTTCGTAACCCATTCTCATTTATGTACATAGGCCGAAGTGAATCGAAGTAAATTCAAAAGTCCCTATGCTCGTCAAAGCAGATATCATCAGAGACAAAAGGTGGAACATAGCCCCGCGCGTGCAGATCAGGGAAAAGAAGAGTTCGTGAGTGCAACAGATCGAATGTCTTTTTCTTTCTTTTTTGCTTGTCCAGCTAGACTACCACCAGATCGATGTAGGCCATAAGAACCCACGGCGGGCCGCCGGTTAAAGGACATGCATATTTTTCCTTCCTTGGAAAATTGGTGGTCAGAGTTGAGACAGAGAGATGGCACCTCCATCCAAAGAACATCCATCGGCCTAGAACACCCAGCGCGTCCCTAATATCAAGAAACGCTCCATGACACCTCCTCCAAACCATCGGAGAAATTGAAGCGGGCAAATGCAACCAGCCACTAGACAGTAATACAACAAACATTAACATTGGATACATAGGAAAGTAGAAGACCACGGGGGGAGTGCCGAGGAACCAGAGCGCGAGGATATCTAGACGTTTCTGGCCGCTCACTAGCGGCACCTGTTTTGGCGTTGACGTGGATGGAAAACCCAGACCGGAGCTAAAGAAACAGCAGCAGTCACGGGATTCCAATCATTTCGGTGCATGGGCAGAATATGGAATGCACCAAGAAGACTCGCACGGGCGATCCGTTTACGAGAACTCGAAGTACACATCTCCAGTGGTTCCGGTCTAGAGCTGGTTAGTAAATATACAGATGAGTTTTGGAGGATGTCAACTCACGGTGCAACCAGTTGGGGTGACGTTTCCATCGGTATAGTATTGGCCATTCTTGTATTCGCACTTGGCGGTGACGGCACCCTTGATGGCAACGTTGAAATCAAGCTTTCCATCTGGGTTGGTGGGAGCATTGGGGAAGATTCCGATGAAGGTGCCGGTAGAGTGCTTGCCAACACCGACATTGACGGGAGCCCAGTTACCAAGGTTGGTTCCGGCGGTTCCCCACTGGCAGGCATCGGCCACGGAAGCGCCTGCGGGGTTGATGTAGTATTGAGCGGTGGTCTTCATACCCTTCCAGGTGTAGTAGGTGTCGGAGTCAGGGCAGGTGAGGGGTTGGGTCTCTCCCGCACCGACGAGGGTTGGGATGGTCTCGGATTCGGTACCAGGGTAATCGGTACGGCAGATGGCGACCTTCTTGCTCAGGGTGTTCTTGACGGTAACACCTCCGGCGCCCTTCTCGCAGATTTGCTTGACGCTGGGTCGGGAGAGCTCGAGCATGCCGTCCGCATTGCAGTACAAGCCACCGATCGACTGTCCGGTAGCTCCCTGTGCATCTGGCCATTGAGTCTTCTGGAAACCAATTGGGCAGGCGTATGAGCAGTATGTGTTTGCGTTGCATCCACTCTTCCCCTCAATGTAGCTGATGGAGCTATCTCCCGGCTTGTAGTTAGGAACGTGCTGAATACCGGTCCATCCCCCCAGGTTCAACCAATCGGCGTCAATGGCGCCATATTTGGAAGGGAATGACGAGCAAGGGATCTTGCCGCTGGGGAAGTCTGCACTGGTGTCGCCATTACCACCGCCGGTGCTTGGGGCAGCGACCGAAGGAGCCGCTACGGCGGCGGCGGTGGTGGTAGGGGGTGGGGGAGGTGCCTTGGTGGTGGTGGGCTCCGGCTTGGGGGATGGCTTCTCAGCAAAGGCACCGCCCTGGGCGGCGGAGGAAGTAGGGGGTGGGGGAGGAGCCGCGACGCTGGATGGTGCCTCGAGGACGGTGTCGCCGACCAAGAAGTACTTGCCCGAGGCGACGCCGGCCTTGACATCATCCGACGAGATTGGCTTGCCATCCAGCATGTAGACGGTCACGGTGGGGGGCTCGACGGTGGTGGTGTACGTCGCTCCGCGAGCCTCGATGGGGGAGCCACGTCTGGCGACATGCTCGTGGTGACGGGCGTGGTTGTGGCGCTGGGCAACTGCGAGAGTTGCGGCGCTGAGAAGCGCGATCTGGGTGAACTTCATTGTGAAGAAGCGGATTCGTGAAGTGAATTCGACGACTAAAGGACCGGGGGCGCGTCTGTCAGAGGACTGCTGGACGGTGAGGTTCGTAGATGGGGGCGCGGTCGAAGGGCTTTAAGTTGGAGGGGGCTGGTTAGCATTCCGATCTTATCGCGACAGGAGAGTCGCGCAGCGCAATTAATTGACGCGCGTAAGGGGTAGAAGGGAAAAAGGGCAGGACGACGATGGCATTATTGACAGCGCATTGATAAGTGTCGGTGACAAGCAGATCCAATCCCTAGTTGGGGGGGATAGGTCGCAAACCAAACCAACGGTGAGGGAGAAACAAACAGCGGGCGTACCTTGACAAACAACAGCACGTTTCAGAAACTGAAGTCGGATATTTTTCACCACGAAGAGATCGGATGAGTAGATTGGGCTGGGGGGGAAGATGCGGGTTTTGAGTTGATTCAACAGCAGGGTGACTGGAAGAGATCGTAAAGCCGGTGTTCCAAAGGAATGTGGTAGAGAGTCAAGACTCTCAGAGTTGGGAGGGAATGGGTTGACCGTAGATGAACGTGAAGAAGAGATCGTTGAGGAGGGAGGGTGGAGATGGGGAGGAAAAGACGGTGGTAAAGGGTGAAGGGGGTGGACACTGGCGGGCGCGGGTGCGGGTGCAGCAGTGCAGTGCGCGTAGTCAGTGCCAGAGCCAGAGCCAGTGCCAATGGGGTGCTGAGCGGCAGCCAGGAACAGGGTCGAATTAGTGGGCTGGCCGCGCGATGGGGAGAGCAGATTGGCCCGGGAGCTGGCTGCGCTAGGCCGTGTAGAGGCTGAATGGGCCCGAAGCGAGCGGGAACAGGAACAGGAACAGGAAAAAAGTCGGGTTAGTTCGTGTCGAACGCTGTAGGGGATCGGGGGGGGGATGGGAGGGAGATCAGTTTAGCGGTGGGCTGCTGCTACTCTAGGCGGTAGTTCGTCCATAGTCTTTAGCGGTTGCTTGGGCGGTGCTAGGCGGTGGCTTAGGGGGTGGTCACCGTGGTCACAGCAGTGGTCAAACAGGAGCAACAAGTCAGTAGCACCGGTACTCGCTCGGTCGCTGACGCTGTCTCTGTATTCCTGATACATACATCGTGCTACGTGGTACAGTGGTACAGTGCCGTACGTGGTGGCATGTCAAAATGCAAGTTTATCAGTTTGGCCTGGTCTCTGCTCATGCTTTCACACTTGCTAAAGAGTAACAGCTAACCAGACCATGTGGTGCCACTGGTATTACCGCCATCGTCACGGTCATTATCACGGGCACTGCGATGGCTCACTGCCACATCACCCCTTCCCACAGTACGTACCGTACAGTACTGCTACCAACACGCCAGTACGTACAGTCAGTCTCCCAATCTCCCAGCACTCACCACTCCAAGAGCCCGCCCAGCTCTCCAATATCCAGCACTCCCAGTCTCCCAATCTCCAACACCCAATTTCACCCGCCCAGCCCCAGCGCCAACACCTTTGAAGTCTTGCCAATCCCTTGGATATTGGCCGGCCGCCGGAGATGATGTGGGCGCCGGGTGAGGAACCACGCAGATTGCTCCCCACACCGCATCGCATCGGATCGCCGCCGATTAAATACAACCCAGCCCAATGAGGGCGCCGTGCCTGGGCGGTGTCCAGGGGGCCAGGAAATAAATAGCCCTGCCTGCCGTGAGATTGCCCGGACTCGAGTGATTATTTCAGGCGCGCAGTGCATGAACGTTCGTTGGATCAGCGCCACTAACGGGGATGCCCGTGGACATGGGCCCGGAGGGCGTTGGGGGGAGATGAGCGAGAGGCTGGAGGGCATCTGAGGGAGTCGGAGAGAGGAAGAGAGAGAGAGCCTGAGAGAGAGAGACTTGCTTTTTCCTTCGGTCCAAGGCGCCAAGTGCCAAGCGGCGGTAGATTTCTGGAGAAGGCAGTTCGGGAGTCTAGATTGGAAGAGCATCCTTGGCTGCAATCAATCTCGTTCATCATGTAGACAGCAAAAGGCCTGTACTCCCGTAAAGCACCAGGAGGAGCATAACAGAGGAATACAGTACCTCCGTAGGGTAGAGTAGGTACCTAGCATGTTTGTTGTAATGATCTTATTATTCTGCCCCTATCCCCACCGAGCAGCCACTCACTACTCAGGCAAAACCTAGCCTATCCAATCAATACCTATGTTCCGGTCTCAAAGCTCAATATTGCCAGATACATTATCACCGCTTGTACTCGAGCACAAACGCCCAAGCAACCTCCTCACTTACACACAAGTTCTTTAATTACCTACACCAAGACCAACAGATCTACAAATAACCCCCCTCCGCATTCATAGTCAGCCTACTTCGCAGTCGCACATCGCATCAGATGAGGGAATCCAATCACCACATCACAATCAAGTCCCATGCGCCTCCAGCACGCCGCTAACCGACATCCTTCGGAATCCTCCCCGACTTTAACTACGTACTTCGTCCTTCATACACAACGTAAGGTACCTAGGTAAGATACATAAAGGATGCAAGATGGTGTACTCTACAATTATCGTCCCGAGATTCCCACCGCGTCCCTTGACCCGGTCCGTACATGTACTGTACGTACTGTACATGTACCACCCGACCCTTAAGATTTTCCTTCACAAGATCGCGCGCCCCAAGAAAATAGATAGGCATGCGCTGATATCATAATAATCACAGTATAAAAGGTTTAAGTAGGCATCCAAGGTCCTGCATTATACTTTCACTACTCTGTCATTGCCCAACGCCAACAAAAGATCCCTATCTATCTCCCCCGCATCCGCTTCTGTGGGTGATGCGCGTACTTTGTATAACCTACCCTTTCCCACGAAGTTAGCTACACAACCCACCGACCCTCGAGCTTGTGACTTCTGGAATGTCGCTATCCGGAAGCTTGAATTCGCGGGCTGGCTATCCGCGAGAGCCCTGGCAGCTGATGTATAAGAGCGCGGGGGGGCGCGGGCGCACCGAGCATGTCTTTCAATGCTGTATAGGCAAGTGCTTATGACGGCGAGTCTGGGAACGGCGAGGATGCGCAGATAAATCCCCCTCTAATCGAGCGAGATGCCACGGATGAGGATGAGGATGACTTGGCTGTGTATCGTACAGGCCGAGAACTTCGCTTTATGTGGAAGGTTTGGGAGGGACTCGTGCTGGATTTTGAGGAAGCTACTGCTTAAGGTAGGGTATGGAGAAGCCACTGCTGGATGGATACGTGTTGATCGCAGCCACAAGAGTGTCTGTCGTGCAAAAGCTTTATTCATATAGCAGGGCTTATCAGCTACATTGTTCAACTGAAACTCTACCCTAACCATTCTTGCTTTTGGTTTTTTTTTTGGGCGGATTGGCTTGTGAGACAGATTTGTTTGGGAGGAATGGGTTTGCGTCATATTGCGGGGTTTGAAGTATAGAGACGGCGATTCCGTAGAATAAACTTGATTGTGGCGTAGAACATCTCATTCCTGATGTGGTGGGTAGCTGACTTCTTTGCATTCCCGGTCAGGATGATATGAAATTGATTCTCATGGCTGGCACAGATACGCAAAACCTCCATCACTACCTTGCTAGTTCATAGCGAGCTCAAGATCACACCGAGATTTATATCATCACATCCATTATATTGATCTAATAGCTGATCTCTAATCACTCCGCCGTTATCAACCCATCACCGACCCTCTTCATCGTCCCTCTCGCTTCAGTCTCAAGCAGCATAGCACCCCCTTGGGGCCCACTAGCATCCAGACTAACCGTGGTCTTCCGCGCGTCATTTATAACTCTAATAGTCTCCCCAACATTCTTATAATCCGTCTCACATGTGATATTTCCACGCGAGCTATCCTCGTTGTTATCACCAGGTTTGTTGACCCTGGCCAAGGGTGCTGGTTTGATATCCACATTCGGAAACGGCAAGGTGCCTTCGCGCAATGGAATGAGAACTACCGGGAAGGAAAGTCTCTGTGCAATCTCTCCACCTCCGGATTCCTTGGGCACTGTGAAATGGCCCTTTCGCTTTCCACCGATGAGCCATGTATCGGACGCCCCTGACACCTCGTAATAGAATTCGAGATCCTGTGCTTGAATGTCGTCCGGCTTATGCTCCTCATCCCACTGTCTTGTCCACTTGATCTTTAGCGACGCCGAGATGGGCTGGTTAGCTACCGCGATGACAGTGTTAGAGCATACGGTTGTTATTCCAGCCAATTTCAGGTCCGCAGTGTGAACAACTGTGACGGCGGGGATGCCAACCGGAATGATTATAGACCGGTGGTCTACAAGGGTGTCTTTCCCGATGCCTATTGGCATCAACGAGATACTGGGAGTGTTTTGCTGCCATGTTTGAAGGCTCTCGGATAACATCGTAGCAATGTCCTGGTCTTCGTCTTCATCGTGGCCAAGGCCTAAGAAGCGGTCTCGCCATCTGATATTTGACAGGACCGAGGTGGACAATTCGCTCAAAATAGCAATCTTCTCGAAGTCGTACGGCGATAGACGGGATCGAAGCTCGGTAATGACGGTCGGTATAATTAATCGAGAATATTGATGCAATGGGGTATCTTGGTGTGCCGCTTGAAGGCTTTTAGTAATCGCATCGTCAATTTCCTCTTCAAGGCAAATATAGTGAAGAACGAGAGATAGTGATGTCGACTTCTGGTCCTTATGCGAGCTAGAACGTGGTAAAGGGGTCGTTGGTGTTCGTTTGGTGATCTTATACAGCATCGACGCAGGCTGTCGTGGGAAAATCATCAGTGGACGAGTGAGTGTAACACCAGATTGGGCTTCAAAGACTTCAGACCCTTCCAACGTGGTGCTTAATAATCGGAGCGGACTGGAAGTTGCGGATGATATGGTGAATTTAGAGAAAAGTGCTCTGTGTTTGAAAACGTCATGAACATTGACCCCCAGGGGAAGTATAATAGATACCGATGGTGTAGTGGCGAAGGAAAAAGTTCCTTTGTCAGTGGTATAAGATAATTCCAGCTTGAGCGTAATGTCATTTGCTTCATGTTCGAGATTGAACGGCAGCCGGATTTTGGTGGTGGAGCCAGATGCAAGGGGACCAAAGCGAATGACACCAGCTTCCGACTTTTTAGAGAGCTCAAGGGAGCCATCGACAACCTTGACTTCAGCAGTCTGAAGCCTGAGCCCTGCCGTTGCGGCTCGAATATGTAACACCCCACTAGTTACTTCGTTCCAACCGGGTGCGAGCTCGAGTTCTAACGACCGGTTATGATCCAGATGCATATGCTTTGAGGCAACCAGTCTGACATCAAAGGCCTCTGGCCGATGGTAGAGGAGGAGTTTTGGGCACTTGAAGAAAACCTCCCCCTTGAAGGGGGTCAAGGGCGCGGTCACATGCTCGTAATGGAGAGCAATATTATTGGTATAGAGGCTCACATGACTGACCGTATATGGCCCTGGCACAATGACCTGGATAATGGGTAAGCGCCATCAATAGCAATCCAAATAGGGAACTTACGTTACTCTGTACCAACAATGTTCCATCGCCCTTTTTGAAAATGGAGGGGCCACTTGTTTCGAGCCAAATTTCACGACTGGTATCTCCAGAAAGAGCGTTTATCCTGACCTTAGCCTTTTCAACCGCTAAATCATCTGATAGCAGATACTGAAACCGGAGTTGAATAGCAAAGCTATCTTTTCCCGCGTGATACCGAGGCGTACCATCAACCTCAACCCGACTGAAAAAGTTCTCAAGAGGTACTTGTATTTCATGACCCAAAGATTTTGTGATCTGCAGGAGTTCATGAATATAAGAGGTGGTTGATATAGGTTCTTCACTGCCAAAATTGGCATGGCCACCAAGGCGTAAACTTGATTTTCGCTTTTGTCTGTCTTTTTCACTGGCAGCGGCCTTCGATAAAAGCTTCAGCACAATATGGACATATTCCTCCTTACGTTGAAGTTCCTTGAGGCATCTGGCATACATCACTAGCATTGGGAGCTCTGCCTCTGCCCAGCCGTCGTCGCCGTAGGATGCTGTTATGCGATAGAAGTAGGACGCCGCAGCTGAATAATCCTTGAGATTATCTTTATGAACAGCCAGATCAGCCATGCAAGCCGACACGGATTGGGTATGGCCTGCCACAGTATAGTGGCGGAGTGCCTTGTCCGTCATAGTCTCGTAGAGCCGATAGAAGTCGTTTTCATTATCAAGGGCGGTTCTTAGAAGCTTGTTATTAATTCCGTGCAAGGTAGGTTGGACTGTTGAAGACGTTTCCGGTTTCTGAGTTTCACTAGTGGGTTCTTCTGAAAGGTCAACATCTTCCATTTCTTCTTCTTTATGGCAGATCTGCGGTATCTCATCCCAGCCAGCGCTCCACCCTCGCTCTTTCCCCTCCCGTTCGAGCACAGTTCGTGAGAGCAGGTAGAGCTCTGCTCTATGCGCTGCCAGCTCCTCAAGCCCAGCTTTGATAAAAGTCGAAGATGCTCCCTGCTCAGGTACACTGGACCTTCGACCCCTCGGGAACACTCCAGGACTAGGAGGCTCTCGAGGAGGTGAGCGGATTGCAAGAGAGCTGCTACGAGCGGGATGCATCATAGTCTTAGGTTCAGGGATGGAAGCTTTCGGTTCTTGCCCATCAAGGCCAATCTTAGCACCTGGAGGCGCTAGCGTCGATGGGGGAATAGGCAGGGCTTTGGTAGATGTTTGTGCGAGGATTTGTTGTGCCACAGAAAACGTGAAAGACGAAGCGATATTATCCACAACTTGTACCATTATAGGGTCCAATTCCGCCTCAGAGTTGATCTTTTCATCTTCCGCCCCAGCGGATTGTTTGGTTTGTGATTGAGATGCCCAGATGTCATCACGTAGAATACGCGCAATAGCTACAACAAAATCCATGGATCTGTTACATATTTCAGCAAGCACGGCAAGATGCTCTCCCTCCTCTGAAGGTTGAGAGGGAGGCAATCGGGCAGCCACTCCCTGTAAACTTGACACTCGTTGTTCCTTAATCTTTGCAAGCAATTCCTCCTGGGATGACCATGCGTTCGCAAGGCGGAGCAATAGAGATAGCTGTCGAGCAAAAATGTAGCAACGAAAGTCAAAAATCGAGATATTATTTGAGAGAATAAGCTCTCGATAGCGCTTCTTCAATGCATTCACAGGTATCTCGTCCGCATCCTGGTCGGTGGCTTCTGGGCTTGATTGGAGATCAATAGGCTCATCCGGTTCAGTGGAGATTTCCTCCTGGCACGTATCCTTGAGTATCGCAGCTTTTGCTCGTTGCGCTTGAGTTTTGAGATCCTCCGTATAAGGCAAGAAAGAGCCACCATGCTGAGGGCCAGGGCCCGTTGTAGCTTGCTCCCTAATAATAGTATCAAGACCAACTGCAAGTTCATCATATCCAACTAGAGCATCTTCAACAAGGCCCACGCTTTCAAATCCTCTTGCTAGACCTTCCTTAAGTACGAAGAAAGTACAAAAATTCCATCCAGGTAACGTCCTCTGGGCATCTTTTTCGCGAATATCTTCCTCGTATTGAGTGACGCGCATATCAAACGATGCCAGAATCAAAGACTTTAATTTTGAGATGAGATCCTGCCAAGAATTCTCGTTATCTTGTGGTGTTTCGGTATATGAGCCTGGAATTGCTGGAACGACACGAGGGAGCATCTCATAGGGTACGTCGTTGACGCCAATACGGATTTGAGCGACTCGATCCGGCGCAGACTTTGATGAGCTATTGAAATCTGCCCCTAGCTTTTCCAATATGGTGGTTGAACCGCCCCCTCTCCAACGTGCCGTGGCTTTCTCAGTAGTTAAACCCCCTTCCGAACCCTTCCCACTCGTCCTTGGCTGCGTTGCAGCAGACGTATTGGGTACGACAACATGCACTATAACCCATTCATAAGCATCATGGTTTTCCTGCTTGCTCTGTTTCGATGTGCTTTGCGCCGGCGGTGTGTGCTCTTTGATCCATTCTCGGACCTGCCTCCGAGCTTGCGTCTTGTACGTTTCATTATCATCGCATCGTAAGAAAAAGACCTTGAGATATGGGGTCTGCCGTAGACCTGGTATCTGGTGTCTCCTTTCTTTGACAATGGGCTTCGGTCCTGGCTCTGCCCCAGCTTCCGGTTTGTCCACCGCAGCCTGGCCTAAAGCCTGTGGCCGAAATCCATCATCACTGCTTACTGCCGAGTCTTCGCTCTTCACCCGCGAAAGATTCAGGTTGCTACTAGCAGGTGTGCCCGTCGAGGACAGAGGACGCGATCCTTGGGCAGAGGGGATGAGGTCGACGTGGAGGGAGGATATGGAACGTAATGGGCCGGCATGAGACTCCCAGTGTAGATTTCGCAAAGGCAGCCGAGGCAGCAGTCCTGGAGAGAGGAGCTGGTATACTCCATGCGGGTCAAAGTACTCAACTACACGCGTTGGTTAGTAGTGGGAATCTTTCGGGGATAAATACCTCTTACCTGTAACCTTGGAGCTTGAGGATGGCTGTTCCATTGCTTGAAAATATTCTGTGCCCTCGCATCACTATTCATCTATCATGTAAACATGTATATCATAAAGGACATGATCGCATTATCCCAATAGTTTCAATGCTACACGAAGCTTGTGGAGTATTGCCAGGTGATATTGCCTAACCTAGAAGGCGGTGAGCGGCGAAGCACTCCGAGCTCCAGGGTCGAACGAGGTCAGGGACATCAACATATCACTGTATTAGACGAACAATGCGATTATAGTAGTAGCCAATCAAGGAATCTTCCAAGCCTGGCTACGAAGCTCTATATCGTCTTTTCGGTCATTTCACAATCATCCTCCATGTAATACATCTCGGAGTGGCTTCCAATGATCTTCTTATATTTATTCCTCCCTTCATAAACGCATATACGGGTATTTAAAAATGTCAACTGTGCCCAAAGTCCCCGAACTTTCCAAATCTAAATCGGCTACCTCGTCCTATCCGTTTGGACTCCTTAGATCGATAATTTCTTTAAATCCCGGGTATCAGATACTTGGGCCTTTCCACTAAAAATGTAGGGCCAGCAACTCCACAAGGACCGCCCCAAATCCCCTCTCTCTCTGTTCCAGGGAAAGGGACGTCTTCAAAGGCCCGATATGTTGCACACCTGCTTCCAAGGTACCTTTGACACCCCGCTGGGAATATTCATTCCACTCGCCGTCCAACTCGCAAGAGCAGTCTCAAAAATCCACGCGAGGGTGGCTTTCACCCAGTGTCTCTTTCGGCCCCAAATCATAGCTTCTACGACGGTGCCGACTCCGTTGAGGAGGAAGAATACTCCAATTCGGAAGAGCGCTTTATGAGTGAGAATGGGGCTTAGAGCATAGGCGTGAAATAGCCCCATTAAACTAAAAGCCCCGATGACCCCCAGGGCGCGTGCTATTACGACTGGAACGCCGCATCTGGCGAGACCATGTCGCAGCGGCTGATATGCCAGTGATGTACATGGAGAAGCAAACGCATTATGCCATGTTTCAGACCTTGGATTACATTTAGTTAGTCCATAATCTAGCCAGATCCTTCAAAATGGGAGGGGCATTACCAGAAGCCTGTCAGACTATCGGTCAAATATAACGGGCCAAACAGCGCTGGGCTACTCTTATATCGAAGTAATAGCTGTAGACCTGTCCATATAATATAAATGGATAATAGCACCTCGAACGCCAAAATGGTAGGTAAATTCTGAGGTAAAGCCTGCAGCAAAACAAAAGCTGCAATATGGATACCTAACTGCAAGGGTTCGCTGAAATTTTCGTGGTCTATTGAAACACGAACATTATTTGGTGTGAAACTCTCATATCTGAGCTCTGTCATTGCAATGAGAGCGTATAGCCAGTCCGGTGGCCGCCTTCCCGCGGAGTAGGTAGGGAGAGAATGGCGGCGTACCCAGATATCCAGAAGCTTCATTGTCCCAATAGCAACTTAACTCTGTTAGCAAAGCCAAAAAATGAGGGGTTGTTTTGATTTTGGGCATACTGGCAAAGTTCTGGAGGCATCTTGCAGGGCCACATGATATTGGTGCAACAAGTGGGGATAACCAAAATGCTGCAATCGACATAAACGTCAGAACTTTATAAAGTTTGTAGACTCCTTTGACATGGAAATATATCGAGAAGTAGAGAAGCTCCGTGGGGATGAGAAGGACCGATGTTGCTTTTATCAGCTCATGGCCGAGTTGAGTGAGACCAGATGCCACATCGTTCAATGGCACTGCAGGGGATGAAAAGTTCATGGTCAGGAAACAGTTATCCCTCTGAGATGCAATTAAAAACAGGCGGCGATTTTCTGTCGTTAATTCAATAGAATCTGCTGGAGAAGGTCGTGTTGACGGTGTAACTCAACAAAACCAGGACAGTTGGTAAGTACTGCTTATGTATGAGTCGAAGCTGATCGGCGAGCGACAAGATGGAAACCCCCACACAGACCCCAAGACGATACTCTGGCAGATAACCTTAATTCTCGATTTCCTCCTCTTTCCAGATCAAATGCAAAAATTTGTATTTCTCAGCAACTGCTCCCGCCACTTCCTCTCCAACGGTGTACTGTAAGCCGGAATCTTCGGCACTTAGGCCGGCCAGGATGCAAGCGGAAAAAGCTCGGGCTACAGACCGTGAATCAACGGGTTCACGGCTGAACACAGCTATTATGAAGATGCATATATGTGCGAAGACGGCCAGATAAGGGATGGTGCCTTATTTGGGATTGGAGTTTGGTAAATACGTGCACAGTCATCAACGTCATGGCTTTTGAGCGCCACCTAAACAAACCTTGATGACCTGTCACCATAACATCGTATTGATCACCCCAATAGGAGTGCTGCGTCCGCTGAATAATCCACACCGCCTGATCCTACGATACAACAACCTGCCAATCATCTACGAAGTACAAGTCTCATAAGGCTATTTTTAACGTCCAAGCCCCAAAAGGGACTGAATTCAATTTAGCATAGGAATAGATCGGCAGTCGATTGCAAAAACTGTGACTGTCATATTAGACAGTCTATTAATGACTAGGTATGGATGCAAGCTCTCCTGGACCGGCAGTCCAATGTCCTCTAAACTATTCCAGCCTTGTATAGTACAGTAGAGGCCCCATGGGCTCGATTCCATTGCTTCCAACCCCCCCCCCTTAATGCAATATAACCCAACGCCAGTTCCGTCCCATACTCGTATACACATCGCTTGGTGGTAAAACAAATAGGCCTTCGGAGAAGGCCTTAACATAGTATACAAACTCTAACACGGTCACCTCACTCTATGAGGGCGGTGACTTCTATCTCTTCCCTTCTTGCTCTTGTCCTTGGGAAGCTCCACGGGAGTGTTCTTGAGTTCAGAAGCCATGAACTTCAACATGTAATCATCCGTAGACTTGATCGGCTTTCCCCAAGCATTAAGCTCGTCTTCCTCTCCTTCCTCTCCTGCATTCATCTCATATGCCACCGGGGTGCCTTCACCAGCAACACTGTCTACGACTTCTTGAGGGGTGTCTACAGCTGCAGGCGTTGCTGATGCGGTAACAGCATTCTCGTCAAAATCGGCCGCGTCTGTTTGCTCAAGCTCACGCTCAGCCACCCTAGCAGCTGCTACGTCCTCCCGGTCCTCAGCCTGGGCGAGCACTCGTTGCACATTATTGCTGTTGTCTGGGCCACCGAGAACTCGATCCATAGCGGCGCTTGCAGCAGCATCACCGTCGAGAAGACCAGAGTCCTCTCCCATCACATCCTGGACCGAGATCTTATTGAAGTAGTCCGTCGTAAACTCCCCTTCTTGAATAACCACATCATCCAGCATGCGTTTCTGGTTGGCCTTGCGTAGAATATTCGCTTCAATGGTATGCTCTGAAACCAGGCGGTAGATATGTACGTCCCTGGTCTGGCCAATACGATGACATCGATCCTGACACTGTTTATCCATAGCGGGATTCCAGTCAAGGTCATAAAAGATGACGGTGTCGGCTCCAGTTAGGTTGATACCCAGGCCACCGGACCGACTGGACAGTATAAATGCCAAGATTCGGGTGTCATTGTTAAAACGATCTGTGAGAATCTGGCGTTGCTCAACTTTTGTGTTACCATCTAGGCGAAGATATTTGTGGCCATGGATATTCAAAAACTGCTCTAGGATATCGAGAACCTTTGTCATCTGCGTGAAGATGAGTGCACGATGACCGCCAGCTTGTAACTTGCGGAGGAGTTTATCCAAGGTTTGTAACTTGCCACAATCGTATTGCAGCAGGCGCTTATCAGGGAATTGTATCGACAGTCCCATTCGTGCCTCGTGGAAGGGGTCCTTTGCCGACGTGTCAATAGCCGTCTTGACCATCTTAACGCCTGTCCGTGTAAGGGCGAAGGATGTTATATCCTTGGCAACGACTGGCGGGGTTACACAGGCAAATTTTCGAACAGTAGACTCGAGAGTTTCGGCCCGGAACTGTAATGTCGGCACCATTGAGGCCAAAGCAGGTGACTTATTGTGAAGCCAAGTCAGCCACTGATCACGCCGCTGTGGTTTCGGTCGGAAAGGGCGGTCATTGACGCCGATTGTAAGCAACTCAACTAGTTGCTTCCCATATATAGGTTTCTGTTGCCGCCGCAGGGCGTTGAGATAAACACAATGTTGGAGTTCTTCAAACCTGCCCCACCTAGAAGCACTCTCCAAGTACACCAAATTAGATTTAGCAGTGGATGGATCAAGATTGGTGAGAGCATTCTGGGCTCTGTTGCGCTGGGCCTCACGCATGTCCATTAAGACACGCTGTGCACTGAGCATTGCGCTTCGTGCAGTAACGGTCCCGGAAAGCCTCTCATGTTTGGTCGGAACCAAATTCAGGAATTCTAGGCTGACTTTGGTCATGGGATCGTCGCCGCCAAGCAGCCGGCGTACAAGACGCTCTTTGATCTCAAAGTCCCCGATAGCTGACTTCTGCATTGGGAAAGATGTCATGATAGGTCGGTCCAGGAAAAGGTCTGGGTGGTTGCAGACCTTCCTCAGCTGCATGAGGCAGTTAATTATAGAGAGGTAATTGCCAGAGCCTAAGGTCTCCCTAGTGTCTTCCCGGCTTAAGAAGCTGTCATATAACTCTCGCTGCCTCTTCGAAAGTCGGCAAAACTCGACATGCTCATACTTCGCAGGCATTTGCTTTTCAACGTCCGCCTTCAACCTGCGCAATAAGTAAGGTCGAAGCACTTTGTGGAGCTTGGCGATGATCGCTTTAGCCTCATCGTCCATTTTCTCACGCCCATGTTCCAGAATCTGCTCAGATGGCTTCTTGAACCAATCTTGAAACTCTTTTAGGTTCGCAAACCCGCCCACACCCTGTTCCGTACCGTCTGATGGCATCAAGAAATAAAGCAACGACCAGAGTTCCGTAAGATTGTTCTGAAGTGGGGTACCAGTTAAGAGAAGCCGTGCTCGTGTGTTAAACGTCAGCATAGCCTGCCACCGTTGCGACTGGAAGTTTTTAATATTATGAGCCTCATCAAGAATCATATAGTGCCAGGCGCGACGCTTGAGGACTTGTTGGTCTCGGAGAACAATTTGATAGGATGTTATGCAGACATTCCATGAATCGTCATCTCTCCATCCGATTCGTTTCTTTCTGCGTTCTTCAATGGAGCCATAATAACTCAGGATTTTGAACCCAGGACACCATTTCTTGAATTCCATCTCCCAATTCAGTATGACACTGGTTGGAACTATGATCAAATGAGGCCCCCACACTTGGTGCTCACAAGCAAGATGGGCCAAGAGAGCTATGGTTTGGATTGTCTTGCCAAGACCCATCTCGTCGGCCAATATACCATTGGTATTGTTGGCATAGAGGCCAGCCAGCCAGTCCAGGCCATAATGTTGGTATTCTCGGAGTGTGCCCCGCAAGAGGAATGGAATGGGAGTTTTCAAGAGGCTGCCTGGTTGCGGCGTGCTACTCTGAGTGGCCTGCCGGCTAATTTGGTGGGCGTCCACGGAAGATGAGGAATCAACCTCAGATGGTTTTGTTTGGGTAGTTCTCGGGGTTGGCAGACTACTGTGGTCAGAGCCGGGAGCCGGTGCCGGCTCTACAGATTCGAGACCCGCCGTGTTGGGTTCGGTGGGAGTCTCCGAGCTACCAACGAGCGGCTCACGTTCGGACGGCTGTTCTTCAGCAGTATCCAATAGCTCTACATCCTCGTTTTTATCCTGCTTGCTTGCTGGGCTGCCAGGTTCAAGCGTTGACTCGGGGTTGGCCTGGTCTAGTTCGATCTCCTTTTGAATGTCCGATGGGGCAAGAAACCCAAGGAGACTTGATTCTCCGGGGTCTTCGCTTTCCTCATCATCCTCGTCACTTGCATCTTCATCCGCACTACCGCGCTCTTCATCACTAGACCCAAGATCATCATCCATATCAATAGACTCATCGCTATCATCAAATATGTCTTCCAAATCGGATCCAGGGGTTGGTAGTGACTCATCCGCGTCAGCCATATCTACATCTTCCGTTTGAGCTGGTACGCTCGGCAGGCTCGAGTATTTCTGTCGAAGCTGTTCTTGCGTCAAGTTCTCATCCTCTGCTCCATCTAGCGTAGCATGCTCTTCGTCCGCATCTGAAGCCGTAGAAGACATATTACTTTCCCTATCTTCCGGAGAAGATTCAGAGTCGGAGCCGGGCTCGCCATCCTCATCAGATTCGCCACTTTCCTCTTCATCCGTGGGTAATTCGGAATCTCTGAACGCTCCCTGTGCTTGTAACTTCAAGGTTGATTTGTCGACAGCTTCATTCAAAGCTTTGCGCACTCGATCTTGCTCCTGGGCCTCCCATTCCAGCAGTCGTTGTCGATTCACCTCCGCTCGTACATTTCCCCACGTGGCTTGGAGAGTCTTAACTAGGAACCGATACCGATTTTCTGCAGCCTTTGCTTCCTCTGCTTCCAGTTGCTCTGCTGACTTCGGTTGCCGCCGATACCATTCATCCCTACAAGCTTCTGCAAGTCGTTTGGCTGAAGCTCGATGTTTCCTTTGTTCGATGAACATCAATCTTCGAAATTCGATGGCCGCCCTGTTCATATGATCTCGATGGGCGTACTGCTCGGGGATGTGTTCTGGCTCGGGTGGTTCATAGATAGAGCAAACCTCGGGACTCAGCAGCCCTCCGGGTTTGGCAGCCTCTTCTAGCCGTAGCATAAGGGCGGCATCTTTGATGGGCCCCCCAGACGTATATTTAGGGCCATCTTCCAAAGAACGGAGCCCACCAGCTTCAATCGGAATGTTTCTCCCCGCGTCCAAGAACTCTTCTAGTGTTGCGTATCTTTTCGGCCGTGGTAGAACTAGTCCAGGATGTGTTAATGGCAAGGAAGCAGGTTTGACCCTAAACTTTATTCTAGACAATTTCGCCTTGGGACTTTCTCCGTGGTGTACTTCTTCTTTAAGGGAGCTTCTCCGCGTGCTATCATCATGTTGGCCAGTATCACCATTCCGCTCAGAACGGCGACTCCTTTCTGGAAGATGTCGTGATGGTGCAGACTGAGGGGTTTTTGGTGCGGATAGCCTTCTGTGCTGGCGACCTGGCGTAGGCTTCGGCTCACTTGGCATGGATTTTCGATGGTATCGTTTAGGAGAGATGCCTGATTTCGAGGGCGATTTCTGGGCAAGGTGCGAGCTGAGCGTGCCAGCTGATGCAGTCTTCTTCGATCCATTAACTGGCTGATTAGATGTATCCCGCGTTTGGTGCGTTCCGTTCGCGTTTCCAAATTTGCCTTTGACCGAGTAGGTTTTCTGAACCGCGCCTCGCGTCTGACGTTTGGCAGAGGGTGGCTGCAGCTCCAGCGGTATTCGATTCGTCCGGCCAGACTTTCTAATTCCATCTTGTGTAAAGGACGAAGGCCCATCTGCTACAGACTTCTTCCAGGGAGGTGATTCTAGCTTTCGACGTGGACTCGGCGCGGTCTCACTCACTCGCCTCTTCTTCGCGGGAGGGCCTTCGTCTTTCGAGTTATCATCATGGTGACCATTTGTTTTGGGAATCTCATCGGTCGCAGGCTTGTCTGCAGAAAATGGGGTCAGTGTCGGTTTGATGTTACTGGGTGGCGGTGGTTCTGTACCAAATGTTGCTTGACTCTCTTGAGCATCTGACGCGGTCTGTGTCATAGTTCTTAGAGGGAGGGGCGAGGCACTACCGTGAACTCAATGAAATCACCATCTGAAGGGCCGCATCCAACGTCGATAGATGCGCAATCTCTCAAATATTTATGCTGCGAAGTTTGCGCATGTCTGGAGGTAAGTTGCGCGCGTGATCGACGAAATAGTGGTGGATTTCACGTTGTTAACATAAATACAAATTTGATCGCCCTTGTCTGACAGGGAACGAGTAGACGTAGGACTTAAGCGAGGCGCTACTTCGCCGTCAGGTAACCTCATGCAAGCTCGTTGACGTTGAAGCTTGAGAAACAAGAGCATTCAGAGCACACAGAACATCCCAGAGACTGCCACGCAAGGTCAGACTCTCCGGTATCCCCAATTGCAATTCATGCGCCTATGCTGACTACGTTTCTAGATGCTTTCCCGGCGAATTGCGACGGCAGCCCCCCTGCGGGTTGCGAGGCAGGCGACTCGACCAACTCGACTGCCACCATTCACACAACAACGATATGCTCAAACAGCTAGCACCCAGTCCGATGATTCATATGACTATCCTAATTTGGTTTGTGGCCACTTATACCGCGCATTTACTTGCTGCGCAACTCGCCTCAAGCTTTGGCTGACGCTGTAGGGTGAAGACGGCGGCTCAGGATCCCCTCATGGTTCGTGTTTTCAACACCCTCGTTGCGACGCCATTGGCTGACATGATGAATAGAATGGAGGATATGTCAACCCGCCTCGAGTAAAGCGCCAATTCCGAGATCCCCATGGCGACTGGTGGGACAAGCAGGAGCGTCGAAACTATGGAGAGCCTGTCCATGAAGACAATGATATCCTCGGCATGTTCTCGGTTTATGAATATACGTACACGACACCAGGAAAGGCAATATTCCAGATTGGCTGCTTCGTGGCTACTGTCTTCGCACTTTCCGGCGTCGTTATGCTATCTTACCCAGATAAACCATCTGCACCAAGGGAGTTTGAAGGAGGACTTGAGAAGGAACTGGGTGGACCACTTGCAGTACGGGTAAGTTGAACATTCGGCGGATCTATGCTGTATTCCATTACTTACATTTTATTAGGCCAGGGCACCTGGTGACGATCATTGATAAGTGGATTTGGCGTGGATAGAATTGTACATAAAGGAGTCTCGTCAATCAGAGTTAAATTATCTTACTTTGTGCCCAGCCACCCACTGCTAGTCCCAGGAGGTATGGGGGATGATTGTCTAGCTGTATTGGAACCACTGATCACCAAAACCTCGAATACGTACTCAGCAATAATGGATACAGCCCAACAACGAACATATCCAGATTAGCCGACTTGTGTGGTTGGAATAATCAACAGGGGCGCCTTTAGTCGCAGTAAACTAATTCCCCAGGTAATTATAGAGATTTGAGACCGTTTCTTTCTTCTGTCAGCCCTGTGAATCCCCCACACGAAATCCGGTATGGGCATTCAAATCTGACGTGAAATTTTATATTTATGTCCAATTAATTTTATAGAAAGAAACGGCTCTAGCTCTCTAGCTCTTTTAGCTTTTTTATTTCGTGTATATCGTTTTGTCTATTTTCCAGTGGTACTTGCAGCTTGAGCAACTGTGTTGCGCCTTCTGGTTTTGTTTCAACACACTGTTCCTGCCGAACCGCCAGTGCCGCTCTTTCCTTGACGTGCCACTCCCCCTCAATATCTTCCTTCCCAGCCCTTCAAGCTTCAAATCACACCCAAACCCTTTCACACTTCTGCTCCCTTATACATATCATCGTTTGCAACAAAATCCGCTCCTTGCACATCTACGATTCGCAATGCGCTACCAAAATTGGGATGTCCTGCTCTTTCCAACAGGTAGCAAGATCCCGTTGCAGGAATTCAGAACAGATTGCCATGTGATTCAAGATCCTAGTTAGTATTGGGATTTTGTCAAGATAGATTTAGATTCCTGATATCTAATTGGAATCACTAGAACCCCACAGTTCGCAGGTTAATCCACATCTGGTCCCAATCGTTACATGTTTTATCCCCGGCCTCCCTGCGGATACTGCATTCTACGTCTCCGTCCACTCCTGGGAGAGGCCGCAAATTAGTCGATATCTGAGAAATATTACCCACGCTTCCGATATTGTCAGGTTTGAAGCTCGAGCTTTCATCGATGGAACACTTGTTGGGTAAGGTCCATAACGCTCTATGTGATTATGTTGACATATATTAACGTCTTGACAGCTCACAATTGTTTGCTCAAAACGTCAGTTGGCCAACAATCATTGATCTCAGCATGGATGTCGACAAAAATGGCGAATTCCTGAAGCTAAAATTTCCTACATTCCATAAAGAACTTTTGTCACAGAGTTATTGGAACGCTGGGGATGATCTCGGTCGCATGAAAGTCATCATCGCCGAGGGCTTTTATCGAGATAATATGATCCATCCATTTGAGCGTGTCAAGAACCTCGTTTGTTTTTCCTTTCAGCATGCTCCACTGGGTAAGTCGGAGCATTGAAATGTCCCTACTAAGTCTGGAAAACTCACGGTTATGTCTCTATTATAGACGTGCTCGAAGCTTCGTCAATTGCATGGCCCAACACAGCCATGTGGCGCCAGGTCTCCCTTTTGGGACCTTACTGGGCACAGAATCCCTCCTCACGGCGTACAAATGATGGAGTCGAGAGCCACACTCATTCCCCACACCATAAATCTCACAGCTCCCATCCATTCGACCCCTTTATTGATGCTGGACGGCCTCAATCTCTCCGATGGCGCCAATCTTCCGCAGCTGATGTCTCCATGCCGGATTATAGCAATTCGAACACTCGCACAAATAGCAGCCGACATGTTACAGATCCCATGAGCATATCTGGGATGAGCGATCATCGGCTCGAAGCCCTACCTTTTCCTGGTGCTTACGACACGATTTGTGAGGCTCTCATGCCCTCTGCTCCTGTCAACACCCCACAAAACGAAGGAACTCCTGTGAAACCGCTGCCGGGAATGGCCATGGTTGCAATTCCTTCGGCCCAAAAAATTGTGCCCGAAGCCGAATCAGCCGTAATCTCGGCGTCGAAGCATGGTACGTACCCAAACACTTCTGGATTATAGAAGGAATATATATGCTAACTGGCTACTGTTAGCCAATCCAACCGCTGGGCCGGATAGCAGCCCGTTAATTGCCGTCAGGTCGTCGGACACTGGTGGTATCAAGAGTAGGAAGGAGAACATGCAAGAGAGCCCCCGCGGAACTAAAGCAGATCTTCACGCCAGCGAAGGGGTATCTCGCAAACTATCTCTACCAGTCCTTTCCGAGAAGGTATCTGAGACCCCTCGCGGATCCGAAGTAGATCTTACCGGTAGTGAAGGGAGAGTTCGCAAGGCTTCTCAGTCGTACCGCGCTTCAACTAGCGGTGGCAAGAAACGACAGAGAGTTGTTTCATCGGCGGCTTCCAAGGTCACCGATGACGAGGATGAGCCTAGGAGCTCTCCATCTCTTCGGAAAGTTTCAGGGCTGAGTCTCAAGCAGGGCACTAAGAATGGCGAAAGACAGGTATTGACCGGGATCGAGAATATTTAAATTACAGGCACCACTTGCTCTGCTTTGCTAGTCTCAAAGTCAGTAATGTTTATCGTTAAGCAATAACCGACATCAATTCCTATGCAAAGTCTCCCAACGCCCCATAAGCAATGTGATACTAAGAGATATCTATAAACACCACCACGCCTTTATGACTCTCCGTCCGTAACGGTGAGAGGGGCCAGTAATTCCTCATCTGCCGCATCCTTTCGTCAAGTCAAGTCACCGATGTGCGTTGGGTAGTTGTAAGGTATTATGTTCATGCTAACTAATATAATAATATACTCTGGTCTTTTTGCTAACGGGACCTATTCCCAGCGAAGAAGACAGCCCCTTCTACCTCCCCCCCATCCCATCTCTGGTCTTTGATAACGGCGCAGCATCGAGCGGGTATGATGATGATGATGATGATGCAAGCAACAAAATGTAGTAGTAGCAATAGTAACCATGTCGACGACGCCAACGCCTCATGAATGCCAAATCGAAGCCCTCCGCCGACCCCCCCCGAAACCGGGACATGACCACATACACATCCACATACATATATAGAGGTATATATGCCATGCCATGCCATGCCGTGCCGTGCCAGAAAATGATTCATCAAAAATTGGGTAAAACTGTACGCCATAGCAATGCCCCCGACCCACACCGTCCGCTTCCAATGTGCCAAACAAAAAAACCCAGGTGTGAATAATTCTTCGGCCACGGCTAGCTGGCCGGCCGGTGGCCCCGTCCCTCCATCCACCTCCGAAATGCATGATGCTCTACATATGATATTTGGCTATCGCGCCACGCTCACACACAACACAACGAACGAACGAACGAACGAACGGTAGGTAGGCACCCTGTTTTGTGTCCCTGTTCTGTGTCTTTTTTTACTTCTTCCTCCCGCTGGCACCCGTCGACGTTATCTTGGATGTGGACATTAGGTCCCCAATGTATTTCTGGAGAAATTTGTTGTTGTTGTCGAGCTTGTCGTGTTCTTCCTTCACCGCTTCGATACGATTGAAGATTTCTAGGAGGGATTTCTGGAGGACCTTGGCGTGTCTGTGGGGAGGGGGCGGAATTGGTTAGTGGACATCTCGGTGGTACTTTTTTTTTGGTTTATGGGAATGGCGGAGGGGATGTATATGAAGTAAGGAAAAAACGTCAAAAAAGAGTTGGTGTATCGATGTATAGGTGGTGCAAAATTGGCCACAAAAAAAAAAGTTACGGGCAGAGGGGAGTAACGTACTTGTCCAACTCGGCGCGGGCATCCTGGCTCATTTTTTCCATTTCCTGGCTACTCCGCCTGGGACTCATAGCCCGCGCATCGTCGTCGTCGAACTCCTCATCCTCATCATTCAACTCAACCTTGGGATGCTCCCTCGGTACTATTATGGTCCCACTGGATCTCTGCGCCCTCATGCCGGGGCGCTTGGTGGTGGTGGTGGAGACCGTATACACATCGCTGTCCTCGTGGACGGAGAAGGAGGAGGAAGTAGTGTCGCTGGTTGAGGTTATGGGGAGGGCGGCGTTGCTGGTGCTATTATGTGTTGCTGCTGTTGCTGTGGAGGGAGGATCGGGAGCGGTCGGCGACCCTTCCATACTTCTTTTGCTTTGCTCTTCAATTTTCCCCTTTTGTACTTCCCTTTCTGCTTTCCCTCTGCTGTGTGTGTGTTCTCAGTGGCTGCTGTGTTCTTTCAGCCTCTCTTCTCTCTCTATATGTGGTTCTGCCCTCGTGCCTCAGAGCAGTCGACGGCACAGAAAAAAGGCGTATGTACGTTCCGGTACGTGGGGAGGAGGCTGCTTCAGGAGGGATCGAATATGGTACTCATTTGAGACGTGCATTCGCAAAAAAAGATTGAAGGCTGCTTGGTCTGTCGAATAGGTGTAGGTGTAAGTGTAGGTGTGGTGGGTGTGAGTAGTGTGTACCTTACGCAGTAGCAGTGACAGCAGCAGCAGCGGCAGTAGCAGTAGTGGCAGCGAGGTATGGGTGGACCGGAGTGGCTCCGTAGTACGCCAGTAGTGCGCAGAAGTGGGAAGTAGGTACGCAAGGTACGGGTCAATAGTTTGGATTCTGGATATATGGGATTATTGGGGACTTTTGGGACGTAGTAGTCGGGCTGTTTCTTAGTTTCTATGTACAGCACAGCACGAAGCGCACAGTAGCACAGTGAGTGGCAGCGGTCTGGTGGTTGGGCAGCGTCCTGGCAGGCCGCTTGGAGCCTTTGGACCCTTGAAGCGGCGAAAGAACCTTGGAGCAGAAGTGGAATAAACTAAACTTGGGGGGGGGGGGCCTGAAGCAGTAGTGAGGCCTGTGAAGGGTTGTTGACTTTGGAGGGTCAAGGGCGCTGGGCTGCTTGGGGGATAAAGGTCCGGGGCGGGTGCACTGCAGTCGACACTAGACAGCGAGCAATGGGCAGCTGCTGGGCAGTGACTTAGTGAATAGTGGGCATTATGACCGTAGTGATTTCTAGCAGTTCTAGTAGCGGTAGTGAGCAGCAGCGGCACTCCTAAACCGTAAAACAGTAAACAGATAGCGGGCAAAGCAGCTGCCGGTTGTCGGCATAGTAATAGAGCAGCTCCTGGGGTGTTCCCTCCTCCTCTTCCCCCCAACCAAACCCCGTACAGGACAAGCCAGTGCAGTGCAGTGGACAGTACAGTGGACGCAGTTAGCAGCAGTAGTGGTACAGCACATTACTGCTGTGGCAAGAGTTCAGGCTGTACCTACAGCAAGTACCGGCTACTAACCGATATTCCCGACAACCACTACTACTACTACTCACTAACTACCAGCGTGCCAGTGTCAGTGCCACGAGGCCACAATGCCACTATGCCACCACTTTGCCACTAACTGTCGCAACTCTCCCTCTGCCTGCCGCCGCTGGAAGACTCGGGCGTCACGAGCCACGGGAGGAAGCGCGTAAGTCGTCATGTGGAGGGGCATTTGCCATACTTGTTAGGTACAGATTACACAGCTGGACATCTCCACTGCCTACTGCCGTACACCGCTGGGCTGGCGCTGCTCCCTCCCGAGTCCCTCACTATTCCACTCCCCATCCTGCCCGGTTTCCTACCTCAGGAGAAGGAGGACGGCCAAAATACCAACAAACTCTACCGCCCATTCTTCAAGCTTCCACACACAATCCCTTTATTATTAGTGGTACAGTACAGTACTGGAGTCGGTAGTGCATGGCTTGGTTAGGTGTGCGTGCCTCCCAAGCTTCCCTCTGTGTGGTTCCTCCCTTGTATGCACATTCCCTCTCTAGCTTCTTAGTAGCTGCACACTACTACATTATTTATTCATTACCAGTACTTATTATAATCATTCCTATTTTATACCTCCCTAGGTCCTAGGTAGTCTGCTAGTGTACGGGGCAACCGGACAAGGGCGACCGCTTTTGGCATCCCACCTGGTGTAGTACAGCGCTGTACTAACCGTGCTCGAGTAGCGCTGTCACACTCATTCCCCTGAAATTGGTGTTGGGTGGAGTAACCGAGTTGCTGAGTTGCTGAGTACTGTACTGTACCTTGATAGTGGGACTCTTGGGTCAGCCAGAGTAGGATTATAGGATTGGTAGTGTAGGAACTACTTACTTCGTACAGTACAGCACCTATTTATCCCGCCACCACTTACTAATACATGCACTGTACAGTACATGCGAAGTTTTCCCCTTCCTACATTATTACACATCCTTTCCTAATGAATGTTTCTCGCTCTTCTTCTCAGCTCGTACTTATGTACAGTATACTGGAAAACTACTTTTCCAGTCGCACGGGGTTTCACATTTTCCCAAACCCCCCCCATTCCATACCCCAGCAAAACCTCACCGAGCCAGCTACGTCAAGATGACCTCACCGACTGCCGATCCGAACCACAAACAATCACAGCAAGCCTCTCCCGCGACCCCGTTGGAAAAGTCGCCTTCGACCGATCAGCGTGCAATACCGTAGCCCGACGGCGGGTCATCCATCCTTATAATGCCCTGTCCTATGAAACGCTTAGGATTCAGACTGTCGGGACTTGGATGGTCTTCTGCTATGAAGAGTCGTGATGTGTTGCTCACATTGATACAAGGGCAGGGTCATGCACTCTCACTCACTCACACACTACTTCCCCCCCCACTCAGATTAAATAACGCCCTTCTCCACCTTCCATCAACCTGCTTCGTTGGTCTGATTGGATTTCGTCGCCAAGTTATCGCTGCTAGCAATGCCCAGCATGGAGGGTTTTGATGAGGGTCCGAGAAACTTCACCTCAGCCTTTGCCGCAAGTGGCATCGATTTTCGACTCGGCATAGCAGATCTGTCATATTCCCATGTTCACGGCATGTTCCATACCAGTTCCAGGGAACCTCCCGTTTCAGCCTGCGTGACTGCTGTGCAGAGTCCAGCATCTTGTCGATCATAGAGGTGGTTGGTCTCGGATTCCAGGTGCTTCGAACGCTGTAGCCGTTGACATTCTCTCCAGCCTCTCTGACCCTTTTCCCCGAAGACCAGCACTAAAACAAATAACCAATAACCGCAGCCCAGGCAGATATAACAAACTCCAAGTACCGGGAAAATGAGGGATTTGTCGTCATACTGCCTTGTCATTATCCCGACAGACTCCTCATATACACGAATTCCCAGAATAAACGCCGGAGAAATATGACGACAGATATGCGCAACGAGGATCGTCCTTTGACAACCTCGACTCAGTGTCACCCCCAAGACTCGCGCCTGCAAATTTCCCCATACCGTCGGACTTGGCACCTACTTTGGCAACCATTCAAGCAATCCCTATCAGGGATAATGCATAGCCACGATAACCGTGATAAAAACTTCGGAAATCCTCCGATACTAACTGGTTGACCGGACCGGGCTAGTTGGGAAGCCGTCGGCAGCCTGACAACCCGTTGCTGGACATCCCTGGCCCGTTGCGAATAACACAGGCGGTGAAATTGTTTGAGGTTCCGATGCAGGACTGATCAGCCTGCTTCGAGTCATTATTTTCAATGCTTTTTGCAGCTGGTTATCTTTAGCTCAACGACAAAGCACAGGTGCACGGCAGTTGACGTCGGCGTGAATGCTCGGATACATGGACCCTTGACCCATCCACTAATTGGGGAAGTGCTTATTCATTAGCACAGCATATAAGAAGTCAATCTTGATAGAAGCCCCCTCGCCGACTTGACGCGGGCACTAGCCGTCAGGATATATGCTTCCTGAGTATATAAAAGACCCTGTCTTTGCATCACGGCCGGTCAGGCCAAGGGATGCAGCTTGGCCATCCCACTTGACTCCTCGAGTGAGCAAGAAGAGTTCCTCCACACTTTGCACATATACTTCTTCATCTTTCTCATTTCCCGTGTCATGGGAAACCTTGGTGGGCGGGGGGAGCCTCTGATGCTCAAACACATTTTCTACGTTTGATGGGTAGGCAGGCATCTGAGAGTATGGACCCTGAATTTATTCGTCACGTCGAATGGCCGGGAAGATACTTGAACGACTCGAGGTGAAGGTGACAAAATGACCTCACCAGGGTGCGGCCCGGTGCGTCTGACAAAGTCAAAATCGGTGCGGGAGCAGCAGGACTCGCTCAGTCAGCGATTGATTTCGAAAAGTTCAATTACCCCATCGCCGACCTGATTTTTCCTTTGGAAGTTTTGCTTCACTCACGACTCACCAGAGGGACAGCTAGTCAGCCATAAGCACGCTATTCCAACGACGAGCCGCTACATACCTTAGGTACTTGGCAGCTCCGCATTCGCGGGACCCGTTACTCTGCTAGAACTGCATCGATCACTCGCATAGGCGGACCGTATTAGCCGTTTTGTAGCTCTTTGTCTCTTTGAAACCATCCATCAGGAGAAGAGATATAAAAACGGATGGGAGCTGGCAGATTGGTAGGGTGCAACAACAAGTGGTTCTAAGTATATGCTGGTTCTAATAAGAGCGCTAGTTGTTGCCTACGTGCGTGGCAGCCGTTTGCTTGGTGACTAGCAAGATCACGTGGTGCAGCCCACGGTACTACTTACGTTTAACTTACCACTTTATGAGTAGAGAAGATCCTTCGTCCTTGAAAACCTAACCACCCCCTAGTTGTCAGAAATCAATCCGCTCTGGTCCACAAAGACAAATGGTAAGGAGCCTTTCAAAGGAGAAACGAGCGAGCCAGGTAACACGGGGGACATAAAAGATCAAGATAAATGGCTTATATTCCATGATATCCTTAGGTGCCTCGAGTTTTCATGTCCTACCTCGTAGCACTTACCGCGGCAACTTGCAGTGGCGGGACTGCGTACGGGTACACACTGCACTGCACAAGGCGCCAAAGGCAAAAGGCAAAGGCAAAAGCAAAGTCCAAGTCAAACTTCTCTCCAAGACTCCAAGGCGTCGGAACGCCAAGTGGCAACGCAGAGCAGCTGCAGTCAGCCTCAGACCTCCGAGCGGCCCCTGCAGCCACCAAATACTTCCATACCTCCGAAATCGAATCGATAGTTCCTGGCTATTGCCTTTATTATTACTTACTATTAACAGCCTCCTCTCCAAGTACAGTGCACCCTGCATTGTGTGTAGCTCATGCTGGAAATAGCCTTGGTACTGTGCATCATTGATAGTACTGTAGGTGGTTGATACGAGGTAATTGAATAGATCAAGGAAAAAGTACGGGGATGAAAAGATAATAGTGGGCATTTCTGCTCCCCGAATAGAAAATCCCGCGTCATATCTTTCGTAAGTACGTAGGTACTCTACTGTATCCAGACGTACAGTACATGTACCCGCGAACGGATAAAGGCGTGGCGAGTCAAGCTAAGCCCCGTTAAGCCAGCAGCAGCAGCAGCAGCAGCAGCAGCAGCAGCAGCTCTCTGCTGCACACGGCGAGGGTCCAACCTATGGCGACACCAACACCAACACAATCACCAACACCAACCCCCGACCCCAGCAGGATTTTTCCAAGCAGCGCAAAGAAAGCTCCAGCCCCGTCAAGCTCAGGGAGGCGATGCGAGAATCTGCCTTATCACCAACCCCCACGACGACGACCACGACGACCACGACGACGACGACCACGACGAAGACGTAATACGCATATTCACACTCGTTTTGCCCTCCTGCGTCTCGTCTCGGCCGCATCTCCATCTCGAGGGCCTATCCATACTGACGGTCGCGCAATGGCATTCCACCCTTTCAGCTCACTCACGCGTTGTTGGAGCCTCATTGTCGCGTTGCTCCTCTGCGCCGCTACGGTCTGTCGAGCTCAGGCGACGACGACTGCGCCAGCGAGTATATTCCCCGGGACAGCGTCATGGGCGTATCAAGGGTGCTACAACGAGACGACGACGGTGAATGGCACGAATGGGTTGCGGGCGCTGAATGGGGGGATTAATAGTGCGTTGGATACGATGACCGTGCCAATATGTTTGAATTTCTGCGCGGATGCGAATTATGCCTTCGCGGGTTTGGAGTATACTAGGTATGAGTCTCCCTCCCGCTGTCTGTGTTGGGAATGCTCGTGTTTTGCTACGTAATCGATTGATTGGAAGAATTTGGCAACTGATTACTGACTGCTTCTCTCTAGGGAATGCTATTGCGCCCGCTACGTCTCCTCCCTATCGTCCAAACTCCCAGACTCGTCCTGCAACCTCCCCTGCAAAGGGAACAGCTCTCAAATATGCGGCGGCTCGCTATCACTAAGTGTGTACCAAGTGAAGAGCTCAAAAGAAGGCTCGGGCATCAAAGTCGTCCGGGAGGCACCCGTCGGCAGCGTCCTAGCCCTCGGCATCGCCATGGGCGTATCGCTATATCTAGCTTGAGGCGACGGAGCGGGACCGCCGTGCGTGGATCTTAATAATGGGGAATGCGGAATTGGGAATTGTATACTGTGATGTCTTAGATGATGATTACTACTGTTTTATTAGATGGGCCGCGAAAATTCATTTGGGCCAGGACAAGCAGGCAAGCGGGTATATCCAGGGCTGTTTTTAGTTCTCGCGGGGCGTTACTTTCTTACCGCACTCTGCTTGTGCGGAAAAGGGATGGGGGTTTTTGTTTGCGGAGTAACGATGGCGGGTTGCGGATTGCGTAGACTGGCGTTTTTTGTGGTCTTGCTTAAATGCGTTTCTTAAATTTAGCTCCTCCTCGCTATGATAGATAGATAGATTATTATAATTCCAACCGACCGAGACCGCGTTCCTGCACTGCCGATTGAACATGTTCTTTGATATCCCTTAAAACCTTAGCCCATGCCCCGCTACCGTTGCTTTCATTAGATTCGTTACTTTCGTCAATAAGCCATTCCAGCCATTTCACCACCCCGACAACCTTCTCCATATCCAGCTCATCCAGCACAACCCGTTTCAAATACCGCTCTAATGCGGAAACATCGTCAGGATGGGGCCCGTCATCTGCGAATCCTTCGTGCCACGCACTCAGCGCGTCTCGCAATTGAGGTAGCGTAGTTAGTTGCTGTGTTGTGAAAGTCGGTCTCCGTTCTCGAGGGGGGAGCTGTAATTTCCTTTGACCAGGCAGAACGGGCTCAGATGGCCGTGGTTTCCTCGTAGCAGCGGGTGCAACGAGCCCGCCCTTTTTAGCTAATCGTTTGCGGCGATGCTCGTCGATGATTTCCTGCCGCATGTCCTCCGGTAACGCCGAGAGGAATTCAGGATCTAGAGTCTCGGATACGTAGTCTTCCGAGTCGGTGGCCTGGTCATTAGCTTGCTCCACGGCGTCTTTCTTGTTGGTTACAAAATTGGCTTGGGTGAGGGTTGAGTGGGCTTCTTGCTTGTTGTTTCGGCCACGGAATAATAGACCTCGCTTCTTAGTTGGAGTGGTTTTCTTAGGATTGGCGTTGAGGCCGCGGATTTTGCGAGGTGATTGTGGGAGGAGATTACGGGTACCATGAGCAACTGTATTGGACGAGTACGAGGCTAGCACTTCTGCTTTCAACTCCTCGGGCAAAGACTCGAATACTTCTGGATCTAGATCTGGAGGTATCTGACGATTCGGTGCTTCTGGAAAGGGGCTCTGAGACCTTGATTTAGTAGCGGGAGACTGGCCTCTTGACATCGAGCTGCGCTTGGCTTGGTTCATCAACTTGGATCGAATGTCTTGCGGAAGCTCCGCTAACACATCTGGGTCGATTTGGCTTGGGATAATGAACTGGGTACCGGTGAGGTTGAGGAATTTCTTAGCACTTTGGTCGGCGGCATTACTCCTCGTAATAGCAGCGGCAGGGTGAATCGGCGTGGCTCTTGGTTTCTGCGGGCTGTCATGAATGGGATCGCCATTATCTAGGTGTTGGGCTGTGACCCATTTTGGTTTTTGAGAAGTAGTCGGGTCTGAGTCGTCTGAGGCTTCGAATTTGCTCTCGTCTCGGCGAATCGATGATGTTTTCGGCTTCTTTGGTGTGACCGGGTCATCGATTAGATCTTCTATAATTTCTTTGCCTAACGGTGGTGCAGCAGGGGCACCGAAATTAATCCGTCTCTGGCTACCATCCGCAAGAGCGTTGCTGGAAGGCTTTATGGGGTCAAGTTTGGTCATCTGGACTCCAAGACCCCTGAGATCTCCGGCAGCGAAGGCATAACTTCGAAGTATTGATATTGCCTCTTTGCCGATTTTCTCGGCATTGTTTGTTGCAACTCCAAGGACTATGCTTTTGCTGTACGTGTCGCATTTGCCATGGCCTAAATGTTTTGGTGGATCAAGGGGTGCATCTCCAGCCCTTTTCTTAATCTTCATGGTGAGTTGCCTCCCTTTGACACGTTGGTCAACAAGGCGTTGCTTGAGCTCGATACAGAGTTTTTGGACAAATTCCTCCGCCTCGGCTTGAGATGTAAATCTTATACCCCAGTTGATTTCAGCTGAGACAGATTTTCGAACAACCTGTTGTCCTACCTCTGTCCGATCGATCCCTCGTGAGTAGTCCCATATCTTCTCGCCAGTTTTAGGGCCGAGCACTGTGATAAGGCGGTCTTTGGTCAACTGACGGACGTCTTTGACAAATTTGACACCGATCTCCTCAAGTTTACCCCCAATGCTATACGCAACACCGGGGAGGTCCTTGACGCTGAGTTCGGCGAGGAAATCCAGGGCTTCTTCAGGCTTGAGATGATATTGTCCTGCAGGCTTAGCTTTGCGAAGAGCAACTTTGGCAAGTAATATGTTGCCTCCAATACCAACGGACACTGAACACCCTGTGGCATTTTTGATTCGATCTCGGAGGCTTTGTGCGATGCTATCGGCCTTCTCCTGCTCTCGATATATGCTCCCCTGCGAGAGACCAAAACCAGCACTGCCACCAGCGGCTAAGCAGAGGCTAGTGATGTCCACCAGGGCCTCATCAACACTGACGCTTTGCACAATGCCTCCAACATCCAAAATAGCTTCGTAGAACTTTTCACTTGCTTCCTCGTATGCGGGAAAATCGTAAGGAAGAACTTTAAGATTCGGACATAGCTTCAATGCACCCTTCATCCACATCCCGTTTTTTACTCCAAAAGCACGGGCAGGGTAATTGCAACTTGCAATTTCAGATTCGTTCCCACTGCCATGAGCGACTACCGCTGGTTTGTCAACATATTCGGGTGCGCTTTTGAGCGAGACGGCACAGAAAAAGCTGTCAAAATCAACGTGCATTATATAACATCTCGACCCTGGTTTGGGTTTCGAAAGCTGCTTTTGTGACGCAGATTTCTCAGCTGCCATTTGTTGAAACCGTGATTTAAGATCCGCTTTCCACGTTGACAGATGATGGAGGCGGGACTCGGAATAGTATTGCTTTAGAAATTCAGGATTGCCAGTTGATGATTTCCTGATGTTCGGATCTGCTAGTAGAATGGCATTGTGTTCCTCAGCAGTCAATACTCTGGCTTTCTTTGACGGAGACACATCTTCGAGTTTAGATGAACGCTTATGCGGAGTAGTCTCGGTTTGAATGAGCGGACTAATAGGTTTCGATGAAGGACTTCCTGGAATGATGGAATTTCCAGTTAGAGACGCTGTCGTAACAACTGGAGATGCTTCCCTAGGTGTCTCCACCCTTTGAGAGATGCCCTCTTTACCCAGCTGGTATCTGGCATCATCCTCTTCCATTGCAGCATCCATCAGTGCATCTTCTAATGATGATGTGACCTCAAAGCTTCCTGGAGGATTCAAGGATTCGCCGGGGATAGGCTCAGCCTTACAGGGAGACTCCATACCCATCCCCGTTGGTTCAGCAGAACCACCTTCATATGCCGTGCTCTTGCTGGTGGCCGTCACCGTACCCCAGGTTGGAGGAGTATCGTCGTCAGCAATGCCTTCTGCCAGGCTTTTGACTTGACTAGTATACCAGCTGTGGTTCATCTGGTCTTTGTATCCTCGTTGTAGCGTTGACGCCTGACTAACAATCTTCCCACTTTCAAATGCAAGCTGTCGTTGTCCAGAACCTTCATCAAGGACACGATAAGCATCCCAAGGTAGCAGCTTTCCTGCTTCCACACTGTCGACGATCCATGCTGGCTTGACGATGCGATACCGTCGGAACTCGATGGCCTTCCTAGGGGTGAGGTTCGAAGCGATGATATGAGTTACTGTAGTCTTTCCATCCAAGTATTGCATGAATACACCTCCATGGGTAACAATCAAATGGTGGAGGTCATTCAAAGAAGGCTGGGTGTATCCGTTCACATGGGCAACGACCCCGCGGAATATTTTTGGGTTTCCAAGAGACGACGAACGAATCTCCGCATCGAGGTTCTGAAGTTTTATCTTCTTCCGCCGGAAATAGTCGTCAAACCCCCCAAACTTAGACCCTTCATATTCGTCACCCTCCTCATCCTCAAAAGTATGAGCCTCGATCCTTTTCCGAACTGATGCCGAGTTCTTCTCTAGTCTGCTTCCCATCTCAGATGTGGATGAGGTATGCGTATGGCCTCCATGAACGTTCCCACTAATAGGTTGGGTTTATTTACCCAGTGCCATATTTATACTCTTGGGGATGAGCGATGCCCGATCAGATGGAGACAACCAGTGAGTGGACTATGTCGACGGTCCGGAATCTCAAGGTATTTGCCTTCAAAACGCGAGTCGCGTCATCACGACAACACGTGATGCATGGATACGGGAAATTCTCGGCTTTCGGGTTCGAGCTTCGTTGAACTCTCGCCACCGGCCATTTCGACGACAACGATTCAATGCCGATAGCTTGCTATCTGTTGGGGCATAGTGCCCTCAAATTCGGGGGCTTATCAACTGATGTTATCCAAACGGTCCTCTGGGACCTGCCTACAAGTTACTATGGTGTACTTAAACCTAGTTATCCAGCGATAACGCCAGTGCCTAGCTCACAGTATCCTAAAGCGAAGATGCACCTAATACGAGTGTTTTAGTCTTATATGATAAGTTTTGCTCATCTGCTCTTCGCAACTTCTTCCTCTATTCACCTCTTCTGGAATAAAGCTCTACTTTCTCAATGGAGCATCGATGAGACTTGATAGGCATCGGAGATCGAGCCCGCCACTTCTTCCTCGATATTGACCTTAACACTAATTGAAACCCCCCAAGAGGATCGAGAAACATGTCTTACGCTAGCGTATCAATACTCAAGTGTTAGCTGGTGCTGGTGAATTCACAATTTCACTATATTTCTCAGGGTTGGGACTTTGCCAAGGTCAAAGCCACTGTTACCTGGAAATTAGCGAAGTATACGTTTGGAGTTAGATAAGACTAGAAGGAGAGAAGAGGCGGGTATAAGTTAGAAAGCATGCAACTACCGCGGGGCAATTTGATGCTCCGGCCGGGCATCAGAAGCACATCGGAAGTTATAGCGAGGGTTGGTCGTTGTTGCTTTATATCCGTATATCCGATCGATCGTTTTGAAAAATTACAAATGTCGCTGCATTCCCGCTTCCTTGAGCCCTCTCGGACTCCATTCTATTTCTGGTAATCATACTTGACCGTTGAAGCATTCTGATAATACCACCCAAAATTTCAACCATGGCCGCCACCAAACAACTTCGAATTGGCGTCTTTATCCCAGCCAGTGTCCAGCTTCTAGATCTCTCCGGTATTGACCTCTTCGACATGATCACTCCAGAATACCTTAAGCTATGTGGGCTACCACCTCCTCTAATATCACTTGGCGTTCCTTCTACCATCCACTATATATCTGTGCCCGAGAAAGGTTCGCACGTGGAGTTGACTGCCAAGGTTGTTCTTCAAGTATCCAGAACTATCGATGATCCGGATGTCCAGCCTGGGATGTTGGATATAGTCCTAGTTCCAGGCCCCGAGCCTGGCACGATTTTTGAAACGAAGGTGCTGGAGTACTTGAGAGGACACGCGGAATGGAAGGGAGAGAATGGTCAAACGACGGATATTTTGAGTGTATGTACAGGTTGCAGCATGCTGGGTCAAGCTGGGATTTTAAAGGGGAAGCATGCAAGCGGACCAAGGGCGCTGGTGCCGAGATTGAGGAAGGAGTTCCCGGAGACTTCTTGGGATGATAGTAAAAGATGGGTACAAGATGGAAATGTGTGGACTAGTGGTAAGCTCGCAGTCATATACTCTTGGTGACTTTTGCTTCGCCGATGATTGACTTAGAATCCTCCTTTTTACCAGAACATACTGACTTTAAATAGGAGGAATAACGAACGGTCAAGAGATGGTAGCGGCGTATCTTAGATACAATTTCCCCGGCCCAACAACGGAGGCGGTATTGTCCATGGCTGACGTGGGCGAGAAGGGATTGGATTACGGCAAAAGCGTGGCAAGGGTTCAGTTGGGATGGCTGTGGTGGATTTTGAAGGCGTTGACTGTGGGTGGTGGTAAACAGAAGAAGCTATAGCTTTGTTATATCACTTAGGTACTGTTATGCGAGTATAGGCATTGTACTTTTTTCATATATTTCGTTTCAAAAAGGAATTCTTGATCAAAATGAATGCGTCAATATAGATTGAAATAATTATGGATAGGAGTGGTCAATTGCGTTTTGCCTCTATATCATTGGAGACCTGAGAACTGTGTAGTTTCACTAAGAGGTACGAAGTACCTGTGTACCTGTGTACGTTCCCACCTGCACTCCGCATGCAGGGGTTGTTGTCCCGCCAATGCACGTGACCCACATTAGCGCCGACTAGCGTCCCCGATAGCCATGTTTATCGCCGCAGAAAAAAAAGATTGAAGCTCGAAGGAAGTTATCTTTAGATCGACACCGCTTTTTGTCCTTTTTCATCACAACATTCCTGTCAATTTTGCAGGAAACTCGTGAAGATTACAGCACACAGAAAGGAAATACTTGTGATCACTGCTTCTCAAGGAGGAATTCCAGAAATCACTCAACATGCCTCTTCTTCCAGGTGAGTACTTCGCGCCCGCATTCTCTTGATTAGACTCGATCTGACCCCATAAACAGTCGCCCTTTTCGGGCTTGAAGTCCCTTGCGGAGATGTGCTCGTCCCAGCTACTCCTGATTTCCCTGCGACTGTAAGTATTTCCAAATTCTGTTCTCCACCTTTTGCAGAAATTTTCCCCCCAACGTTTCCTCGAAACCTCACCTTTGATGCCTAAATGAGTTCAAAGCTAAGTATGTCTTGTCTAGTTCCGCATCACTATGGCTGCCATCGATCCTAGTGAGCCCGCAGAGCTTGAGGATACCCCCAATGGCACCTCTCGCCCTCGTGCTACCTTGAAACTCATCCGCCAAGTCGAGGACTCTGATGATGAAGATGATGAGGACGACGAGGAGGCCATGCGTGCGCTCTTGGCCCAGAGTTCCTCTGATGAGGACAGCGAGTCAGATGAGGAAGCCAATGGAGGCCCTAGCGACCCAAGCAAGTCGAAGAAGGCCCGCAAGCAAGCTGCTTTGGAACAACTCATCGAATCTCTCAAGGGTGATGCTTCAGATGAGGATATGGAGGACGCTCCCAACGGCATCGTCAGCAAGAAGGCAAACAAGAAGGGCAAGGCCAAGGCCACCAGCGATGACGAGGAGAGTGAAGATGAGAGTGATGATGGCGAGGATCTCGACGTCGAGGAGTTTGTTCTTTGCACCCTTGATCCAGAGAAGGTAAGTGCTCAGCCACCCTTGAACACCATTCTTGTAGAATTTATTGACTAACAACATATACAGAACTACCAGCAACCCCTGGACATCACCGTTGCGGAGAATGAGCGTGTGTATTTCAAGGTCACTGGTACCCACACTATCTACCTTACAGGCAACTACGTGATTCCCGATGACGATGGACACAATCATCACCACGAGGTTTATGACTCCGATGATGATGAGGATTATGATCTCTCTCCTGATGAGGATGAGCTTGATCTGGAAGGTGATGAGAGTGACGACCTGGATGATCTCCCAAATCCTCGCGTGACCGAGGTTGATTCCGAAGATGAGGCACCAGCTCTTGTCAAGAAAGCCGACAAGAAGGGCAAAAACAAGCGCTCCGCTGACGAAATTGATGCCGCCACCTCCCTGGATGATATAATGGCCAAGTCACTCAAGTCCCAGGCTGCCGAAGAGCCCAAGCTCAGCAAGAAGCAGTTGAAGAAGTTGAAGAAGAACAATGGGGAAGCTGTGGCAGCCAAGGCGGAGGAGCCAAAGTCCGCTGACCCCAAGGACAAGAGCGACAAGAAGGTACAATTTGCCAAGAATCTCGAGCAAGGTCCAACCGGGTCAGAAAAGCCAAAGGCCGAGGCAGCTTCTGCTAAGGACAAGGGGAATAAGGGTGCATTGGGCGTCAAGAATGTCGGCGGTGTCACAATTGATGACAAGAAGCTCGGAAAGGGTCCCGCATGCAAGAAGGGTAACAGAGTCTCGATGAGATACATTGGCAAGCTCGCTGATGGCAAGGTCTTTGACTGTAAGCTAATATCAAACCCTTTTGCTCGCAAATGCTAACTCAATTTTACAGCAAATAAGAGCGGCAAGCCTTTCTCCTTCAAACTTGGTGCTGGTGAAGTCATCCAGGGTTGGGATATCGGCGTTGCTGGCATGTCAGTTGGAGGCGAGCGAAGACTTATCATCCCCGCAAAGCTGGCATATGGCAGCAGAGGCCAACCTGGTATCCCAGCCAACAGCAATTTGACATTTGATGTCAAGCTGTTGGAAGCCAAGTAAACGATACTCATGACAAAGTTACGACTGTCGTTGGAGGTTTCCTGCTGAACTTCACGTTTCTAGAGATGAGAGCTTTCCTCGTTGACTCCTCTCTGTTGTACAATTGGTCACATCCCACACAGCTTTTGCCCGTCATAATTCTCGCTTTTCTTTATACCCAATCCATGTGGTCATGCTTTGCATGGGTCTCCGACCTGCGCGGTTCTGTGATGAACTGTCTAGTGTGGACGGGAAGCAGAAGAAGCGAAATGGAATGAGGAGTTCAGCATAGCATTATAGGCGCATGGTTCGGGTTGCATGGCCTATGTCATGCTGGTCCTGAGATCGGGGCCTTCCTTCCTAGATAGTAAATAAAAATGGGTTCTTTCTTATATCGAGTGCCTGCATCAAGGTTGTGCCTGCCTTTTGAAACCGTCGATTGCAAGGTGATATGATGCGACCTCAACTCGCCTTCTAACGCCAATGACAACAAATTCCCATTCCATATGCACTCGTTTCGGCATTCACAATTCTGATATCCATACCGTTCAGCAAAGCTACTTGATCATCACTTATCCGGCATGGAACGAGTACAAAGTGGGCCCGGGCGACACCCAGACCGCGATCGGTGTGAAGTGGGCCCGACGACTGAAGCAATACACATCCAGCATCGCTCTATTTGGCTTAAAACTGCTCTACAATCTCCCGAGGGCCACATCCAATCTTCCAAAGTTCGCCGACACGGCTCGAAGATCTGGTCTGTCCTACGTTCTCTTACTAATAGTGGTATTCTCACCTACATAGTACCACAGTGTGTCATATGCTAACAAATTACAAGTAGCTTCTAATGGTTCGGTTATCGAGCCAGACTCGTCATCATTAAAGAGTAACCCGCCTGGACTGAGACGAAAGATATCGATGGCATTTTGCAAGGGGCAGCTCGAGCCAACAGTGGTCCATCGAACCCAGTTCAAGGGTCGGCCTTGCATTATCTCGATTGAGCAGGAAATGAACGACAAGGCAGTACAACAAATCACCCTAGATACCTCCCCTTCCACTTCGGGGGCCGACTCAACGAGTACTGGCCTAAAGTCATCACACCCAAGTGCTGGCGAATCGACCGCCAAAACATCTGTTGATTCGAAGACTTCTAAAAAATCCAAGAAGTCGCCTGCTTCTCAAACCTCTTCCGAGACTAAAAGAGTGGTACCAAATCAGGCAACTGCGAGAGGCGGTTCTAATGAAAACGTGCTCACTACTATTACCGAAACTGAAGGCATTGAGGCCCCAGATCCAGTTCCCAGTAAGTAATTTACGGAAATCTGCGTTACCTATTGCTGATGCTACCGCAGCGGTTGTCACCGCTGAGAAGGCGGCAACAGCGAAGGTGTTTTTCGAATGTCATTACAACGACGTGACCTCAGGTGCACTAACAAATAGATCTTTACGCCGCCGACAACTTGAAGCCGCTTTGTATGATGACATAGTATCATCTGAAGCCGAGAAAGATGATAAGCGCCGAGCCTGGGCGAAGATGGAGAGCGACCATCTCCGTGAATTTCGAGCCATGAAAATCCGCAGCTTGACTGCCTTAAAAGGGGAAGATGTTATTGCGGCGAGATACGAGGTGGTCAAAGTCCTAGGGAAAGGCAGCTTTGGTGTTGTCCGTCTGGTCAGAGAGAAAGGCGAAAAAGAGTATGAGCTCAGTTGATCCTGTATAGAAGTCGAAATGCTGACCAGTCTTAGCACTCCGCCCGGATGCCAGAAGAAGAGAAGGGATATTTATGCTATGAAGGTTATTCGCAAATCAGACATGCTCCGCAACAGCCAAGAGGCCCATTTACGCGCCGAGCGTGACTTTCTCGTTTTCGCCGAAGGCTCACGATGGTGCGTAGTGATAATCCCCTGCATCACCTCTGAGCTAATCCGGCCAGGGTCGTGCCCCTTATAGCAAGCCTTCAAGACCTGAATCACTTGTATCTCGTGATGGAATATATGCCCGGAGGTGACTTTTTGGGATTACTCATCCGTGACAATGTGCTCAGCGAACCAGTCACTAAATGGTATATTGCCGAGATGATCCTATGTATTGAGGAGGCCCACGCACTTCGATGGATCCATCGAGATATCAAGCCAGATAATTTCCTCATATCAGCCTCCGGACATCTGAAAATATCAGACTTTGGTCTCGCCTTTGATGGCCACTGGTCTCATGACCAGTCCTATATCAACAATCATAGGTACTCGTTGCTCACATCACTTGGTATTACAGTTGATGGGGACTCAGTTGATAAGAAGGAAGAGTGCAGCGTTGCCACAGCCATGGAGATTGCACATAAGCTTGTAGGAGGCAAGGGACGCCACGAAAGACATGTTCCAGAGGTCTCTGAAACTGAGGGCATACTGAACTGGCGTAACCGCAAGTGCAACAGGGCTCTTGCCCGTTCTGTTGTAGGTACCAGTCAGTACATGGCTCCCGAAGTCGTCAGAGGGGAACCATATGATGCTCGCTGCGACTGGTGGAGCGTGGCGGTGATTATGTACGAGGTAAGACCTGGCCTATCGCTGTAGATTGGAGAAATTTCTAATTAAATTCAAGTGTCTTTATGGGTATACCCCCTTCTTGACTGAAGGAGGCAGGCAGCAAACAAAGACGAATATTATTGTAAGTTAACATATTATTCAGCTAAGCTGTTCAAGCTCAATATTTCACAGAACCATAAGGAGACATTTGCTTTTCCTCCCAAGCCTGTGGTCAGCAAAAGATGTCAAGACCTCATACGTGGTATTATCCAGGAGAAAGAAAACCGCCTTTCTTCGAGGCGCTATAAATCAAACCACCAAGCTCCAGGATCCCGCCAGAACAAAGACTATGCCGGGCGTTATATATATCCACATGATGCGGAGGATATAAAAGCCCACAAGTGGTTTCGAGATATTCAGTGGGACCGAATGCACATGATGGTACCGCCTTTCGTTCCAAATATCAAATCACTGGATGATACCCATTACTTCGACGAGGAAGAGTCAATCTCAGACTTTTCAGGTTCCAAGTCAAACACCGAACCAGCTTCAGCAGAGATTACCGACGCCTTGAGACCGTTCAATCCAGAGATTCGAGGCTTGGCCAAAGCATTTATTGCGCGTCCTCATGATTCAACAAGGCTAAGGAAAGCCGAAAAGGAAATCGACACCTTCCCAGTTGGGGAGGAACAGAAGGAATACCTGAAGGCTTTTGTCAAGCATTATGGCAAGAAGGAAAAGAAGCCGCCAAGAGATAGGCTCCTAAGGGATAAGGAGTCTGCGCCAAAGGTGTTGGAGCTCAGGAAGCGAGGCGCATTCCTAGGATATACTTATCGTAGATTCAGGGGCGGAAGGCAAAGTATTGGGAGGGCGGCAAGCCAGGGGACGATCCCTATCATGGTTGGAAGTTCGGCGGGGAAGAGAGTCTGGTATCGGGCTAGATTGAGCACCCATTGATTAGGGGGTCGTTCCTTAGTATGTCGAAGCTGGGGGTTGTTGGTTACGTTTGAAGCTTTTCCTTGCTGCTTTCCTGGTCTCTTGGTTTGGATTAACGCGGTGGGTGCCATTCAGAAGTGTACAACTCGGGCACTATCCGCATTGTTTATAGAGAATTATCGATATGTGACCAGTATTATACCTAAGGTACTTACTGAGAGGTACTCGTATGGTGGTCGATTTCAGCGTACCGGTACTATAGCGAAGACCGTCATCGAAGCGGCTGGCCAACCCACCAAATACACTCACTATACGAAGTTCATATCAGCCGATTCACGGCGGCAATTTCATGCAGTTTTGCACCTCATGCATCAGTCCCGTGATAACAGATCGTGACTTTACTGGAATTCCTATTAAGGGATGTTGCAAGTATCCGCTGCCTTAGGCTCTGCAGGTACCGTTATCACATCGCTGAAAGAGAGCAATTGGGCCGCCTGGCGCGTGCCGTCGCTGGCTCTGGCCGAATCAGGCAGAATAAACATCAACCATCAACACATGTCCTCTCTCCACGATTCCCCCACCTTCCAGTTGTCCTTCGCACGCACTACAACCAGTATCATTTCACCTCCTCGATCCATGTGTTAACACAAGCTTGCATTGTAAATACCATACTGAGCGCTGCACGCCCTAGAACGGATTTTATCCGCCGCCGCCGAGCAAGCCAGTGAGATCCTCTTTGAGATTTCCATCTTCTACCCCGCGACAAGCTCCCTGCTAAACAGCCCAATCCTCCAGCCTACATAAACATAAACATCCTGTCGCGCACACTGCACAGCATATCTAGAAGACCACGCGATGTCGGCTTTTCTTACAGACCTCTTCCAGTCCATCTTCACTCCCGGACCTACACCTGCCCTCCTTGTCGCAACAAACGTCGCATTCGCATGCCTACAAACCATACTCTTCCTTCTCTTGATCGGAACCTATAGCATCCACTTTGTTATACTGTCGGTACTGAGCGCAGGTCTATGGGGCTCCATCAACTGGTTTGTGGCCGAGCTCAAAGCAGCAGAAGCGCGGGAGGCAGAGAAAAAACGCCTACAGGAGCTGGTCGGTGCTGGAGACGATAGCGAGACTGAGGCGGAAACCGTGATAGATACGGAAGATACTGGATTTGCGAGTAAGGAAGTCGAGGTGGTGGAACGGAGAGGCGGCGCGAAAGATCGTGGACGTGGTTTAGGAAGCAGTAAATCCGAGCTTAGCACCGAGGATGAATGGGAGAGGGTATCGGAGAATGAGAAGGACAAGTGAGAGTACGGGGATCTAGAAGTTTTGAATTCCAACTGCCGTTTTATACCCAGGATCTACTGTATGTTTTAGAGATTCACGAGCTATGATGGTGGATGTAGAGGGGTAGACAAGTTCATTATCATGTTGTTAGAATCATGATATCTTACCATCTTTAAGCTTCCACTATCTGCACTAACTAATATTAAGTCACAGTTAATTCTCAATATCCTCCGTAAAGGTTGGCTTCCACTTCTAAACGACACTGCCAGTGTTATATAATTTACGATCACGTGATTGGCGGGTTTGACGCCAAAGAATTTCGCGACGACCTCGCAACATTGGAAGAGCTTCAAGTTTGTGTGCCACATCTTGACCGACCCAGAACCACCCCGCCTCAACGTCTCCTGCAAAACTAAATCCCAGGAGCTGAATCACTTAAATTTTCATAATGAAGCTCGTCAGGTAAGCCTTCTTCCCGAGATTAGCCTTGCAATGGCACAAGCTGAGCGCACTGTTCAAGGCTCCCGCACCAAGCTCCTGACTGACCCTTTTGGCTATGGTAGGTTCTTAATGAAATGCGCGAACGAGACAGTGACTATTGAGCTCAAGAATGGTACGTATTATTGAAAATGTGTTGGTTACGAGGGGCTAAGATCTATATCAAGGCACAATTATCCATGGCACCATAACATCAGTCTCGCCTCAGATGAACACAGCGCTACGCACAGTCAAGATGACCCCGCGCGGTCGAGAACCCATTTCTTTGGATACAATCAATCTTAGAGGCTCGACTATCCGCTACTACATCCTTCCCGACTCGCTGCCTTTGGATACACTTTTGATCGACGATGCGCCGAAGCCAAAGAACAAGGCCCGGAAGGAAGTCGCTGATAGAGGAGGTGTGAGAGGCAGAGGCGGGCGCGGGGGCCCAAGAGGGCGTGGAGGTCCACGTGGTGGTGGTGGCAGAGGCCGAGGAGGTGGAAGAGGCTTTTAATGTGGACTCTAGGGTTGAACGGACAGAAGTTATTTGTGGTTGTGTCTCTTGATGGGCAAAGGAAATGCGATTCGAATAGAGCCGTTATGGGTGGCTTGCGGGTATACTGGCGTTTGCGGGTACGAAAACAGGCAATCGAAATTCCACGAGGCAATTCTACATGAGACTTCGTCTATGACTTTCCATTATATTGCGGAATGAGACGATATGCGCCATATCCTAAGTATCTGCAGTTTCTCCCAGCCAGCTGTCTTGCCGCTACGGCCAACTGTCTCCACCATCCACTCCTTCCCCCATTGCCTGATCCGATCTTTAACCGTCTCTGGTTTGTTTTGAGCGCATAGTAGGACGTACGCACAACCGCGGCTTTTGCTTAAGATCTCCGGTAGGGAGGATAGAAGTCGATTGGTAACTTCCATGCCATCGTTTCCACCAGCATATGACAAGGCGAGTAGGTGAGAATCAACCTCGAATGGGCTGGAGGCCCCTCCTTGATTCAGGGCGGGTAAATCGGGAGTGGGAACATATGGCGGATTGAAAATTAAGACATCCACTTCTCCATGCTTCAGTGCACTCGTAAGATCTGCACTTAAATTGCCCAAATATAAGCCATGCGACTGAATTTGTGCTGCCTGCTCCTTCTCCGCCACATTGACCGTTTCGATGGTAGCCTTGCAGGCATGTAAATTTACATCGACTCCAGCCGTAAGGACATCTGCTCTACCAAATATGGTTTCCGCGTGCGCGTGTATAAATGATAGTACGACGCCTGACCCTGTGCCTATCTCAACGACGAGTGGACTAGATGGACTTTTGTGGTCCGGTGAAGGGTTTATATCTCCATTGAAGCGATTTTTCAGAAACTCTTTCTCGCTCTCAGAGGATAGAGTATCAAGTAATAAGAAAGAATCCTCTGCTGGTTCGTAAACGCGTTCAAACGCTACATGAGAGGTGGAGGGCGTAGGGAGCATGATATTGCTGGCCCATGAAGGGTTTGTGGTGTGTTCGTGCTGCAAGGCTGACCTGTTTTCTCGGCTCTTTCTTCCCGAGGTTTTTCAAAACCTCATCGGATGTCGCGCTTCCTCTTCCTGAACCATTTCCAATTGTTTGACTGGAGCAATCATACAACATGAGGATAACCCACCGGCTCTTGATGGCTACGGCTAGAAAAACAAGGCAAGGCCTTCGACCCGAGCCAATGGCTTTACTGCCACCCATACCGCTGTATAGAAGGCTTCTACGAGCGCATCGGAAGCATTTGCCCACCGAGATGCGATTATTAGGCGATGAGTACATCAAGAGCGAGTTCAGAGCTCATAGGGATGTGGAAAATCCCGTGCACATTGTAGGCATTCCTAATTACAGCATTTTGGGGGTGATTGCTGATGCTTTTCACAGGTTGGGTTCTTGACTGAGTGGCAGCTTTATGCCCAGAAGTTAGAGGGAAATTCGTGGGTTGGAGAACGTATGGATCCTGGGAAAATCGAGAAGATGAGCGGTATTGTATTCCTTCCACGAAAGTTTGGGACAATGACTGATGATTTCTACAGATCAACAAATTGCACAGATGTACGAACTCATGCAAGCGATACAGAAGAGACAGCTCGACGATGGCGAATCGGAGTAGGAACATATACGATTGTATTACCTTACATGCTGGTATGGCATAACACTTGCGGTGAACACGGTTTGGGCTTTATAAAGAAAGGATGTGTCGGTGACAGATGGCGTAATGCCTATGCCTTTGTGGGTGATTCCCTTGTCTCACCAGGCTTGGAGTTTTGTTGCACATCGCAGGTGGGGGACATCATTGTCCCACGCGCGCTCCAGGAGTTGTGGAAATATAAACCTTGGGTAGGAGTCGAATAAAATGTCTCTACAGAAGGGTGCTCCGGTTTGAGTCTTAGGGAGGGCTCAAGGCCTGTGAAATGACTAGTGGTCACGGGTGATTCACTGTTCCATTGAATATACGGGTTTGGATGGTTACCGAGAAGGCTTCATGATTCACCTCAGCTACACCAATCGATCTTCACTTCTTTACGTCTTCTACACAGAACTTGAGCCAGACACCCCTACCCAACTCACCGACATAATCAGATACACAGCAATTTAAGCACGGCTCTCAGACTTCAAACCCCAAAAACAAGAACGATGTGTACGACAAAGCTTTACAAAAGCAAGGAGTGTGGGCACAGGTGGCTTGTTATTAACCAGCCTTGTGGAGAGGGAAAGGGCTTTGGAAACTGTGAATACTTTGGTGACAAGGACTGCAAAGTTTCGCAACCTCCTCGACGCTTCAAGGCAGTCAAAAGTGACTGTCCTTGGCATGGTCTGAAAGGCAACTACGATTTCAACAAGGTCAGAATGATTGAGAAAATAGATCACCATATTTTCGGTTCACCTCGAGGAGGCGGCGGCTGTGTGATGCAGTGATGGCGGGAACGGGATTTATTGCTACACCAGAAATTGGGGGAGGGGCAGCTATTCCGCATCTAGAGGCGCGACTGGTGGTTGATTGTTGACTTGGACTCCTCCTCTCTTCTTCTCCTCCGAATCATGGAATGGCAAACTCCATCCGCCTTCATCCTCAGGCGTCGCGAGCCATAGCCTCATCAAATGCCTTCTTGGGGCCGGTGGTGCATGGTCTTTGTACGCAGTTCTAGCATGGAGAACGTGCTCGTTGCTTAAAAACTGAATGTCTCCAATCTCTAGAATCATGTGAAGACTTAATCGATGGCATGTCTCTTCCAAGACCCTCGCCGCCTCGACTTGTTCAGGAGATAGGGGAGGGATAATCCCTTTCTCCATGAATCGATCCAGCGATTTGATGTAGTATGGGTCCCACTTTGAATATACTCTTGGATTTGCGCCCGTCTCCAGATAAAACACCGAGGTTCGTATGTATGGTTCTTCCCCAGCGCTCACTTCTCCTTTGCGGTCGAAATACCATATTGGTTTTGTTAATGTTTCCGCAACGTCTGGTCGTTCCTTTTGAAGTGTGTTCCAAACATGGTGAGATGAGACGATATCCGATTCCCCGCCCTCAAGTGCTCGGGCAATGCAGAGCAAACCCACGATATCTGAATCATCTGCGTGGAAGAATTGACTACACGGGCAATAAGTATTTATCTTTGAGATGTATATTGGCGAGCTTACCGAGCATTCGTGCGGTATATTCTTACTTTATCAATCTGTGGAGAACCAGGAAGTTAGTTGGTTTGATCACGATAGCGCAGAAGTCAGGGTAAGTCCTCCCAAGATCCTGCATTAGCTGGGCTCCAGGGCATCTTGTTTTCATAGGTACTCACCTGAGTTGGGTCATCCCCCACATCTTTCACATGTCCCAGAACATGCCCGCGGCCATTCTGAGAAACGAAATAGCCAAGATATGTTCCAAGGCCCATATATGCCACCGCAGACTTATGATTGCCCCATTTCTCAACTGGGAAGCCTTTGAACAAAATGAAACCCTTTCCATTGAGTATCTCGGAGCGAATTGATGTTAAAAATTTAGAAAGTTTTGGCAGTGGAAAGTTTTGCTTGGAGAGTGTTAGCAATGTCTCGTGGCTGATGCGGGCTGACGGTGAGGAGTGACCTTTGAGATCCCAGTTAAGGGTATTTTATCCGCAAGGAACTTATCTGCCACGGCGCTCAACTCGGCGACTTCCTCCTCATCAAATACATGAACCCATCGCTCCGGGTTGTTAACATAGTCTTCGGCCCTCCAAATACTCTCCCCCGTTATTTCCGTAGGGAAATCAGAGTATGGTCTGAGCTTATTATAAAGTGGAGGATGCTGCCCGCTCGTCTTTATGCCATCGGGGAAGACCTTCCTATCAGCAGTCCTTTGGACTGGGCTGGCCAAAGTATGGGGTGCTTCAGTCTGGGTTTCGAGGATTGATGGGGCCATTATTGAAGGTCTGACGAGATATTTTAAACTGGATATTGGAGTTGGAGCATAAGAATTTCCAAAATGCAAGTGAATTTAAGTAATTCTAGGTGGATGTGGATGTGGATGTGGATTTGGAGGGACGGACAGAGGGAAACCAGAGATATGGCTATATATACTCCGTATCCCTCGTCGATTATCAAACCACCCACACCTCAATTGAATTCGACATCTGCATCTGCCCCTCATTAGGACCCATATTCCCGGGGACTTGATAGGAAGCTAAGTCCGGAGGGCATCTGTCATTTCAGGAACGGGTGCGATGATGTGATCTTAGCCCGGAATTGTACCACACCCAAGAGATTGGCAGGCGAGGGTAGGACACTACTGTAGATACTTCGTACAAGGCGCGGAACCAGTTCTATGAGCGAGCATACGAAGACACGCGGGTCAATTGGTGCTAGAACCAACCATGCCAGAGTTAGACTCCCTATCTACTCTATCGCGACAAGCTTGCAGTACCGTTACGCACGATGAGACGTATGTCCGATATTGACGGGTACGACACCGTGAAACAGATTCGCCGCAGACCTATGCATAGCTCTCCAACGGAATGTGTCCGCGAAGAAAGGCATGGAAAGCATCGTGATTGAGGGAAGACCCAAAGAGGGCGTATTCCACCTGGTAATCGCGATATTGATTGGATGCCGCTGATGCGATTATATTTGGTTTGAGTTGTCGAAGCCGTCCAACATAGCCACCACGATCCTAAACAATAGCCTTATTCTGGGCTGACGATAGATGTTGTCGAACTATGCAGCTTGAAGGTTCTGGCCTTCGATATATTCCATCTCGATATGGAGATGACCGAGGTAGCTTCGGAGGACCTTCGGCACGGGTAAGGGTTTGTGTTGCGTGCGAGATGTATTTTAAGGCTTGAGCTCCGCTAAATCGCGTGGACCTTTGATGATTCTCGCGCTGCTCACTCTGACCACACTGATACCTATCAAGCTAAAGCGTCTCTGGAGGGATATTATTCCTCGAGAGAAGGGTTGACCAAGGACTTAGATATTAATTAATGATGAAGTCTTGATAAGTTAGTGATGATACTCCGTACCTAATAAGGAAATCGATATTGACGATAACACGGGGTAATCACATGACTATAATCTTATCTTATCTTATCGGGAAATCTTATCAACTTCAACTTCGGAAAAAATGTTTTGTGGGTACAGTATTCACTCACTTTACTATTGAGCACATTCTTGGTATTGTGCAGAAGTGACAATACCAAGCTAGCTGCTATGGAGTACTGGCCTTGTCGTTTCAGCTCAACTTCCTTTCCATAACACCCACTTTCGTTTCTTCTCCATCCCTCCGACACAACACCCAATCTCCACAGGTCAATTCTTTCAAAACAACCGCAACAATGCCTGAGAAGGTCCACAAGAAATTCGGGGACGAGCCTGGAGGCTCAACCTCAGCTCCGGTTGATGGCAATACATCGGCTGGTGCGCCTTCGCCTTCAAAACCATCGTCAACCAAGGGCAATGCTCGCACAGGCGGTCGGAAGAAGCTTCAAGTTGACAAACCGAAACCCTCAATTGATGCGAAGGCTTCCAAAGACTCAGACAAGAAAGGTACTCGTAAACGCCAGGCAGACCCCGATTCCGCAAAAGATGAAAGGGCAAGAAAGTCCCCGAAGCTCGAGTCAAAACCAAGACAATCAGATACCAAGTCAAGCAATTTCCATGGCAAACCTCAACGCCAGGGCCCGTCTGCCCAAGAGCTTCAGAAGATTGCCAAAGACCTCGACGCAAACCGCAAGAATCTTCCAGTTTGGCTCAAGAAAATGGATATTCGCTGGGGTCTGCGAAACCATGACATCCTCCTCGTCACCGGTGAAACTGGCTCAGGGAAGAGTACTCAAATCCCTCAGTTCCTCTACACAGAGCCGTGGTGCAAAAGGGAGACGGTCAAGGTCACAAACAAGGATGGGAAGCAGGTTGAGGTCGCCGTCGGAGGAATGATAGCAGTTACTCAACCTCGTCGAGTCGCAGCCATAACCCTCGCACAGCGCGTTGCAGCTGAACTTGGATCTCCCCTCAACAAGACCGGCGAACCAGGAAAGGTGGGATATTCCGTACGTTTTGACTCTTGTGTCCCTCCGGGAACGAAGATCAAGTTCGTTACAGAGGGAACCCTGCTACAAGAAATGCTTACGGACCCATATCTCCGGAAATACAGCGCCGTCATTGTCGATGAAATCCATGAGAGGAGTGTTGATGTTGACCTCATTGCTGGCTTCCTTAGGCAGCTCGTCCACGGCGACAAAAAGGGTCGTGGTGGAGCTCCGCTCAAGGTTATTGTCATGAGCGCAACATTTGATCTTGGGGGTCTCGAGGCATTCTTTTCAATACCAGGAACCCATCCCGGCGGATATGAACCGGGCAAAAACCATGGGAGGATCATTGCACCACATATTCTGGAACAAGAAAAGGCCCGGGAGTTAGCCGAAAGTTTGAAGACTGGTGAGATGAAAGCTACTGAGACGAAGATTGCTGAGATAAAAGTCGCTGAGACTAAGGTTGTTGAGGCCAAGATTGGTGGCGAGTCCGATGAATCACGCCGATCATCCTTGGAATCGTTTTCATCTTGGGGCGGTTTCAGCGAGGATAACAATGGCGAAAATAGTAGCACTTCACCTCCCAAAGACCAGGCAGATGGAGTTGATGCCACGAAGAATAGCATCCAAGCCTCCAACAAAAGCACGAGCGGCGATGGTCCATCTAGCACAACAGCGAAACCACCCAAGCCTAAGGCAAGACCTGGAGTCCCAGAAGAAGATATTTCTGAAAACGGCGTGGCTATTGAATACATTCGAGGACGGCAATACCCGGTTGAAACTCTCTTCGATGCTGACCCTATCGAAGACTATATGTTGGCCATGCTTCAAACCATTCTTGACTTACATATCCATGAGCCATTACCAGGAGACATTCTCGCCTTCCTTACGGGCCAAGATGAGATTGAGTCCCTCAAGTCCCAGCTTGAGCACTACGGAGAGAAGCTTCTCAACACTGTACCAAAGATGCAAATCATGCCGCTGTATGGCTCACTTTCTCCGGCAGCCCAGCAAGCTGCATTTATGAAGGTTGATCAGAGGTTCACGCGCAAGATCGTCCTGGCTACCAACATTGCAGAGACGTCCGTGACAGTCGCTGGTGTACGCTACGTGGTCGACTGCGGCAAGGTCAAGGTCAAGAAATATCGCCCACATCTGGGAATGGAATCCCTCCTTGTGCAGAACATTTCAAGAACCTCTGCCCTCCAGCGAATGGGTCGTGCTGGTCGAGAAGCCAAGGGAAAGTGCCATAGAATCTATACAATGGGGGAACTCAAGGAATTCGACGAAGACGAGTGCCCAGAGATATTACGCTGTGATGTCTTGGAAGCAGTCCTTAAGATGAAGGCCCGTGGCGTCGACGATGTTCTGAACTTCCCGCTCATGGATATGCCCGATAGCCACACTATGCAGAAGGCGCTAGTTCATCTCTATGTTATGGGCGCACTGGATCTCGAGAGCCAGCTCACCAAGACTGGGAAGATGATGGCCAGCTTTCCACTTCCTGCTGTTTATGGCCGAGTCGTAATTGCAGCTGCGGAAGCAGGTTGTCTCCTCGAAACCATCGACATCGTTGCTTGCCTCACGTCCGACTCTGAGGTTTTTCTGCAGCCAAAATCAGAAGAGCAGAACGAGGCCATAAAGGAGAATCGAAACGATATCTACCGACGCGAGGGCGATATCATCACTCTCCTCACCACAATCGAACGCTACGCCTCCGAGGCCACCGACCGCAAGGCCTGGTGCGAAAAGCGATTCGTCTCACCCCGTGCAATGAAACTGGCTCTCGATATCCGCAAACAACTCCGCCAGCTTTGCCATAAGTTTAAACTCCTCGATGAGATGCCGCCTCCTGATCCACAGCCCTTCGAGCCCATCACCCCCGAGATGGCTGAGACGGTGCTTAAGACGTTCTTGAAGGCATTCATTACCAAGACGGCCGTCCTGGCCGATGATGGAGGCTACAACACCACGTATGGGAAGCAAAAGGTTTTGATCCATCCATCCAGCGTGTTGTATGGAAGGAAGATGGAGGCTATTTTGTTCTTGGAGCATGTGTACACGACGAAGAATTATGCTAAGAAGATTAGTGCGATCCAGGCGGATTGGATTGGTGAGGCTGTCTGATCAATTGCTGCCTTGTTCTGATGTTTACATGTCTGGAGTTGGTTCTTTTAATACCCCGATTTGCGAGAAATGGGTTCTTCAAAGATTGTAAAGCATGGGGATCGAGCGGGAGAAGTAGTTGCGATTGCTTAAACTAAGGTTTGAATTATCAAGAAGTAAATGCAAAAAATTTCAAAAAACATGGCTCTAGTCTGCGACTTCTATAACTGTACCAGCAAATCCTTCAAGTCCCGCGACACCTTTCTCACCCCTTTCAGACCCATAATACAGTCCATGTCCCCCACCAGGCATAACCAAAATCTGAGATCCAAGCTCTATCCACTCGTGGTTTGTAATAAATTCAAAAGTCAAGTCGGTAACACCGTCCGAGCCAAAAATAAGAGGCTCGGGGTCCTCTTCTCCTTCCTCCTCTCCATCTAACCCGAACATATCATCTATGTCTGCCATGTCTTTGGCGGCACGAATATTATCGCCGTTCTCTTCATGGGGAGCAACTTGCAGTACTCTAGCGGATGCACGGATACTAGCAATATATACAACCACCAAACTTCCAGGAGTTACAGAGTTGATGTCGCCATCCTCGAACGAGGCAGTGAACCCACTTGCGGCTTGTAGCGTATGCCCTGTTTCCATCATGTGCCGGCTAGGAATAGCCACAACCATACCTTTGCGCACTCGGGGTGTTGTTGGTGGACGTGTGGACGCGCCGTTCGACAGCTCCTCATTAGGCAGATCAAACACAATGCCCAGCGTCCCAACCTGACCAGCTTCCAATGTATGCACCGGAAGGCGAAGATTGCGCAAGCTGACAATATGGGCGCTATGCCACTCCCCTTTGGTGACAGATGCCGATGCCATGTTACGAGAAGCGACCCGTGAAAGCTCAGTGGCAGATGGGTGGGACATAGATGCATCAAAACTAGTCGGGGATGATCGTGCCCCTGACTTGCTTGCGGGCGAATCATCCTCGGCTAGTTCAGCTGGAAATGGGCCAACGACGATGCTATCACCAACTGACAACCTACCAAATCGCAGATGGCCAGCTATCACGACCCCCGTGTCGACTACGGCACCGCTTTTAGACGCAAGTGGCTCATATGAGGCGGGAACACCGAAAACATCTTCGATATGGAATAAACATGCAGGTTGTTCTGGGTTGAGCGCCCGGCCAACAAAGTCATGAGAGGTTGGGGTAGGTGGGATTGGAAGCCTCTGCAGTAGGGCGTGCATTGACCGAATTCCAGTACCTTTGGCCGCACTTGTCATGATGATAGGAACTATTGATGTCATGCTACCAGAAGCGTTCATTTTGTCAACAATTGTTTGAAGAGTATCTTCATCGCACTTCGGTATGGTTGCCAGGTCCGATTCCAAAAGGACTTTGGACTGGTCTGGAGGAACAATTGACGGAACTCGATGAACGCTCTTTACGGCGGAAAGGATTTTAGATAAGGTCTGCCGCAGACTCGTTTTGGAAGCAAGATCGAGTTTGGTTATGACAATTGCCAATGGCTTATCCAACTTCAAGCAAAGTTCGAGGTGTGCTTTTGCAAGGTCAATGCCAGCGCCGGCCTTTCCAAGGATTTCTTGAGCCGACGAGGTTCCACCAGCACAACGGGGAGCTTTTTCACCGTCATCAGCAGCAACACAAAGGATCATCCAATGAGGCGCCCATCCAATAAGTCCGCGAACGGTGGTTCGACGATATCTAGGATGCCCGGCAGAGTCAGAAACCAACACAAGGCGTCCATTTTCTGCAGAGGCATGAATGTCAGTCCAGGAGCTGACATTCCCAGAGGAATAGTTTATAACATCGGAATCTTTATAGCCGATCAACTCTTGGGCGACAGAACTGGTTATCCCAGATGCTATCTCATGGCGATGCTTCAACAAGCTTAGCCTACTTTTTCCGCGGCCATTATCAAGTGTTGCAGTGGATAACGTTCCCAGCAGACTCGATTTCCCTGATGTGGTTGGCCCAGTCAGGGTAATTCGCAGTTGCTTGGTGCTCTCAACAGGCTTCATCCGATGTTGGTCACCGGATTTGCGGTGCTCATCCAAGGACGTATGATAGAGGGCGTTGCCAAGCCGGGACGTCCCAGTCAGTATCCCAGGTGCTCGTGAGCTTAAATCAGGCGTAATAAGTGCTTCTGCAACCCATAATTCCTCATGATGACAGAGAGTCTTGGTCTGATAATCGGCATCGGAGGAAAACCTAGCCTTACGAATTCCCTCTTCCTCAGATTCTGCCAATATGTCTTCCTGCCACTCGCAGTCTCCGACTGCCACCATACGCACAATTTGAACATTGCACCCCAGACTGGCCGCCATCGCTCTAAGATTTGTCAAGCTCTCATCCATTTCATCCTCAGTCAAGCCAACAAATGTCCCATCATCAGACACTCCAATTTCGTAGAGTGCTCCCCGACTCTCCTCCAGGCCAGCAAGGAGTTTCCCGGGCCTGGTTGGCGCCTCTAGGACTGGCGCAGCTTCAGGAAGTTTCGGTAGAACAAGGTCACTCGTAGAAGACGCATGGTATGGCGAGGACTGCTGTAGACGCCATAATAATTGTGTGGTCAATTGTTCTAAACGATTCTGCCGCGATTGGTTTGAAGGAGCCAGAACAGGCCCGGATCCTGTGCGGCTGGGTTGATTCGTTGGTTGCTGCTTGTGCTGGTTCGAGCCCGAAACCACGGGTCCCGCGCTGGATGAGCGGTAATTCCTTCTCGGTCTCAAGAGCAAATGCAATTTATATTCCGTAGGCCCTTCCTGAGGTTCTGCCTGCAGCTTCGTGACGCCATAATCCGACAGCTGCCCAGAGTTGGGCATGGCGGTGGGCGGTGGGATGCCATCCGCCGGCCGGGGGGTTGCGGATTTCGGGGTGTCCGCCGGCGTCAACCATGGGGAAGAAACCCTTGGGGGGTCTGGTTCATATGTAAATATTGATGCCATGAGCAAAAGACGCTCTTGTCAAGTTATTTGATTTGGAAATTGCAAGAATAGGGCCACCTGTCCCCTCCTAGCTGCGTCCACTAATATAACCTCAGACTATTCGCATCGACTGCCGCCGCCGTGCTATAGGATATATTGCATACGATAAAGACCGGGTATTGGTATGGGCGTGATGTATTCGGAAGAGCATTGACAATGATAGAACCATCTTGGATGCTTGCGATTTGACTTGGTGATCGAAGGGCGAGTTGCAGTGCTTAAAACGAAGGCATATTGGACGCCCGGGTCTATATATTTGGGATTTTCTAGTTCCGCGCAGTGTTGCGCAGGTGGGAGATGGGGGATTGAAGTATCTAGGAGTGAGTCAAAGCATGCGCTAGTGAATGGTGGAATGATTTGAGGGTTTGTACTGTAGACCGTCGACCGTAGACCGTAGACTGTGGTTCAGTAGTCATTCCCCCAGCGAGATGACTGACATCGCCAACTGGTCGGGGCTTCGGCGATAAGAGCGCCGATGGGGCAAATACATACCTACACACTATGAAGTACTGTACCTTCTGTAGGTACTTGCAAAGAAGTACTTCGTATCGTATACTTACTTTGTAGGAAATACATGTACTAGTTGGTATAAATATAAATATAAAAATAGCAAGACGGCACAGGCTTCCACCTACATACAGTATCAGCCTTACCAGTCCAGGGACACCTTACAGTAGGTACGGGTGTCTTATCTTTGCTGCCTACAGTAGCCACAGTAACGTTGTTTGTATACTTTACTTCGAAGGCACTGACTGGTATGGAGTACGGAGCTACATACGTACCTTTACTTATTAGCAAAACCTAAACATCTCCCCAGGGTCCACATCGCCCGTGCTGCGCCCCGCCTTCTGCGTGAAACCGCAGCGCGTTGCTGGCCGAGACGCTCAGACTCTGAGTGAGACTCTCCTGACTCCACAAGGCTCTGGGACAGCAACTCGATTCAAATACAGCACAACACACCCACCCCGTACTTCCACTACTCCCACTTCCACATCCAACATCGCCCTCAATCAACCACCTCGAATCCTCACATTATTCCCACCGCCACAATGAAAAAGTTTGGCTTCGGCAAGAAGGGCGAAGGCGACGAGGACTCCAACCGCTCCGCCCTCTTCTCACGCTCCTCAAAGAATGGCTCGCCTGCCCCAGCGGCGTCAAACCCCTATGCGCAACCACCCCCCGCCGCTGATCCATACGCTCAAGATACCAACAAATATGCCAATATGGGCCCCTCCGTCACTCCATATCAGCAAGCCCGCCAGCAATACGGCCTCCCCAGCGGACCCGGCGCAGCTCGAGGCGGTCGAGGAGGCCTTCCAGGTGGACCAGCAGCAGGCAGAGGACCTCCACCCCCCGGTCCTCCACCTCCCGGTCCCAATCGTCAGCCATCAAGCGGCAGCGGATATGGAGCAGAGAAATACGGAAGCGGGGGCGGCTACGGTGCTAATAGATACGACGCTCAGCCTAGCTATGGTGGCCCCCCTCCCGATACAGGCTCCCGATATGGACCTGGTGGTTATGGAGGATTAGGACGCAGGAACAGCAATGAGACTACTACGACGGAGGATAATCGGGATGCACTATTCGGCGGTGCGAAAGATAGATATGCCCAACGGGGTGCCATGCCACCACAGAATGGGCAGCCGGGTGGCGGTTATGCTTCCGAATCAGGCGCGTCTGGTGGTACTGGTGGCGGATATGGAGAGGAGAGGCAGCTTACAGCCGAGGAGGAAGAGGAAGAGGATATCTCCTCCACCAAACAGCAGATCCGTTTCATAAAGCAAGAGGATGTCTCGTCCACGCGCAATGCGCTGCGCTTGGCCGCCCAAGCAGAGGAGACAGGTCGAGCAACACTGGCCAGGCTCGGAGCACAAGGGGAGCGTATTCACAACACTGAAAAGAATCTGGATATTGCTGCAAACCACAATCGGATTGCCGAGGAGAAGTCCAAGGAGCTGAAGACCTTGAACAGGAGCATGTTTGCCGTCCACGTGTCCAACCCCTTCACAGCATCATCGAGGAAGGCAGCCCGTGATGAAGAGATTATCGAGAAGCACCGTATAGAGCGCGAGCTGCGTGATGGCACCCGTTCGGCAGCTTTTGCATCGCAACAGAGAATGGAGCGTAGCTTCAAAGATCTCCAGCCTGGGGATCCTGGATATCGGCCTCAACACACAAAGGCGAGTCTCGCAGAGCGATCTAGGTTCCAGTTCGAGGCCGACTCCGAGGACGAGGATATGGAGAATGAGATTGATGCCAATCTTGATCAGCTGGGCAACGCGGCTGGTCGATTAAATGCTTTGGCGCGTGCTACGGGCACCGAAGTAGAGGAGCAGAATAAATTGCTCGACAGAGTTATGACAAAGGTAAGGCTTCCCTTCAGGCTGGTAATATACCCGCTAACATGTACAATCAGACCAACAATGTGGACGATCAGATCGTCATGAACAGGGCCAGATTGGATCGCATTCGTTAAGCTTTTCCTGTACCAGCGTCGTGATTTTCAGTTATACCTGTCATTGCTTAGGAGTTTTTGATTGAATAGGCATTCGAATCTGCCTTTAGCATGGAAAATTTCTTCCCCAATCTCTATTTATCCCACCTTTAACGGTCCTTCGTGCGTATGAAATCTTTTACCTACGTCTCATAAAAGGTCGTCTCATCGACTCCGCTCTAGTTGCATCCTTCCTCCGTGCATACATACTACACTCGTCTCTTTGACCTCTCCTGCGTCCCAGGTGCCCCGAATTGGGAATCCGCACCAAATTTCACAACCGCAAGAAATTAGTCGATGCCCGGCACCTCAAATGTATATGCATGTAGACGCCACCTGCTACAAATGTCATCTCTAATGGTTTGCTCGGGGGATGTAGACTAAGCTGTAGAGGCCATTGGTAGATATGGTGGTATTTGGTATTGAGACAGCTTTGGGTTTCTCCAATATTAAATGCATCGAGTTTGCTGGGCGTTACCTATATCTAAGCGTGTCCAGGTATTTTATCGAGGCAAACCGTTAGTCATTGATAAAGTCATCTAGATGTCACGGTTTCTCAATTATATTATATCGAGTAATCCTAAGATCTTAAAGTTTGCGTTTTTAATACATTGTCCAGTGTCACAGTGCGGAGCGATTGCGGCTTCGTGTCTGTAAACTATACATCTGTTATTATCCCTAATGCCAAGCCTCTTTAGTCAGAACAGCATAATGAACAGTCCAATGATTATAGCTATTGTTAATATATCAGTGGTTTTCTAAAGTCCGCACACAATTGCAAGAGTATGATTCAAGGTATCTAGCTAAATCAAACCGTACCACAATCTCGTTTCTTCTCCGCCGCTACAAACTTCAAATATTGCCCCACAAGCTCTTTCAACGTCTCCTCGAAGGATACGAACTCCCACCCAAACTCTTTCTCCGTCTCCCGAGTATCCAACCTCCAGATCCTCGCCCTCAGGCTCCCCCCCAATTTCAATGTCCCGTTCTCCACAGCTTCTGGAAAGAACTTCCTAACATAGTTCTGCGCATCTTCCCAATCAATACCATCCGGTGTATCAGAACTCAAAATATAGTCTTTGTTCCCTTGCACACTCGGCTTCAACGCATCGATATGCGCCCTAGCCACATCATCAACGTGCACTGTAGCCCCCACCATCTGCGGGATATTGGCATCTAAGAGCGGACCAAGTGCGAGAGAGTTCCCGGCCGTCACCAACTCAGCGGCATTTGTAGCCAGTTCATCTGGCCCGAATACTACTGTTGGCAGCAAGTTGACGAACTCAAATTCTGGCTTCTCCTCCTCCATGAATTTTCCTGTGGCAATACGGGATAGGGTCTTGGATGCGAAGTATGCTTCCATTGACGTGCCGTAGGGACCGGCAATGTTGGAGTTGATGTCGGCTGCGGTAAATAGTGTGAGGTCTGGGGACGCAGGCGCGGGACCAAACATCCAGGCGAAGGAGATCAGGGTTACGGCGGAGGAGGTGATGACGACACGCTTGATTGAGGGAGTGCGGTGCGCGGCGTTGAGGATGGAGAGGGTTACTTTTAAGGCGGGGTCGATAATGTCGCGGTCATAGTCGTCCGACTAAGAAGGATTAGCTCTGTGACGATCAGGCACGGAGATGGGTAATACCTCGATGGCAGGAGGGGAGGCGATATGGAGAATCCCCGTGACACCAGCGAGGTGAGGATCGAAGGAGTGGGTGTCTGAGAGATCGGGAATAACAACCCATTGTAGGTTGTCCATGTGGGGTGCGACTCGAGCGTGAGACTGGAGTTTTGTGGCCTGTTCGGCCTTGCGGATGACCGCACGTACTGGGAACCCTGCTTCAAGAGCTAGGATCAGAGTCTTGAATCCGATATAGCCAGAAACGCCCGTAATCTATGAAGGTGTAAGTAATTGTCGTTAGTGAAAACGGCTGTGGGACCTGTGGAGCCTGTGGTTTCTCACCAGAATGAGATCTCCTGCCATTATAATTCGAGATGCTCAGAAGAGACTTGGAAATTTTCTTTGAAAGAAGTTGAGATAAAATAGGAGGAGATGGGAGTGCTGGGATCTCGAATATGACGAAGATGAGATGGATGATGAAGGGAACAGGAGAAAGAGGAATTGCATGCCATCTTATACACTTGCGAAGGCATTTTAAGGCGACAAGAATCTCCGGACATGAACAAGAACGATACAATGAAAATTCAATTGCATTAGATGTTGTAGTACTTGGCAATTGTGGCAGCGGAAAATATTGTACAGCCCGGAAAATCGACAAAACGCTAGCACAGATATCGGAGATAGAGGCATTCGACGGGACGAAGGCTTGGCCCCCCTTGGCACATCGGAGCCCCTGGTATTCTGGACGATCCAATCGGGCGCAACTACCAGATCTCTCGAGGCCAGAAAGCTGAGAGGCGATAGGGGTCGTCTTGAAAGATTTGTGATCTTGTTGTAAGAAGAGAAGGCGGAGTGAGTTTGAGGTTGTGGAGTTGTGATCTGCAGCGCGCTAAATAGCCTAACCTGAAGCGCCAAGAGCCTCCTTGGCTTCCCACCTCAACATCGACTTCTCTCCACCCAAAATATTCCGGGTGGCATAAAAGCGCAGCAACTTAGAAGGTTGATCTGCTCCGCCCTGGCCCTGCTATCAGCTATTATATCCGAAGGTTACAGTAGACGTCTATGAATATAGAGCCTAGGGCCAGTGGAACAGCCTCCTGCTGGCATATCGACAATGATACCGGGCCGTTCCTCTGCAAGATCTGCTCCAAAGCGTTCACAAAACGTATAGTTCGATTCCTTTTGCCCTCAAGTACAATCCCATTAGCCATTTGCTCAACTGTCGTGCTAGGAACCTCGAGGAATCGACACGTACTGTACTGTAGGAAGAAGTGGGTGGATAGTCTCCCGGTCTTGAGGAAATCATGTGCAGCTTGTCGGAAAGCCAAAGCAAGATGCGACTCGGAACTCCCAAATTGTAGTCGATGCGATGATAGGGGGATTACTTGTGTTTATGAATTGACTAGGAAGAGTGCGACCTCAGCCCAACAACCTGCATTTGCTCCGCCTGATGAGCCAAGCTCTGATGGTACATTGCTTGTTGATATCCCGGAACCGGGCAGTCAAAACGATATCCCTTGGAATGCCCATGCGGACAACGGCAATGACGCTCAGATCAGCTTAGATATAGATGCTCCCAGTCTTTGGCTTGCTCCTGTGCCCGACCTGACGCCTCAGAACGACCTCGCTCTCTGGGAACCGGATGCTGGATTTGTGGAAGACTTGGAAGTTTCTGACATAGGTGCTAATATTTCGTCCAATGGCTATTCAATCAATGGATCCCCGATCAACTGGTTCATCCCTGGCCCAACACCAAGCTTAACCCTCGACGCGACATTCTCAACTCCCGCAGACTGTATGTTCCATACCCCCTACCTAGTCCTTCGACCTATGGACCGTGATCTGTCCCCTACCTCGCCCAGAAGTCCATTCATTCACGCACATCTCTCAGCGGGCTCACATATCGGCCGCGCCTTCCTTTTGCAGAACTTCAAATCGTACGCCACGGCCCTTGCAACGAAGAACCTGCCGCCCTTCATCCACGGCACGTCGCTTCCATCCCCAGACCCGAGCTCGGGTCAAACTCCGACTTGCGCAACCCCACCTCCCCTACCGACACTAGAGATTTGCAAATCGATCGTCTCACTCTACACTACTAAGACACCTGCAACAAGCTCTTTCGTCTGGCGTACTATAACCATGGAAAAGGACCGCTTTATGAACGAATACGTGAACGGAGATGAGTGGACTGTGCTGTCTATGCTTCAGGCAGTCACGTTGTATATCCTTCTCAGGATCTTTGACGAGGACTCATTCTCCGCTGAATTCGACCGCGAGCTCACTAGAGCGATGACGGTGAGACTTTGATTTCCTCCACTTATCAACGAGCTAACGGTTCTTCCTGCTAGGAAATTGCCATCCAAGCTGAACAGTGCAGATTAGTCTGCAGTGCTGAGATCGAAGGCCGCCGTCCGGAATGGAAAGAGTGGGTGTTGGTGGAGTCGAAACGAAGGACCGTGACGGTACTCTTCATACTGCACCTTCTGTTCGACATCAAACCTGAACAACGGGCCAAATCTAAAGTCGGGCTCTCCGTTCTACCGCTTCCTGCCCATAAGCATCTTTGGGAGGCGGCGACGGAAGGTGAGTGGATAGAAAAGTATGACGAGATGCTGAGGGCAAGAGATAGGAGGTGTTATTTGAGGTATGCGGATTTAATGGCGCTTGGGAGGGGACATGGAGGGGATAAGATGAATGACCTGAATTCATGGATGGTGAGCGGTGATGCGTTTGGGATTCTAGTTCTAATGGCTGCGAATTCTCTCTAATTGTCTATCTTCAGTGAGCATTATCCCACATCTCCCTAAACCAAGCCTTATCCGCTCCTTCCTCCTCCTCCTCCTCTTCCTCACCCCCACCCGCATTCTTCTTCCTCGCCATCTTAGCGAGCAACTCGTCAAGCGTGCCAACCTTGACCACCTTCCCTTATCCATGCTGGGTCTGCAGGATCTCCCCAACAATAAGATAAAGCCTCGTATGTAGGTCTGCTGGGATCGAGTAGAGACACAGACCTGAGACGAACACGAATGGGTGCATTCAAGTTGTGCGCGGGGAGGAGCTCAAGTAGCCTGATGACCTTGAAACTTGGATGTGGGAGTGGCTTGTGCTTGTAATGAACGCCGTTCTCACGTAGCTCGCGACATGTTTCTCTCCAGGTCGCTAGGGTTCGCCTCTGCTGCCATTTCTCCCAGTAGTGGCTGGCGGCAAGGAAGAGTCCAGCGCTAAAGATCCCTGCCACGCATGTCGCGAAGTTTCTCGTTGTAAGACGGCCATAGATTCTGAGGCCAAGGGGGTCTAGCTAGATAGACGCAGGAGAAGGCCGATCGTCTGCATAATTGTTATATATGGACGCTACACACGTGACCAGGCCTGAGAATCGTGGATAGAAAAATATAGCGAGCCCAGGCGTGAATATAGTATATTACAACTAGGCTAATGTATATTACTAAGTACTGAAACATAGGGCCCCTCTATTCGCACTGGTGTAACTCCCGGACTGTATTCTTTTCCTCTTTGAGTATCTTTAAAATTGGAGCTATATTACTTTGTTATAGAACTTCTCTTTAAATACTTCGAATTTTAAAAATAGATTAATAGTTGCGATTAAACAAAGGCGAACAACTAAAGTAGTAATCGGTAGTATAATTGAAATAACCGATAATATAATTAACTATAGTCTTTTCTTTATTACTAAGTAAGTTTCCTTAGAGAGAAATAGTTAAAGAAAGTAGTATATTAATAACAACTTCGTAGACTTGTTAAGAAAATTTTTATAATTCCAAAACTATAGATTTGTCTCGTAACAGGGTACGTCTCGCTACGTAGGGATAGACGTTAGTACTTCTTCAAAGTAGCGTCTGCTAACTTTGCAAAGACAATAGTGCGACAAAGAGAGATCTAACTGGAATTGTCCTTGCATAGACTTATAACTCTTAGTAGCCGGTTTTATTATAATCAATTAATATAAAAAGACGAAGCTGTAATCGCTCCTTACTGTATTATATTCTTCCAAAGTCAGCCCAGGAGACTCAAAGCACCACCAAGCACAGCCACATACGCGCCACTCGCACGCCGCTTTTACACATCGCCTTTATCTTGAATCATTACATATCTCACAGATACACAGTGCACTCTTGCTTCAAACAACCCTAGATCGGTATCCCGTACCAGAATCATTGTTACCATACGCCATTGGCTGTCACATCAAGCTTCACCTGCATAGACACACCTATTAGCCCGGTAATGGTGCGCCCAGCGCCAAGCGGAGCCGCCGAGACCCAGCCGCTGCTCCCACTGGACATCGATCCGGAGGAAGAGGTGGATCAAGATGGGTGTTTCCCTCCTCATAACGTCCACGACTTGTGCCCGGCAAATCCACACGCCCATTTACCTGTTTATACGACTATCCATCGGTATTGGCTCTCCACCTTCCATTCGACCTCAATCGCTGATATGATATCACATTGGCTAACTTGAATCTCAGGATACGGAAAGATGTTATCCAAGCGATCGGTCTGTAGATCTATGTTTCGGATTTAGTGACCTACCTTCTGACTTGCTGATTGATTAGATGATCCCTACGGCATCGAACAGTTGCGAGATCCGCGGATGAACATATCTGTGGTGAGGCCGCTTGTCGATAAGCTTTACGAATTGAACGATGTCTCAATTGGTGCGTGATTTTTGCCTGTGTTCTATTCATCGTTTTCTGCATCTAACCAACTGGTGTTAATGGATTGTTCTTGAAATTATTTAAGTAATTTATTTTCTTAGACAAGAGAGCTTTGGATAGCCTGAGTAGTCTCGGAAGCCCCCATTGAAGCCAACTGTATATGTTTTGTCATTTTAAGTACTACGGTCCGAGTCCCAGCTTCCTAGATTTTAATTAGCATGGGATAGCTCCACGTCGAGTTTATGACATCGCTCAAGTTTCTCGCGGAAGACGTCAGAAATTATTGCCTAATTCAAGCAGTCCTTGATCTAAGATGTTGTTGAATTTAGAAAAGTTAGATGTTATACCATCAACCCAGTTCTACGATGCGTACCTATGACTACATCCCCCGCTATAATTTCAGCCACTCTCTCTCCATTCCTTACTTATGAATAATCAACGATACTAACTCTTTACCTCAAGTCTACTGCCTCTTAGTAAACCGTGTTAAGTTCCAGCGCGAACAACAGACATCTCATCTGCAAAGCGTATGCGCAACACGTGCTCTACTGTGCGAACTTCTTGCAAGTAGGATATTACGGCGATTCAATGAAGATAATCCAGGCGCACAGGGCCTGCTTCTGCTCGCCCATATATTAGTTGGGGCCTTTGACCCATTCCAAAATGCACCGGCAGAAGTCCTCGAGCAAAGCAGCCATGATTTATCATGGGCTGGGCAACAACGGATGGGGAATAAGAGAAAGATACCTGCCTTGGAGATGGCAATCATATCCGAGAGCAAGTTATTTCTCAGCTCTTCCGCATGTCAGAAGGTGGTCAATGCTATCTATGAAGGGCGGGTGGTCTACACACCAACATCGTTCCTGAATATACTTCCGGATCACTACAAGCAAAAACCCGTGTCTCTTTATAACCCCCGCAAAGCCCCTCTCTTCAACCAATATCGACTTATCGTCCCCAGGACGAGAAATTTGCTAGACGTATGCCAGTTTATAATACTCTTGGCGTTGTTCCTCGCCGTTATGACGGATAGGGATCCCTCCAAGTTTGGAATCCTCGAGTTAGTGTTTATCATCTTCACAATCGGCTTTCTACTTGACATATTCGCGACCATATTAGAGCACGGTAAGGATTTTTATTGACCCAGCGCTTATGAACAGTCTAATATTGGTCTTAGGTTGGGATGTATACACCCAAAATCTCTGGTCCTTTCTCGATGCTACATTTGCCGCCATCTTTGGAGTATACCTCGTTCTGCGCATCCATGGATGGCGAGTTGGTTCTCTCGAGCCCGCTCAACAAGCAATGGATGTGCTAGCCATGGGAGCGCCTGTTCTCGTACCTCGATTAGCATTCAATCTCATGTCTGAGAACATGCTCTTTGTCTCCCTACGAGCCATGATGAGAGATTTCACCATTCTTACTGTATTAGCAGTCTGGTGTTTTGCTGGCTTCCTCCTCTCCATGGTCTGGCTCGCTGATGGAGACCACACGCCTATCACCATATCTAAATGGATGCTCTGGGTCTGGTTTGGTCTCGATGGGACTGGAATCCAACGATCAGTTGAGTTTCATTGGCTTTTAGGTCCAATGCTGATGGTTGCCTTCGCTTTCCTTGGCAATACGCTCTTCCTCACAATTCTTGTCTCCATGCTGAGCACTACCTTCGCGACCATCGTTGCCAATGCTAATGCCGAGATTCAATTTCGACGAGCTGTCTTGACTCTAGAAGGTGTGAAGTCAGACGCAATCGTGCGTACACTGTTCCTGGTTAATACTTTGCACCACTGACACTGTGCAAATAGTTCTCCTACCAACCACCGTTCAATATACTCGCCCTCCTTATCCTCCTCCCCCTTAAATTTGTTCTCACCCCTCGCTGGTTCCACAAAATAAATGTAGCCGCTGTGCGAACCCTTAACGCACCCTTCCTCCTCATAATCGGTATCGTCGAGCGCCGCATCCTGTGGCCCAAACCCCGCCGCTTCCGCAACGCAGAAGAGCTTCCTAAACCCCCTGGGGTCCGCTCACGACCATGGGACTTCTCCCGAGGGTTTTCCATGCACGGCGACATCCAGGCCGTATTTGATACGGAGCCTCCGCAATCAGTGGAGGATGAGATTGCGAATGATGACGACCTAAACCACCCCACACTTGAAGATGAATATGTCCGCCAATTCGGCCGTGACGTCGAGGGGGAGAGGAGGAAGAAGACCGCGCCGAAGGATCGGAGGGATTCAGTGGCGCCGTTTGCGGGATTGCCGCAGCGCTTACGAGATTTGATTAGCCCAGAGAGCGAGGATGAGAATACGGAGGACGTTAAGAACAGACTGGAGGCGTTGGAAAAATCCACGCTGAGGATTGAAGGGTTACTGGGGAGGCTGTGTGCGGATTTGGATGATGGGCTGGGAAAGAGGGAACGCGATTCGGATGAAGAGGGAAATGGGTATGTTGAGCCGAGCACGCTGAGCGATTTTGATACCACGGGAACTGGCGAGACCAATGATTAATGTTCATTGCGTAGCCTGGATTGGTATTGTACTTTAACGGACTGAAATTGTACTTTGTAATACTGTACGTAGGTAGCATCGGTGTTGGAACAACCTAATATGTTTTATAAATGCTCCCTACCTTATTTGATTTCTCAGGCCTACTTTAGATTAATTTGTACATAGGTAGGTAAGAGTAGACAGGTTTAATTAGCTGAGTGTTTTGTGTTTTCTCAGGCAAAAAACAGCGGATCATTCTCTGTCTATCAATTTAGAAATATGTCCTTGGTGAACCGCACCTTAATAGTTAGACTAGAAATATTTCGATTTTAAAGACTTCTCTAAACCGATATAGTCCATGCCGGCTGTCGGCTGCTGCCATTCATTCGCCTTTGCGAAGCTACCTAGGCAAATTCCCAAGGGGTGTAGTATCAACTGATAACGTATCTCTGTCTTCAAGCTTACATATTTTAGCATTCCGACGGACAAGTAGTAATATGTTAATGCTTATCAATTTATTGTGTTCATGCTTATGTATGGAAGGCTATTATAAAGGAGGTTCCTACTGGCATGGCTAGCAGGAAGCCGAATTCATCGCTCGCGCTATGTCCATAAGGCAAATATCATCATTGTCCCAAGCACTCATCTATCCATCCATTAGATGTAAAGGGTACCCTCCCTCCCCCGTCAAGGACCGTGCAAAACCATTGCTCCAAATACGCCGCGCTAGCCTAACTGAACATAACCATAATCCGCCCGAAGCCCAACCTAGCGTAACATGCTCCGCCAATCGTTCTGGAGAGTTGTAAAAGGAAATTAATGGTGTGAAGAGGTGTGTAGCTTTACTACGATAGAAGCCGATCGATAAGCTCGTTCTGCGACGGTATTATCGGTAGATGTCAAACTGGGCGATCATGAGAGCCTTGATTACTTGAGGCAATACCCAGGACTTGGGCCCGTTGGGAGGCATTCTGATGATTCATAGTCGGGTTGACAAATCTAGCCGACCCAACTGATGTTGGACGACCTAATAAAGCAGCCCGGCTACTTCCAATTCTCCCTCGGATTTGTCGTCTTCGGTTCTCAGGAGAATCGGCGGGAGAAGCTCGATGTGGCGGTGAATGCCCCCACGACTCAGCGGCCCTGCTTATCGCGTAGTCATAGTCGTCTTGTGTTCGCTGCTGGAGGCCTGTGGTAGCGTTCCTATAGCGAAATTAGCAATGCCCTCTACCCCAAAAATACAATTTCAAGAGCTCTTCTCTTACCTTCCAGCTTCCTCAGAAAATGCCTGGTTATGAAAGCCATGGAGCCGGTATCTATGAGCTTCTGCAACTGCCATACGATCTCGCTGCTGCCGTAGAGACTCCAGAGCAACCGACTTTCTGACTGACAGCTCAGATGGAAGCTTATCACGACAGTACGGGCAACTATCGTTCTCTTCAAACCACTTTTTGATGCATTTATCGCCGAAAACGTGTTTGCACTTTGGCAGGCGGAGAGGACTTTCAATCACCCCCTCAGGATTGCCAATGCCAAATTCATTGTAGCATATAATGCATGCTGTTCGTCGTTAGAGCTGCTTTGTAGCTGAATAAACGACGATGGGCAAGGGATGGGTGGTCAGAGATACGGGTAGGTCCATATGCCAACTTGGAAAGGTTCGTGATACCGACACAATGTGGAAAATACGAGATTGGGGTAGGAAATAACAACTGATAGAAAATAGGAGGAGACTTACTTTGATCAGCTGCTTGAAGTTCCTGGACATTAACCTTTTCTAACGAGGCGATAGCTTCTTTAGATGGCACTTTCTTGCTTGCCGCAATCGCCCTATGCATAGTTGCCAAGGCGCGCTGCTCATCCCTTTCCAGATTAAAATACAACTCGGGATCTCGTTGGCGACTCTCGATATCGATATCGGCGTCATCATCATCGTCTGAGTCCAAGGCATTAATTGTTCGTCGCCTTGGGAGTGTTGTGGGATCAAGCCAGTTCGACATTCGGCCGTTATACCTCGATGATCTCTGGGGAGCTAAGTATCACAGTCAGTTTCCAGGTCAATCATGAAATAATGCGTGCGTGGGGAAGTCTCTACCTCCTCTCTGTTCCAAGGATGTTGGAGGCAGCTGTGGGTTTTGTATGGAGCCCTCCGCAGCTGCATCGACAGGCTGTCGTTGTGTAGGGTCTGGTAGGTGATTCGAGGAATTCAGCCGGACATGTCGATGAATATAGTAAGGTGGTATGTTATTCGAGGAAGTGTTCAGCCTGGGCTGTCGAGGAAAATGACGTTGTGGTACATTGTTCGAGGAGGTGTTCAGTCTGGGTTCTCCAGCGTTAAACGTAGGTGGCACGAGGCCAGGAACAGGCGCTGAAGAAACACGAGCAGAATTTCTCCCGTTGGGCTGGTCTGGATGAGGGTGGTTGTTTGCGGGTGGTTGTTGTTCCATGAAGGCGCCATAACCAAATGGGAGCGGTTCGAAGGCACGTATGTCACCCCAAGGTGCTATGGGGAACCCCATAGGCCCGTTCTGTTGGCTGTATACCGAAGGGTCAGGAGCTTGGGATGGAATGCCCTGTTGAGCATCACCGAAGCCCTGCCAGCTATGAATCGGGGCATATGATCCGTGTTCCCATTGTGGAATGTTGTGTTGTGCTGTGAAGGCAGCTCGGTTGGGGATATTCGGGTTATTATTGGCATTGCGGTTGCTCTGGAAGCCCCAGGTATTTGTGTCGTGGACGGGATCGTAGTGCTGGCCATCGCGAGCTTGGGAATCCAACCCGCCGTTGATAGCGTGTTGAGATTGCTGATAAGGACATCGAGAAGCGGTGTTCGGTGGCCGGCTCTGATTCATGTGGGGGTCGGTCATCGTGTAGTCCATGGGATCCATGGCGAGCAACCCCGCAGCGCAATGGCCCAGCACGAGGACCAGCGAGCAGAGGGAGAGGTTGCGAATAACCTCAAGATGCAGAGTCCGGCCTGGATCTCGCGACAGAAGTCAAGCCACTCGAGTTTAAATAGCGGTCGAGGGTGAATGTGAGTATGGATGTGGATGTGGATGGTTGCGGTTGCGGTTGTGGTTGGGTGGTGGGTGTTGGTCAGTCCGGCCGTCGACGTCGACGGGCTGGCCAGACGGTGAACAGTGACGGCGGGGGAGCGGGATCCGTGAGCATAGGAGGGCGTATCAGTGTCAGTGGATGATGGTCTGGATTGTACTTTCGTAGATGCGAGTTGAGATCAAACAGAGCAGAAGTGCAGAGGCCGAGACGAAGGAGAAGAGGTGGGAAGTTGGGCTCGGGGGATGAGGAGGAAGCGGAGGTGGAAGTGACGAGGCGTACAAGTTGCGTTGGAGTTGGACCTGGAGTCAGCGACGGAGGCGGAGATGGAGGTTGGATGGGATCAGGCTTCTCGCTGGTTTGGGTTTGGATTTGGGTTTGGGGCGGTGGGAAGTCGGTGTCGGAGCCGGCGCCTGTGTCTCTGTCTCTGGCTGTGGCACTGTCTCCGTCTCTGTCCTGTCTCTGTTTCTTATGTCTTTCTTGTGCTCTGGCGTCCTGGTGCCTGTGTGTCCTGTTTCGGTGTCTGCCGCTGAGTGGTGAACTACTTTGGTGCTACTCGACTACGAAATGCTCCCGTACGAGCACAGAACATGTCCAGTCCTGCACGGTATAGGCACTGTGCTTCTACTTCAGGTGTGACTTTGGCGCCGCTCTGCCTTCTTCCTCTTCTCTCGCCTCGGCCAACGCCGTCAACGTGCGGAACAGCTGAAACAGGAGGCTCGATTGCGGTGAAAAGTGGGAATATCCGGATAATATTCCTCGAGTATGTCAGTGTGTGGTTCTTCTATATATATCTCCCTTGTACCTGGATAGGCGCAGAGCAGAGGGGCGAGCGGGCACCGGAAACGAGAGCGAGAGAGTGAGAGAGAGTGAGAGAGAGAAAGACAGTCTGAGCAGCCAGCGAGACGGGGCCAAATAGCAGCAAGCAGAAGGACGAGTTGATGCGCCGAGTCCCGGGTCTCGAGTCCAGCGTCAGTGAGTGTCCAGGCATGCTACGTACTGTACTTCGTACAGGATGGATATATGATAATACTTTCTGCCCTTCTGCCCTCTACCCCGTAGGTTGCCAGGACCCGGACTCGTTCCCTTCCAGCCATTGACATCGCCCATGCGAGCTCCTTGACGCTGGTTCCGACGGGCTCTACCTAGCGAGCGAGCGGCAACCGGTCGACATGCCCAGGCATAAGTCCATCATGTGTTCGTACGGCAAGTAGGTGCAGTACTTATCTACGATAGAGGCACATGGAGGAGCGGAGTGGAGTGGAGTGGAGTGCATAGCTATAAGGTATGTGTGATGCTCCTCATATCAATGCTCCATCAGGCAGGTGTATGTATGTGTGTGTGTGTGTGTGTGTGTATTCCATATTCCACAAACGTGCTGTTTCTATTTCGGTCCCTGTTTCTGTTATGCCATAATGTTTGTATTTTCTTTCTGTATTTGCATTTCTGCTGCTGCTGCTGCTTCTACTACTGGAGAAAATGATATCATTATTAACCCCCCCCCCCGCCGCCGTCTTATCGATTGCGGAATCAGCTGAGTGAGGCCGCCGACTCACCGACTCCCCCCGAGACATGATTTGCCCCAAAGCGCTGGCTGGGCTCGACGAAATGTCCTTGGGCTTAACTACCAACACTCCCTAACCTGATTTAGCCTGTCCACTGTCCGCTACCCACTTGTGTCAGCCCGCCAGCAAGCAAGGCAATTATTGCCAGCAGAGCGGAACGAGGAGAGGCGAGTTGCCCCTCTTGAGCAGTGGTAGCTCCGGCATGTTGCAGCAACTACGCACGGAATGCGGAATGCAGTAGTTAGGGAGTTAGAGAGTTACAAAAACCCAGTCCTGTATCATCTCGAGTCAGTATCACCGGAGATGCCTGCTTATTATTGTTCTTCCACCAGTTCGGTCCGGACCACACCACATAACCTCTCCAGCTTCCACTCCAGCTCCAACTCCAACTCCAACTCCGGCTCCAATTCCAACTCTAGAGTAGAGTTCCCGGTGGTGAGTCCCAGGATTTCCGATTGACAGTTTCTCTACTGCACGGGTACAGTAGTAAACCACCCCCTGGTGCTATGTTTCTCAGACAGTCTGATCGGCATGCTTCTTCAAGTCATCTCTTTCACCCGTAGCTACGGAGAGAACAATCAACCAGCCACTATCCAGCATACAAACGGAGTGCTTCTATCATATCACTTCTCCCCTCGGCGCTCGCGCCCAGCATTACTCGTATCCGCCGCCTCCCCTTTTTAGCCTTCTCCTTGCCCCTCACAAACTGCAGCGGCCAACCACCTGCCACGTACTTCGTACGTTTGCGGCTCCGAGCCTACAGATTACTCAGTGCTGCGTAGCTACGTACGGAGTACACCATTACCTGAAGCGACGGCAACAAAACCGCCTCTCACGGTTATATGAGCTGTATGGCTCCGCCTCTTCCTCCGTCCCTTGACCTTGATTATTGATCGTGCGACCTCACCAAGATTTTCCTCGACTCGCTGTTCAGCCCAGCCTTCCCGCCCGAGCCACTCGCTGGACCACGACCGAACAGGAATCTAGATTCCAGCATCGATTCCTCATCTCCAAGGCTCTATCCCGATCTCAACCGAACATCCCCAGAGGAAAAGCTACGTACGCTTCGAGGTCCATTTATTGCCTGCTACACCGCAAAAAGCATTTAACCCAACCGCATCATTCCTCGGGGTCATTTCTTGAAAGCTCTTGGCTCATTACTTCCAATTATTCGCTCTTCCATTATTGCCCTGCTTAGTTGTTCTCTCTTCTATCATTACCCTTAATTATTTTCCTTGCACGACTCACTTCTCCTGGTCCCGCGCACTACAGATAATAAATACAAGATAGGAAAAAGCTAAAACTTTGCCACCTGCAAGATCTCATTTTCTATAACCTGCTTATGGATAACGTTATATTATCCTACTTCGTTCACGTGGTATGTGGCTCAGATACAAAGTCAAGCGACAAAGCATGTGTGGGGGATACCGGAATGTCATAGGCCTGACAAGCCAACCGCATGCTGTACGCCCATATTATCTCGCTTTTACTCCAATGCGGCAGTTAGGACGTGGCCATAACTATACCTAAACTACCCCGAAGAGCGGAGTCTAGTATTGGCCAGGAAAAGCTAGTTTGCAGCAAGGTGGGAATACGAGTAGTAGTATTCGCCGTTAATCCGGGCACGGTATTGCTTATAGTCGTGTGCCCCCCCACCTGCGTTCGATAATCCCTCTCTACCATACAAAAGTGCCGCGCATGCGCTTGTGCTTACTCTTTCAATGCGGGATGCAGCCTCGTGATGGGTCAACATGAAGGATATACCGCCCTTGAAATATGCCAGCTGCAAAGATATACTCAGCACCTACGTAGCGCGATTCGGCCCTAATAAATCGTGGGTATTTGATTGTCCATGTCCTATTTTGCATGCAACGAGAAGAGCAAGATGCTCAAGAGTGAGTTGAAGGAGACACTCGTCTTTACATATTATTATGAGATCTTCCCAGGAGTTGAAGAATCTTTAAGCTATGTTAATGCTTCCTGCTTCCTCCGGGAGTACCAGGCTGCATTTTCAACCTGATAACTTCGGGTGAGCAGAAATGACATAGCAATGTTGTGGCACCTGATCGTTATAATAAACCAAGCAACTTGGGATATCGTCCTTTTCGGGGCCAAACCTTCAGTGTATCATGATAGATAAGCTAGTAGTGGATGGATGTATTGGCTAGCAGTTATATTTAGTAAACAACCATGGGGAGGTGTCCAAACAACGGCCGTGGAAGGTAAATTTCATTAAGACATAATAAAAGGCCACTTTTTTCTCCTTTTTTGGTAGTCCAAGAATTGAGAAGACATAGACGATATAGATATATATATCAGGCAGTGTGCAACACTAACGATTTGCTATTCTAAACTGAACTTGAAACGAAATATATCGCTAACTGTACGCAACAGCCCTCAGTAGAACTGACCAGCTGTGACATAGATGCTAGCCGTGGGAGCATTGAATACATTCCTAGGCGTGAGTTCAAGACTGCTTCAGCATCCGGGGCTGTTCTTCTTATTGGCGAGGCTGTCGTCTTCATGGGAATCAGCTCGTTAAATAGCTTCACCTGGAATTACTTAGCGGTAGGTACTTACCCATCTCCCATACTTTATCTATCACTTCAATACTGATTAATTCTGCAGAAAATGGACGTCGAAGGCAGTATCCCGTTGAAAAATACCCACCGAGCTGAAATTGATCTATATCGAACAATTTCAAAGATTGTTTGGCAAAACTTCATGGATTTGACGGAGGGGCGAGTGCTGTTATGGAGCTCACTATGTTAGAATATAACACACTATTTCTAGGTCGTATTTGTTTAAACCACCCAAGACTCTTACATTATATAATAGCAACGTGATCAAGATAGCAAGTGTTCGCATTAGTAGTTGCCGGAGCCTTCAACCAAAAGAAAAAGAAATCAAAGCGATGGTTGTGGTTATACGCTCTTCTCGGACCATCTAAGAGCTAAGAAACAGCTATTGCCGTTTCGTTCCTGTCGCCTTTACTAGATCCAGGGCGTGGATATCTTTAGGTGGTCCCCTTGCTTGGCTGCCCGATTACATCTTGGTCTTGCTTAATGCTTTCAAGCGACAAAATGCCCCAACCTATATGCCACTCTTCACCGCTCGCTCGGCATAACTTTGCTACTACCAAAAGGCAGGTATATATATTCTAATAAGAAAAAGCCATATAACGACAACCTAGCTTTTTAAGATACTCCCCACAAGTATCACACGACACCTCATATCGAAGAGAAATATAACTAGGTCTAGCGACAACATCGAAGCGGCAGAGATTAATTGGCTGTGGGCAATGAACTCTTTTGCCTTTTTGACCTTGTAATTTTTTATTTAGATACCTTGTTTTGTTTTTGTTTTTGATTCTACCCCTTCTTTGCACCTTTTTGTGGGGCGGGTCAAGCGAGTTAGTTGAGCCGTATAGTGAGGACGGACGGTTAACGATATGTTTGATCTGAGTTGATTTGACAATCTCTGCGTATTTCTTAGGAGAGCATGACTTTCAGGGTCACCATGGCCACCAAAAGTGAGGTAGAGAGGCTAACTTAGCCCTCCATGGCTTTATGAATTTTGTAGCCCGTATTAGACTATCCCTCAACTCCAACTACCTAGCTATTTGTACAGCACAGTATCCATAACGATAGAAGCGCCTTCACCGATGCATAGGTAGGCTCATTCTCTCCTCACGTACGTCCCTTTATTTTCAGCGCCACAGCATAATTTTCCATACCTGTTCCAAACCAAAACTGCGGGGCCCAAAAACGCTTCATGACCATAATTACTACTTCCGCAATAGTTTATACTTCCCACCGCTCAATTCTAACTCCCCTTCGGCGACTTTAGTAGACAAGAATTCCTGTAACTCCTCATTGTTGTACGGGAAGCCATCCGCAATTAGCATCTTTAGCATCATGGCGATCTGCTGAAGCGGCATCTGGCTAGACGAGTTCTTCAGCATGCCTTGGATGAATTGCCAATACATTTGCATCTTTTCTGCCATTACACCATTGTTTGGCATTAGGTTGGCCTCGTCCATACTTTCATCGTTGACAGCGGCCGTTGACGCTGCAGCTTGTGCATTAGAGCGCGCCCGATCTTCTTTGTTCAATGTCTCAAGCACCGCGAATCTACCTGGGGAGATTTCGTGCAGGGCGAGCTTATTGACCCAGAACTTGAGGGCGCTTCGGATGAGGTTCTCATCCATCTCTAGTTCTTGGACCAAGTCTTCAACACTTCGTTCGGCAACCGAATTATCGTTTGCATCATTTTGGAAAGCCCAGATCACGGTAGCTTGCCAGGTATGGACTTCTTCAACCAAGGTGCGGTCCTCGAATTCGAGTTCAACGGTTGCCTGTCCCAGTATGTGGAGCCAGGTAAGCTTTCGAGATGTTTTTAGGGATGTAAAACCGTCCTCGTATCGTTTTTGAAGATCTGCAATATCACTTGGAACTCGGTAGCTCTCTTCCTGAAGCTGAGGCCAAAATAGCCGCGATAAGACCTTGGCGTGTAGGGATGGCTTGAACAGCCCTTCTGCGCTCATGGCAAGTTCGTCTACCAAGAAAGGGGTTGTGCTAGCGGCGCTAACCTCCTGCGCGCTAGGATCCAGCTTTTGATTTCTCCTAATCACGCTGTTGACTCTTCCAGAATCTTGGATATCCTTGAGCATGACCTCGCAAGCCTGAAGTGGTCCGTCGCCATATCTAGATTTCAATAATTCAAGCACCTTGATCTGTGATATATTAGCAATGTTCCTACAATATCGAGCCAAGATACTTACTTCTCTCTCGAATCCTCCATCATTCTTCAGCAGATTATCCCCCATGACGTTTTGGAACTCCTTAATAAACACATCTTGAGCTCCCAAAGCACCTATAAGGGTTCCAATAATATCGGCATTTTTCGATCTTTTGTACCCCGAGCCCGCATCAACGGGATCAGGTACCCACTCCATATCATGCCAGTCCAATTCCTCGTCGTTTGCCCTTACCTCACCTCCCTTGCTGCTGTTGTTGAGCAACTCGGCCAGCTCTGTTAACTTTTCTCCCCAGCGGCCTAATGGCTTTCCTTCGGCATCAGAGGTATCTGAAAGTAGCCCAGTAATGATACATCGAACTGTGTCTTCGCGTGAACAAAGGTACAATTGGAGTGGATACGCAACTCTATCCAGAAGAACTTTTGAGTGATCGAGGGAATGGAATGACCATATCATAGCGATGTAAGTTTGTAATATCTGCAAGGTTGATGCTCCCGGATGCAGAAGCTTGTCGGATAATGCCTCAGAAAAGACTTCCGTTAAGTGTAGGCGCCTCTGCGGCGTTGTAATAGCTGTCCGTAGGTCATGTAGTGCTCCACTGCTATGCGGCCACTTGCTAACGATACCAAACAATTCGTTGATTCGGAGTTCCGCTAGGTGGCCAATGCTCATTTCCTTGTACTTTTCCTTATCTGCCCAAGTAACTTGTGCTTTCTTGTCGACTATACTGAGCACCTGAACCGCAAGCTTTGAATACCGGTTCTCAATCCATTCACATAGATTTGTTGTGCACTGAGATGGCGAGGAATGATGGACTGTTCTTGGAAGGATAGATTGTCGTCTCTCTGTATCCATCGTTGAAGAGCCAAGCGCGTCAGGCTGTTCATTTTCAGGAGACCACAGACCTTCACATCCTGTATAGACATACCCAACCATTGCATTGTTCATGATTTCCGCGAAGATGATTTGAAACTGCTCCCCAGCCAGACCAACATTTTTCAGAGACTCCACAAGAGCAAGGGTTTCTTGCCGTGCCTCCTCTGATCTTGGACCCTCTGTCTGTATCACATGGTTTTCGTGATCATTCTCTGCTGACAGACCAAGGACCATGGGTATAAAGTTCTGTAAGACCCTCTTCAAGGCAACCGAGAGTGGCTCCATGACAGAGTTGTTGATGACAGCGTGAAGATCCCTACGAAACTTTGTTAGGACAGGCATAGCACTGCCAGGAGCTGATATATCCATTTGCTCCTTGATGATCGCAAGCCCATGAAGGTATTGGCGGTGAGCCGTTTCTAAGGCTAAAATGCTTCCACGGATCACATCTTCTGGAACAGGTCGGTCTTTAAAGTCAAGTATAATTGGGAGGACTTGATGTAAGAAGTGTGATCGGACTTGTTGGGTATGCCAGACAATAATATCTTCGGTGTGGGTAACGAACGGTAGCCTAGTGCGGGGATACAGCAAGTCCTCTAATGCTTGATCGAAGGCGCCATCAAGGGAGTTTCTTTGAGGTTTCAGTTCCCCTGGAGAGCTTAGGTTTTTGGGGAAGTCCGGAATTATCAAAGTATGCGTGACCAAGTGCCATGCTCGGTCCCATCGCACCTGATCTCGCACATGACTTGATTCGCTCAGGGAATGAGAACGAACTGATTCTGAACCTCGGACATTAGACAAGGAAGGCTCAGGGAGGTTAACATGTCCAGAGGGCTTCGGGCCTCCCCAAGCTTGTCCGGGAGTTGCCCATTGTCCAGAGGGCGTAGCAACGGGGGTGGGTTGCGAGGTATCGCCTTGGCCGAAAACCGAGTTGAAGACGCGTTGCCGGCGCGTGGTGAGGTCTTCTTGCCCGGGCATTTTCATTTTCGGCGCCGCTGAGCAATGACACAGAACTCCAGCACAAGCATCGCCGAAAATGACTAGTTCGACGGGGTGGGAAGCTGGCTGTTGTAGTGAAAGGTTGGCACTTTATGAGATCTTCGCGTCCATGTCTCCTTCGCTAAATGTCCAGAAGGTCGGTTCTTCCCGGGCTTGTAGTTTGTTTACATTTTACTGAATCGAGCTCGTGCTCAACGCAACGAAAAATATTTGATATACCGATGCCTAATTAATGCCAACCAACGGTACTAACTAGTAAAAGCTGGAGAAATATTCGTATTCAGTTGTACCCCAGTAAGCTGGGGTTATGCTTTAATGATTAATTGAAATTTTGTTCTCAGCTCTTTAGCATGGTAAAATCAAAAATCTAATTGCAGACGGATCGGTTTTATAATGGATAAATCCCGATGCCGATGCTGATGCACATTACTTTATATACTATATATACTATACAGAAGCGCCAGGCCAAATTATTACGGGTATATGCAGTACCGCCTAACTTATATCCCCAGCAAAGGCTACGCTCGAAGCAAAATAAAAGCAACTGAGCAATGAGGTGCTCGCCAGACTCCGTCGTTATCGCCATTTTAGTTGTACCGTGATCTCCAAATATCCAGGAAAATATACAAAAAAAAAGCCGTCAAGCGTAATTCATATCGACGTAACCCGCCGATCAGATGATGATATGTTCCTCGGTCGCATGTTTATCACCGACTCTAATTCTCTTAGCATCCGTGTATTTGCCTCGGCTTTGTCTTTCATCGAGTCCCGCTTGGCCCTATCACCCTTCATTTTTGTGATGCGTTCTTCTCGTGTTAATGTGCTTCTAGGACGTGGAACGGCAACCGCTTCAAAAACCTCCTCTGCATCCGAGGAGCTCAAGTCCATGCTGGACCGCGATAGCGTCTCGCCGTTCAAAGCCTTTAGTGCATCCAATGCTCCGCCCTCCTCAACAGCGGTAACACCTCCCAATGAGATTGTTGGTGAGAGCATACCGCTCATGGATGAGACTCGCCGCTCATTTCGGTCTATATTGGAGGCCAATGCATTCTTTCCATCCTCCCACTCTTGCATCAACGCCTTTAAATCAATACCAATAGATTCGTATTGCATCATAAGGGTTGTGCCAAGTTCTGCGACATCCTCGGTCTCATTCAGGTTTTTGTCGGATTCCTCACGGAGAACGTGGAGCTTTGCCTGGAGGCCCCGGATGCCTGAGGAGAGCGAGCTCAACTTGCGTAGCTGGGCACGCCAACGCTCGCGGTTTGGCGTTAAGGGTATCTTAGGGGTAGCGGGTAGGGAGAAGCCTAGCTGAATTAGCATATACTCGAGATGCGGTATCTGGGATAGAGATAAGTCGTACTTTCTTCCTCGCGAAGGATCTGATGCAGACGATCCGCGGTCTCGCTTGTAGTAGATGTAACTCCGTGAATCTGGTCTGAAGCCATATTCCACCGTACGAAATCGGATTTTCCACCATGAGCATCCAGAGCCATAAGACAGCAAAGCAATACTTTCCTACTCATATAAAATCTTGCAGCCAAGATCTTCAACACACGGACAGACTCCAGGTCGTCGAACTCAGTCTCAGAAAACCCCAGCATTGCCTCTGCGACATCGGAGTCGTTGATGTCGTAAATATCATAGTATTTCTCCAGGTCCATTTCTTCCGCGAAGGGTTTAATAGCTTCATACGCCTGGTTGTAGCGGGGTATGACTCCAGCGAAGCAAAAGCGGAGTTGTTTCCTAAGCCGAGCACATCTCCTGGTTTGACTTCGCTCGTCTAGTCGGCTAACCGGTGGAAGAGGGCTGCTTCTAAATTCATGTTAGCGGGCTTCTGAATCGAAAGGGGCAAGAGTTGCTAACATCCTGTATCCGCGAGACACGAGTTCCACTTCTTGGACGAGGCTCAGGGCACCCCCTACAGCAGCATCCAGTTCTTGCGACTTTGTGACGAATTCCGAAATCCTCGACAGGATTTGATGTCGGAGATACTGAAGCCATTGTCTGCGCATATAGGCGAACAGGACAGCGGCCAGCAGAGCGAGTATAATCAGGAATATGGCTATCCGCCCCTTGGCCCACGCAGAGCCTCTGCCCCCTCGGGCCCAATGTATGAGCCAGGCCAAAGCAAAGGCGAACGTGGCAGTCAACAGTGCCCCGGTGGGTGTGAGAGCAACAAGTTGTGGCACGTCGGGTGGCTGTAGGGTAGCATCTTTGGATTTTCGATGGCCTGGTTGGCCAAAATATGGATGTGGATTCAGCAGCTGCGATGCGACTATGATATAGCGGAAATGCTCTAGAAATCTCGAATTGTCCGGCCGACCTAACCTGGAGCTGAGGACCTTCTAGAATAATAACTTAGTTAGGCGCTTATCAAACGGGGTGGGGTAGTTCTTACAGAGCAAGAATTCCGTATGATAGCCACTGCATTTTTGTGCGGTGTTCCCAAGCGTAATGGAGGCGGGAGGTTATTGCGAAATTCGAGCCGTGCTCTTGGTCTGCCACGAGGTGCAAAGGAAGGGCTCGAGGTCCTTGAAGGCGTCTCCTGCCCCTTACTGGTAATGCCAGACAGTTCCTCTCCCCCCTCACCTGTTAACGGGTCAGCGGTCAGCCATTTTCTCCTCATCGACAGTACGATATACCAACCTTCAAGGTAATTGGCGAGAGGCGAATCTTCAAATACTACCGACTCCATCGAATGGGATGCTCGCGGTTATCTCATGTCAGGGTGGGCACATGCGGCGGCCATCCCGATCGTCCTGGAAGCCCTCAAGTAGGTGCTGGCCGGGTTAGTTCTACTTCGGCGGAGGATGTTCTAGGAGGATTCGAGAAGGGCGGCCTGGAGGTGATGCGACACGGTGGCTGGAGTTGTGAGCGCTATTATAATTAAGGAGAGTAGAAGAATAGAAATGATGTTATTAAATGGAAGATGTTCGCTGTAGGATTCAATTTCACGTGGCTCCACGGTGTCCGTAAAATAGGTACAAAGGACAAGGCGCGGAGATTCGCGACGGGGGTTTAAAATGGCCGTCCTCCGTGCACAATGGAGAACTGTATCGTTCCCTGCACGGTGAATCTCGTTCGTTATGCATCAATCATTTGTCACTTGGCAAACACGACCCCAGATTCCCCCTTTCTACCACGCAGATCAAGGGTGCTTAGTTTGGTGAAGTCATTCTGGGGGTTTTCGCCGCGTCGGGCCTTCTTCGACGTACGGAGTACTGTGCTCTGTGCAGAGCGTTGGGAGTACGTACCTACCAGCAGCAGAGGAGAGCTCTTCCTCAAGAACGATCGTGGGCCATCCGCAAACACCTTCGTCCAGTTCTCTTACTCCTTGGCTGGCAATACACTTAGGCCCCGATTTCCGTCGGCGACTCGTCGCTGGTTGATATTTCGACCTTGCAATCGCATCGCAGGGCCCCGATCATATCGGACATCCTGCAAGTTCCACGAGGCAATGCATATGGCTTGCATACATCCGACAGTCGCCTATGTCGGGTTCTGTCAGCCCAGTCGGCGATCAAAGTCTCTCCCAAGTGTGTAGTATGGGCAGGACCGCAGCTGGGGCAAGCGCCTCAAACCCGAAACATTTTTCACACGTACCGGCGTCCCCGTGGGTTCTTGTCAGCCTACAGGCCAGAACAGAGAGTGGTTTCCCAGGGTTGATATCGAAATCGACCTGGCCCTTGAAGAATTGAAGAAGGCAAGTTAGTCGGTTTGAACTCTGGGTTAATCCCACCTTCGTTCCGGTAATACGACGTCACAGCCACGTAATGTTACAGTATGCTTAAGATGCAGGTCGAGATTTTAGAGCCTGACCGAGGGACCAAGGAACCGATGTTAGTTATCATCGCCAAGGGTTAGAGATATTTTGAAATCTGTATCTACAATTTAGTGACAGTAGCAGTTGGCTGAGATTAAGCATCATAGGTCTATTACGAAACCTTCCTGAGGAAATTTTCTTCTAGTACCGTTTCCGGTTTCGATATACCGCGTCTCGGCATCCGGCGAGGAATATGGGCTGTCGTATCTGTTATATGCAAATCCATACTCGAGCAGCTTCCGAAGCTACTTGTGGGATATTGAATTCCGCTATGCAGCGCCTTCGGACAATTAAGATACACCACTACACGACGACGACTATAATACGGCGTAAGCATACGAAGTACTCTTTAGTAAGGCTGTGTAAGTCAGGAGCGAAGGTGCATTTCCAAGGGCGACGCTGACAAATATACTCAGACTGTACGAAGTATTCGTAACGATTACGTTGTGCCGACCATCAAAACGTCTCTTGCAGTGCCAGTATGTAGAAGTGGTCGGCCGCAGTCAGCCACACTTCCGGGCCGCCCCTTGGGGTTCCTTGGATCTCAAATCTCACAGTTTCTTGTAATGTAATATCATTGGCCACAGCTCCTACGAGTGGGCGCCACATGAGGCGTCCATTCCCGGATATCCACAGAAGCGCTTAGTCTGGTGAGCTGCTTTCACCCTCCGCGTTGACTCCCAGACGGCAGCATGTAATTGCTCATCATGTTGAACTAGAAAGCCACCTCAAGCGATAATTTCATCTCACCTAATGCTACTGCCATTCACGCCACCAAATCTTTATCTTCTGCATTGGCTTTGCCGATGGAGACATGGTATATGACGTCCAGTATCACTGCCCATGTAATCCTCCCTTGCCCACCACGAGAATTATCAGGCCAATATCTATTGGGTCGCTGCAAATGATACGTCTTTCAGGTTGTTGTGGTTGTAATTAGTCAACCTTCTCCCCGTATTCGGCGGAGTCTTTTGAAGGATCAAGAGATCCTAGACTACCAGCCAGCACGCAAGTTAGCGCTGCTATTGTCCGAAACGACTATCAAATAGCGTTGCCCTGCTTTTCTCGTTGCTACCATAGTTTCTCCATCGGCTTCTTAAAGCTGAATATCTCCCTGCACCTCACTCAGCAAGCGGCAAAGGCCTACGTGCTCTTCTCTTGATGTATGGCATCCTCCAGTCTACCTGCCAATATTTCTTACCCCCTCACATTCCCTTTGCTCAGTCTAGCTTCTATATCAAGATCTTAGTTGTCCCATTTCGCCTCCCATCACCATCACCATATTCCAATTTCCCTCCCTCCTTCCTTTGGTTCTGATTTCCCTCTCCATTAAAGCACCCTTCCATCTTTGTATCCCTTTTAACGCCTACCCTTATCCAATATGTCTCGACAGTCAGGAGGCTCAAGGCAGCATGGCAGTCAGTCAAGAAATATAGATGGACACCATGAGGGTGTAATTGCGCAAGTCAAAAGCATTGTCACGCAGCTTGACGGGGTCCTATCGTCTTCCCCTCATGAATGGGCGACCTATGTTCCATCTGCTCGCTCAGCTATGGGAGCAATAGATAGGATACACTTCTTTCGGGACCGTCAGCGCTTCGCGGAACAGATCTGGGTTCTTCAAGGCCTTCAAGACTTCGCGTATCATGATCCAGATTCTGGATGTATCAGAGACATTGCGGAATGGTGTCAGATAGCTTGGCTACGAATCCTTCAAGATCATCCAGAGAATTTAGAAGCACTGACTGGTAGGTCTTCTTTGCCAATGTGTATATTCATTCCAGGTGGTTTGAAGCTTCTAACCGGTGACTCGGCCATAACTGAATTGGATGCCGTAACTAATCACCTTTGCGACATAGGATTGGGATCAAATTGGCTTCAAATGTCGCAAGCTACCCTAGCTCAGATCCATCGCCAAGAAGGTACCGGCGTTTTAGGTCAAGGTAGGAGACTGGCGGACAACGCACCGTTTTTATGAGTGTACTGATTGCAAAGAAGATTCTGACGATGCAGCAGCATATCCACCAGATCCACGACGACAAGGACCTCTATATGTTGAGGCTCGAGGATACCTGCAACCGGCTGTCGATTTCTATGCAAGGGCTGTGCAATCCGCTAATGCTCGGGGATCAACAACTGGTGGCCTACTGGCTTCAGTAAGAATACACACCTATGTCTGATCTGCAACACAGCCTGATACTCGCGTTCTTCTAGGCTGCCGAATCGAATATGTCTCTGGGAAATGTGACAGCTCCTCCGGGAGATGAACGGCATTTTACTCAAGCGATTCACTACTTGCGCCTTGCTGAAGCTATCCCAAATTTCCTGCTTTCCACCTACCTACAGGAGTATTTAAACGATTACGGAAGATATGTCTCTTAGCGCCTCAATTCCCGGTGTTTCTATCGGCTCTATAGCATTTCGAGCGAGCGTGTTTCTTGATTTTTGGGGGTTGGAAAAAATGTACTAGGAGTTCTAACTTATTTCTGATTCTGAACCGATCCTTTTCCCTTTCTTGTGTTCTAGCATCGTTAGACAGGTTTCTTGATTCTTTCAAACACCGCATTTTCTGTGGAGCGCTATCACACACTGGGCAAATTTGTTTCTCATTAGACCTCGTCCTTTTATTTCACTAGTCAATTTTACTCGTTAGATCAAGACATGCATCCGTGATAATGGCTTCTTTGTTATGTGTTTTAAGGGACGTGTAGTTAGGTATTTCAATGGGAAAGCGCCTATTTACAGTCAGTTGGACAGTACTACCGCGCATCATGATCCTCACGACCCATGGCATATTCCAACATCAGCATTTATGGCCCCCATATTTTGTGCTCTGGTTGAAATGGTGGAAAACTACATTCTACATCGTGTCCGACTCTAGATGTGCTTCCAACCACCTAGCTAGACCTTGAACCTCCTGGCTCCCTGGTAAACACAAGGGGGAACCTACATCGTCGAACTACCTAAAACCAACCGCTCCCCATCGAGATCCTGGCGTCCCAAAAACACGGTGGCGGGCACCGCAGAATAAGCACTATTATTCAGCCGGTCAGCCTTCGGAGTTGAACGCGTCTAAGAGATGTTGGATGTTTATGCCGTATGTGGCGTCTATTTAGCATTTGCTGACGCATTCAGCTCCCATGTACCGTAAGCGCGCGTATCCCGGCGCGTGTGCATCTTGCCGCCCGCCGACCAACCCAATCAGGGTCAGTTAACCTTAAACCGCGGCAGCGCCCAAGAACATAAGCTCCGACCTTACTGTGTTGACTTCACCAGCCTCACCTCATCCCTCATCCTCCTCCCGAATAATGCGAATCAGCTAAATTTCGCAACAAATTTTATCTGAATCCCAGTTTGGAGACACTCTCCGCTTATACGCACGCCACACCCTCGTTCACCGAGACAGTTTACAGCAGAAGGAATCAGCCATGCTTACGGAAAGGGAGCTGCAAATCAGCCCTATTGTGCAAGACTCTGTCGTGCACAACACCAAGGTTCGTCCCGAAATTACCTCAGTGGGACATATGTCTTCTCCCTGTAAAACTCAATGCACCCCTCCCTCTCAATGCCGACCATTATCCTGGACCCCGCCTCCAGAAATTTCCAGCCAGCCGCATATTTATGCTTAGCCAACGATGCTACACCCTTACACCTCTCTGAACCGTCACTCATCCTCTACAACCTCTACTTCCGTCGAGCCCCTCGTTTATCACCCTATCATTCAACTGCTCACCCGCTGACCACATTATTTTTGTCCAGACACTCACAACACTCCACAATCTCACAGCATCTCTCTTCGGCGTCGGTGCTGGGATCCTAGGCCTCGAATCCTACTCCGGGTTTATCTTCTACTTCCTCTTCTCTCTGCTCACCTCGGCGCTCGTATATTCGCTCCGGGTGCGGCCGAACAATGTCAAAGGGGGGATGGAGACCTATTTCAGAGGGAGCATGGAGCTTTGGACGGGTGGATTGCTGGAGGGGCTGAGTGGGTTTGTGTTGACTTGGACACTTTTCTATGGGCTTGTACGAGCTTGAGCATATTTGGAGATGTCGGAAGGAGTAAAATGATTGTGTTTCCGTGCCTCATCTTGTGGATAGGGGGGTATAACGGGGCGGAAACGGTGACACGGCCAACCTTGTAGGAATATTGGATGCAAGTTTGTGTGGTAGTTTTTCATGGCGTTAAGGGGTGGCACGTGTATATCATTGGAGAAAATAATCTATGATACCATTTTGCAGGAGGGGACTTGGCTTCCTATTCCAAAGATAGACATCCTATCGCCCCTTGGCACCTAAACAGAACAGCTAGGTATGAAGATAGAGCTACTTCTTAGCTAAGGTCTCAACCATCCAAATAAAGTACTTAAAACTTGGGAGCTGCGATATTTGGATGCCCATGAATACTGCTGTCGCGTCTCCTGCAGCATCATACCACCACTAGTCTCGTATTTCACCATGCCGCGAACCATATCTTCTGGGCCATGTAGCTACTCCAGGATTACCATTTCGATGCCCTTTTAATTTATCACTCTTCGTTATTGGGTGGTTTTAGGTCACCCAATAATTCATAAGACAGCCCTGACATCCCATAACCCCATCAGTGGGACGGCGCAGTCGTAATTTCACAGTAATTATTAGTAGAAGAATAAGAATTTAAAATTATCGACGTGCTTGTTCATTGCAAATGTTGCATATTGGCTCGAATCTTCCTACCGCAAAAGCCCAACTTGTTATGAGCTGAAGATCAAGGAGCATATGCACCCGACCTGCAGCCCATTGTCTCCTAGTTGCCTACCAACCCATCATATGGGCACTGTAGTAATGATTTATTGTACATCAACCACCATCCGAAAATGAAAATGAACGTGAAACAGAAGGTCATGAAAGGGACCAGTCATCCGATGACCAATTTAACCACTGCCCACCCCAGGAACGTACCAATTTTCATAGCCATACCCGCGACGGCAACCTTCTGTTTAAAGGTACCATGGCAAACGGAAACTATTGTCTAAAACCATGCGTCGCTCCTCTGTATTCCTCTCCCGCCGTGCTCGCCGCCGGGCGTTTCGCGGAATCCGTTTGCAGCAAAATAGGTAGGTGATAAGGAATACAGCGCCACCCATGATACCGCCTATTACAAACAAGCCTATTGCTTTTCCTATATAACCACTAGTACCTGGTAGCCAGGGAGGTTCGTAGCCCAGGTAAGGTTCCGGATCCGCGGTGAAGTTGTTTGGTGCTAATGGCGTAGAAGTGAGGATGTCAGGTGTGAGGGATGGGGGATAGGGAGCGGGATCGGGGTGATGGAAAGATTTGAGGAGGCCTGCCACACCCATTGTATCGGCCCTGTATGGAGGCATGGTTGGTAGGAATGACGTTGCTGAGATGAGGCTGCTTGGCTAGGAAAGCCCAAGATCGAAAGCCAAAGTCGAACCGAGTGGAAAGTGATGTGTAGGTATTTGTTCTGCGTGCGATCCTCTTGAATATCGGAGTTTGAAGGGAAGAAAACGACGAGGCCCTCAAATCCATGCAGAGAGATCAGGATTCAAGAGTCTTCTAGCCCGACTCTCTGGACGTTGCTCCGTCCCGCGTCGACGTTCAAGCCCTCGTGCGTGCTCTCGTGCTTGTGCTCGTATGCGTTGCCGCTCAAAATGACCAGCGTCCAGTACCTGTATGCGGCTTACCAGGGAGAGATCTGATGAATAGCTAGGGAGGTTGGGAATATAGCGCGGCCTGATGTACAGATCGAACAGGTTGAGAGTGATAATGAAGGCGACAATACCGCAGATGGTGCCTATGAAGAAGCCGAGTATATCCTGGACGGTTGATGGTCCCCAGCATATCATGCAGCCTGACATAACTGAGGTGAAGGAACGTGGTTGTGAGAGATGGGGTGGGAACTGAACCTTCTCTTAATCGCAGTTGACAATGCGATGAGGACTTCGAGGTTATTTGTGACCGACGATTGTGTTCTGCCAGAGTCTTAAAAGCGGTCTGCACAAGTATATGCTTTGATGACTGGACTGGCAACTCGCATGGCTAGGAAGGTGAAAGCTTTGCAATTGGTTGTTGTTTAATATGCAAAGCTTAGTGACAGCGTCATATGCTAGCAATACACAAACAGAATGGAGTCAACATGATTAAAATATCCGGCAAAGGCAAACCATGCTTAACAGACTATGAAAATAAATCATGATATTTAATTGCCATGCCACCCTCCCCGTGCCCTTAGCGTAGTAAACGGGGCTTAACTTGAGCTGTGGGGATTATACGCGGTTGAATGGAAATAGGAGTTGGAGAAGCGCCGGGCGTTTTCAAGGGTAATGCCGGGAAACCCATTTCAACTTTGATGGTAATGTTAAAGCAAAGTATGAAGGGGAACTGTATTTTGAAAATATAGGCTTTGTACTTCTCTAATCTACAACCTTGCCTTCTCCTTACTCAGTTGCATTGCCTTCTGAACACTCCTCCAAGCCAACGCTCCCATCGGATGCCTCTGTTCACCAACCTCCTTCGCCTTTGCACTGCTTGCTTGTCTTGCTGCGTATCTTGCTGCGATTCCCTGAAAGATACAGGTCGCTCGGAAAAAACCAAACGCAACACCCCACTTCAAATCCGGTTCTGGATCCCAGCCCGCGATTCCCGCGTACCAACTAATTAACTGGTCTATTCGCGGAAGTCCTTGAACTTCGCCTACCTGGAACCTCGGAGCATGGTCAAGGTCGCTCTCGCCTTGGAGGTTATAGGGTGTTATCAGGTTGACGAGGTCAGAAAGGGGATGGCCAATTGTGGACATTTCCCAACTTAACTAGTCAACACAAATTGTATGTCTTAGGGAGTTATAGGGACTTACTCTAATATACCAATGACCCGAGGCTCGGTCTTATGGAAAACCAGATTGTCTATCTTGTAGTCGCCATGGATTGGAGTACCCCGATCCTTAGGCTGTGACCTCCGGCTACTGAAAAATGCTAGGATCTCATCAATATGCGGAATCTGCCCAACGATTTCTTTTGTCTCAATATCGACTCCTTCGGCTTGTGCTTTGCTGATTGTGGTAAAGGTCTTGATTTGTCGGTCATAGAACCCCGATGGCTTGCCAAAACTTTCCAAACCGACATCTTTTGGATTAATGCGATGCAGCTTCGCCAGTGTCCTTATGGCATCATGCCACCTAAATCACTAATTGTTAAAAGCCATTCACAATGTCCGGCATGGCGGATACTAACATTTCTGTCCTTTCGGCAGGTGTAACATCTGGCATCGTAGGATCCTCGATAATCCTTCCATCCAAAAATTCCATTATATAGAACGGAGTGCCAACAACACTATCATCTTCGCAGAGAATGTATGTCTTCGGGACAGGCACATCCGTTTTCTCTAAGGCATGTATAACGCGGTATTCTCGCTCAACTTTATGTGCGGTTTTGGAGACTAGTTTTCCTGGAGGCTTCTTGCGCAACACGTATTTCATACCATCGCTCGCGGTAAGCTGATACGTAGGATTTGATTGTCCGAATCCAAACTATGCAAGCAATTAGCTTCAACTGTTCCAAGATTCGGGATCATTCGACTGTGCTACCTGTTTGATGTCGATAGGGACCTTGATCTCGGGGACATTCTTGGTAATGTAACGCTCCAGTGACTGGATGTCAATAGGTTGTCTCACGGCGCCGGCCATTGTAATTGCAAAGTCTGTATAGGGATCAGGAACGCCGTTGTGGTGGGTTGGGGCATCTTAAGGGGTTTGTTGTAGTCCGTCGTTGTTCAGAGGAGCTGTGCCTCGGCCCGGCAAACCCCCACCGAGCTCCCCGAATCCCCTCTCTAGTGGCTGGCAGGGGTGTAAATGGAAAAGCCGACGACAGATACTCTAATAATAGCGGCGACTGTACTTCTGTTGATTTTGGCATGTTTATTGTCATATGATATTTGTATACGATTTATTTAGAGTGAGAGATGCACCAGGCTTGAGCGAGTACTCTCAACATCACAAATCCACTCGCATTAACTACGATATTTTAGTAGCTATGGGTAGGAGTTGCTGGAACATCTCTCATGTTTTTAACCTATGGCAATCATCTACCCGAGACGGGGGCTTTGTACGCCCATATATCTTGGTTAATGGGGAAGCTGATTGATGGAAGCGACCTAGGCACTTACTATAGGAAATGACAACATACCATACCTTATATCACTACCCGATGGCAGCACCGCAATCACTGAAATGAGCGTGAAAGGTAGTATTAGCTATATTTGGGTATCAACCAAAAGCGCCAGATCTACCAAAAGCCAACCCATGCTACAATTTTTTTGCCACAACCATGGTGAAGTTTACGATACCTGAACAAATCCGCGCTTTTTCCCACTCTTATCATCATTCTCCTCCCAAGTCTCCTCATCCACATAATCGCTGGTCCCCTTTTCTACTACCTGAGTACCAATGACCCGCAGAGCCGCAAGATTATAGCCCATCTCATCCTTCTGGCTCTTCAATGCTTGCCGCAGGTTGCTGCGGATCCCATCAAGCATTAGTCTCATCGTCTTGCTGGCAACAATCTGCCGGTGGTGGGTCTTGAGCATGAAGAACAGGATTCGACACGTTAGCGGTATGTTCATCATCCTCATGGCGAAGATGTTGAGGAATGTAAAGAGCATGGGAACCGTTGAGAATGGAAGGACCAGCAACGCATCCTGAAGCGCTGCAGCCTTGACTTTCCGCAAAACTCCCATGACATAGACATCAGCGCTGATACCACCTAGCGCCATGAAAATGAGATTTCGCGAGGGTGGAGCAGTGTTTGGTTGTGCCAACTTGGCCGCTTCCCATTCTTCCATGAGCTGCAAGTCAACTATGCCAATTTCCAAAGCTTCAGCGATCTTCTCTCCAGCCATGAGTGTTTCGACAGTTTGCTTGCTCGCGGCTCCAACCTCGGTCGTCTCCTCGTCCTTGTCGTGGTCCGGCTCCAGCGATGTAGTTAGCGTACTTTCATATAACTCCTCCAGCTCTTTCTCCCGCTCTTCTTCTAAAAATATCTGCTCGTCGGTTTGCTCCCATACCCTGATGCTCTTATCGTGGCTGGCACTGACAATGAAGTTGCCTGTTTTGCTAACCGCGAGAGCCCATATTTCGCTATGATGGCCATCCAGTCTTTGGATTTGCTCGAATTTATCGCCGTCCCAGTACTTGATCATTCTATCTTTGCTGGTGCTGAAGAAATGGTGCCCATTCCCATCTTGATTATGTGGGACGAAGGCAACCTGAAGGATACTGTCCTGATGGGCAAAGAAAGCCTTGTGGCAATCGCCAAAATCTAGACCCCAAAGTCGGATGTTTTTATCGGCCGAACATGTCACAATCAACTTGCTGTCATATGAGATGTCCATATTTAGCACGGGCAGCTTGTGGCCATACAAGTTGAGGAACAACTTCAATGAGTCAACAAAGAAGACCTTGACTGTATTATCTAGCAGAGCAACTGCTAGAAGTCGCGCATCTGGAGAGAACCGAAGGCTGAGGATATCATCCGAGACCTTGAGTGTCCTTGCGTGAACAAGTCTTAATCGAGGCGTTGTTCGTTTCGTTCCGGGAATTTCTTCCTGGAAAATCTCAAAATTCCAGAACTTGGATGTTTTATCGGCGCTCCCGGAGGCTAAAGATCGCCCATCTGGATGTACTTGCAGAGTCCATATTGCACCTTCATGAGCCTTCACCGTATCTAGCATAGCAGCTGACGCAACGTCGAAAAGTTCCAGATCTCCAGACTTGGTGCCCACAACTACAATCTTATCGCCAGGCAGAAACGCAGTACATAACGCATAACCGCATTCAAATGTTCGAATGCAGGTTCTAGTCCGTACGTTCCATACTTTCAACCCACCGTTAGAAGCAGATGCAAGCATCCGGTCATCTGAGCTAAGTGACAGCGCCCTGATATCAGCTCGGTGGCCAGGTAGTTCCACCGATAATGTCCTTGAATAATCAGGTAGATCATCGCTCTTGGTCTTTTTCGTCTTGTCTTTTGTTGGTACGCTGTAGACTTCTAATTGATTGTTTGTTGTAGCAATTAGGAGTTGAATAGTTTTTGAACTCTTCGTGCGAATCCAGTCAAATGAGCGAACTTTACCCCCAGTTCTGACTATAACATATGGGACAAAGAAATCGGTAATTTCGGCGGCTGACATATCCTCAGACTTCTCGTCCAGCTCCACGGCATCACCTTCCACATCGGCCTTTTCTCCCGCGGTTGCGAGCTTTTCTCGTCTTCTTTTACGTTTTCGTGCCAGACTTTTCCTCACTTCATCTTCGGTTCTGATCCTCCAGATCTCGACCGCCTTCTCTGACCCGTGGATCGCAAAATAATCATTTCGTGAATGGAAGCTGACTCCGGTAGACTTGTCTTTCCCTTGTCGGTGCAATACACCGCGACTATGGAGATATTGATGCTCGGCGATGCTATCGACTTGCTTCGATAGGCGGCAAAGCCCAGCGGTATCAATTGACCAGATCTTCAGTTCCCCGTCCTTCCCAGCTGTTATACACCCGCTATAGTCATGAGTAATAGCAAGAGCCCAACATTCACCATTCGTCTGAGCCACATGTGTCTCTATACAGTGCTGGGAGGAGATATCCCATAGCTTGATAAGCGCGTCTTTCCCGGTGGTTAACAGAAAACCGTCGTCGGTCGATTCGTTATGGGATCTGACAGCGCCGTTTCCATCCTCTTCATGTTCTTCCTCTGGCTCTGGCTGAACAAATTTCAAACCGGTTATTTGATCCTTGTGTCCTCTTAACTTGAACAGGCCCAATTCGGCCACCAAGTCCCATATAATGACGTCCGTGTCCTTGGAACCGCTAGCCAATCTAACTCCAGACTTGTCGAATGCAAGAGCCGTTATAGCAGATCGATGACCATTAAAGCTAACGATGACCGTAGCAATCTTCGAGTCCCAGAGTCGTATACTCCCATCTTCGTATCCGACTGCATATACGTCCCGATCGACCTGGCTTTGCGCAATGGCTGTGACTTGCGATTTGCAGTCCTTATCTGACCAACGACTCAGTAATTCCCCCTTTCGTATGTCCCAGCAGAGAACGTCTTCGTTTGCACCGACGATCGCGTGCCCGGAGCCATTGCCGCTGCCACCCCGCGATGGGCTCAAATCTCCTGCAGACCAAACAACATTTGCCGTACCGGAATTGACGAGTCCGAAGGTTTTCGAATGCTCGTATTTTCTAAAACCTTCTGTGTAAGCCAAGTGACCCTGCGCAACCCAGTAGACAAGACTTACAGGTACGATTTGACCATCTTTGGTTTTACTGTGGAGGTCAAAATGCGGCGACAATTTTTTTGTCCAGTTGATAAATATTTTGTTAGTGCTGCAGATAAGCACCGTTCCGCATATCGCAGCACGGACGCAGGCGGCTCGCGGCTACCGATGCCCCACCGCGCCCACGTCCACGACGATCAGCCTCCAAATCCAAAGGCACCGAACAAACAAGCCCAATATCGCGGCTAGAAGACGCACGAAAGGTCACACTCCTTGCGCAACTCCTCCAGACGCAAGATGCTGCTCCTCGACTATCAGAATGTCTTGATCCAATCTGTACTCACAGAGCGCTTCTCAGGGTATGGTGTTTGTTATTACTTCCCTGCTCTGCCTAACCCTCGCGCTGACTTGATTTCAAGCTTACCGCCTGTCAACATTGACCAGACCGTCTCGGACTTCGACGGGGTCACCTTCCATATTTCTACTCCCGAATCCAAATCGAAAATACTGGTTTCCATCCAAGTACGATGCTTCAATGACCTCTTGCAATACGGTGCTCAGCAGGTTCTCGAACGGGAATATGGGCCATACGTTGTGTCTCCCGAGGCGGGTTATGACTTCTCCGTACAAATAGACTTGGATAATCTGCCAGATGATACAGGTTCGTACCTTGCTGCTATGTGTAAATGCTTCAATTAACCCGAACGTCTCACCTAGAGGCCCGAGACGACTTGATTCGAAGAGTGTCATTGTTGAAGCGAAATGCAATGGCCGCACCATTCGAGAATGCATTTGATGAACACCACCAGTTGGAAGAAGAAGCCTCTAAATTTACGTCAGAGGAGGCGCCCCAAGGAGTTCTGGAAGGTGGTGAAGTCAAAGCAATCCACTACCGCGATGAAGAAGCCATCTATATCAAAGCCAGCCACGATAGAGTGACTGTCATTTTCAGCACAATATTCCGAGAAGAGACGGACCGGGTTTTTGGCAAGGTTTTCATCCAAGAGTTCGTTGACGCGCGGAGGAGAGCCATCCAAAATGCTCCACAGGTTTTATACAGGACAGATCCTCCCCTAGAACTCCAGGGTGTGCCTGGAGTCAACAATGGTGGAAATGCGGAGATTGGCTACGTTACTTTCGGTACGGCTGGAAAAAGTCAATTTTATCCTCGTTGCTAATCGATCCAGTCCTCTTTCCAAGACATCTGACCCGCCAAAGAAGAGACGAGGTTATCTCTCATATTCAGACTTTCCGTGATTACTTTCACTATCATATCAAAGCCTCAAAGGTAGATTAGCGGTTTTGATTATCACAAGCGCATTGCTAATTAACATTAGGCTTATATCCATTCGAGAATGCGGAGACGTACAGCGGATTTCCTCCAGGGTGAGCAATATGAGAGGAAAGATTTTGACTGTGGCTAACTTTATATAGTGCTCCGACGAGCCCGACCAGAGAACGAAGAAAAGGAGAGAAAGACAGCCAGTGGCAGGACTTTTAAGGTGCAGGGCAGCTAAATGCATGTTGAAATACCACTTCAATATCATTGTCCATAACCCTTCATTTTCATCCACGACCAAATTCCCCAACCCGTATAGCGATAACTGAAGTAAAAAGATGACTACCATGTTGATCGGCATTTCCAGTAACAGAGCCCATTATTCGATTTATAGAGCGGTTGCGCCTTTCTATTTAAACCCCTGCTTAGAAAGTCTAGACGCTAGACTACAGGATCAATCTTCTCTACTTTTCCACCCCCACTCCTCTATTTCTTTGCTACTCCTTCCTCTTCGGCTTCCCTACTTATTCACACTTCTGTGACCACTAATAAACGCAGCATGGTATTACTTTGTGGTTCGTTGCAGCGGCCAAGATAGGAATAAAGGATAATGTTTAAACCATATGCTGTCTTGGCAAGGTATGGGCATACATCGAGACAGTACTAGAAAGCACAACAAATTGTCTATAAATATCGGAGATCTATACCCCAGGGGCTCAATCCTATCTGCAAAATATTCAAATATAGAGACATCTTCGTTGTTCTAGTAGATGGCTACCTTCAAGTATCCACCGTTAGATTGCGGATTAGAGTCCCACCAAGACATGTTAGGAGACAATTTATTCGGACAGTTGAACATAAAAACCCTTAGACTTAAGCAATTGCTATAATTCTAATACTAAACATTTATATTCAAACTGTGACTATTATGTACGTGGGCGTCCTACGGACAGTCACGTGTGGTGTATCGTATTATTATCACGTGAGTTGGCGCTAAATCTCCTATGAGGCAAAATTGATAATGTATGATATTGACCTTCCAGCTCCTCACGACAGCACAACCGCGACTACAACAACAACGACATGCGCCATGTCTGACGCCGACTTTGAGACGATCAGGAAGCTGCAGGCCGAGCGGAATGCCGCTTCTGCTGGTAAGAAGGGGTCAAAGACATTTGATCCGTCGAGTCAGCGAACTGATGTATCCACCAAGGCTTCCCTGACCGAAAGCTTCGATACGACACTCTACGAGCGCGATGGCGGTGATAAGTTCGCGGGATATAATACTTCCATCGCTGTAGCAGATGGCGATGATGACGAAATGGAAGAGGATACCAGCAGGCGGCTGGTTGGCCAATATACAGCTTCCAAGGAGCAGATGAACGAATTTGCTCACGGCAATGGGGTTGAGGAAGAGGATATCCTTCTGGGCAGGGAGAAAAGTGCGCGGATTGCGGACCGCGAAACTGATTACCAGAAACGTCGGCTAGACCGTGTTTTAACGCCCACCAGAGCCGATCCATTTGCTGCGAACAGGCAGGCTGGAGCTACGGAAGATGGCGAGAGCTACCGGGAAGTTATGGGCCGAAGAGAACTGGAGAGGGAAGAGGAGAGGGTTAGAAGGGCGATAGAGGAGAAGGCGGCCAACGGTGAGGTCGTTCATCACAAAGCCACCTTGGCTAAAGAGGGCAGCCGCTCTCCGAGCGATAAGGAGAATAAGGACGCGGGAGCTACAGAAGTCGTAACCGCAGGCCGCAAACGAAAACAGCGATGGGATATGGGTTCCACCTCTATAGACGCGACGACTACCCAACCTGCGGAGACTAAAACCAAACGTTCGAGGTGGGATCAGACACCTGCTCCGGGCGCCGCCGCCGTGGATGAGACCCCCCGACGGCGGTCCAGATGGGACCAAGCTCCTGCTGCTACGCCGATAGGTAACCAAGGTCTTGTTACGCCAATGCATCCGTCACAGATGGGTGGCCCGGTGATGCCCACCGCCTTCGGAACGGATATTTCGATGAGAAACGCCCCTTTATCAGATGAAGAGCTCGATTTGATGTTACCCACAGAAGGCTACAAAATTCTAGATCCCCCCCCTGGATATGCTCCTATACGAACTGTCGCCCAAAAGCTCATGGCGACTCCTGCTCCTGCCGGAGGCGCTTCTGGGTTCGGCGGTTTTATGATGCAAGATCCGGAAAGCGGAAGGGCTCTGGGTAAACAACTCCCAACGGAAATTCCAGGAGTGGGTGATCTGCAGTTCTTCAAAGCGGAGGATATGGCATATTTCGGGAAGCTGACGGACGGAAGCGACGAGAATACCATGAGTGTGGAGGAACTTAAAGAGCGGAAGATTATGAGACTGCTACTGAAAGTGAAGAATGGCACACCTCCAATGCGAAAAACTGCCCTCCGTCAACTCACAGATAATGCACGTCAATTTGGTGCCGGCCCTCTCTTCAATCAAATACTTCCGCTACTTATGGAAAAGACCTTAGAAGATCAGGAGCGGCATCTGCTGGTCAAGGTCATCGACCGGGTTCTTTACAAGCTTGATGATCTTGTTAGACCCTACGTCCACAAAATTCTGGTTGTTATTGAACCGCTGTTGATCGATCAGGATTACTATGCGCGGGTCGAAGGTCGTGAGATTATCTCCAATCTTAGTAAAGCTGCTGGTCTGGCGCACATGATCAGCACCATGCGACCAGATATTGATCATGTCGACGAGTACGTTCGTAATACCACTGCAAGAGCCTTTGCTGTTGTTGCCTCGGCCCTAGGTATACCAGCGTTGCTTCCATTCTTGCGAGCGGTTTGCAGGAGCAAGAAATCGTGGCAGGCAAGGCATACAGGTGTGAAGATCGTTCAACAAATCCCAATATTGATGGGTTGTGCGGTGCTACCACATCTTAAAGGTCTAGTGGATTGTATTGGTGGCAATCTGAACGACGACCAAACCAAAGTTCGAACTGTGACGAGCTTGGCAATTGCGGCTTTAGCTGAGGCAGCCAACCCCTATGGTATCGAAAGTTTCGATGATATCTTGAATCCGCTCTGGACCGGTGCTCGCAAGCAACGCGGAAAGGGTCTCGCAGGATTCCTGAAGGCTGTCGGCTACATTATCCCGTTAATGGACGAGGAATATGCCAACTACTACACGAGTCAAATTATGGAGATTCTACTGCGAGAATTTTCATCTCCAGATGAGGAGATGAAGAAAGTTGTGCTAAAGGTAGTCTCACAATGTGCCGGGACCGACGGCGTAACAGCAGGATATCTGAAGGAGCATGTTCTGGACGAGTTCTTCAAGAGTTTCTGGGTACGGCGCATGGCTTTGGACAAGCGAAATTACAGGCAGGTTGTAGAAACTACGGTTGATCTGGGTCAAAAGGTTGGCGTTGGGGAAATTGTTGAACGGATAGTTAATAACCTCAAGGACGAGAGCGAAGCATATCGGAAAATGACAGTGGAAACTGTCGAGAAAGTCATTGCGAGTCTGGGCGCCGCGGATATCAGCGAACGATTGGAAGAACGGTTGATTGACGGGATATTACACTCCTTTCAGGAACAAAGCGTTGAGGATATTGTTATGCTCAACGGCTTTGGCACTGTTGTCAATGCACTTGGGACCCGGTGCAAGCCGTACCTTCCCCAGATTGTTAGCACAATTCTCTGGCGGTTGAATAACAAGTCTGCTACGGTTCGACAACAAGCGGCAGACTTGATCTCTCGCATTGCAATGGTTATGAAGCAGTGCGGCGAAGATGCGTTGATGGGCAAACTTGGTATTGTTCTTTACGAATATCTTGGAGAAGAGTATCCCGAAGTTCTCGGCTCAATCCTTGGTGCTCTACGTTCTATCGTTACTGTCGTGGGTATTAGCCAGATGCAACCGCCCATCAAGGATCTACTCCCCAGACTGACACCAATTTTACGCAATCGGCACGAGAAGGTGCAAGAAAACACCATCGACTTGGTCGGTCGTATTGCGGATCGAGGTCCCGAAAGTGTCAATGCCAGGGAGTGGATGAGAATCTGCTTCGAACTTTTGGACATGTTGAAGGCACACAAGAAAGGTATCCGAAGAGCAGCCAACAACACATTTGGCTTCATCGCCAAAGCCATCGGACCTCAGGATGTCTTGGCAACTCTCCTTAACAATCTTCGGGTCCAAGAACGTCAGTCGCGCGTGTGTACCGCCGTTGCCATTGGAATCGTCGCCGAAACCTGCGCGCCTTTTACCGTCCTTCCTGCACTTATGAATGAGTACCGAGTCCCTGAGCTGAACGTTCAGAATGGTGTCCTCAAGTCGCTCTCCTTCCTCTTTGAATACATTGGCGAGATGGCTAAAGACTATGTCTATGCTGTAACGCCATTGCTCGAAGACGCTTTGATCGATAGGGATCAAGTGCATCGACAGACCGCGGCTTCCGTCGTTAAACATGTGGCCCTCGGCGTCGTTGGCCTTGGGTGTGAAGATGCCATGCTTCATCTTCTCAATCTGCTTTATCCTAATCTTTTTGAAACCAGCCCCCACGTCATCGACCGAATAATCGAAGCCATTGACGCTATTCGTATGGCTATCGGACCGGGTCTCACCATGAACTATGTGTGGGCAGGCCTCTTCCATCCAGCACGGAAAGTTCGACAACCTTATTGGGTAAGCTCTCTTCATCCACCACCTTTTTATTCAACCAAGGATTATTTGCTGACAATTAGTAGCGCCTGTACAACGATTGCTATGTCCAATCTGCCGATGCGATTGTACCTTACTATCCTAATCTGGATGACGAGAAGATGGATCGACCTGAACTGGGGATTATTATTTAATTTAGGCTGGTGTTTCAATTAGGAAGCGGGCGCAGCGTTGTCATGTATGATAATGGGATCGTGTATATCAATCAGTCACTGATCTTCCTAGTGCTTGTGACACAGTATACCTTGCTACCTCTGAACTTGGGCACTTGTCGTACCCCTAGCTGCCTACCAACTTTGGTAAACTAATTCTGGTATTGGGCCTCCTCCTACCTAAGATAGCTTGCTCGCTATAGTCATTTGACAGGATTCTAGTATATCTGCAAGCGGTGTCGTGCTAGATCTCCTCCGCGTTCCCTGGATACTTAGTGCTCGATCGCCATCCAACTACTCCCCAACGTCAAGAATGACAAGTCATTGATCAATTTCGGTAGAGCCCTCTCCGCCGGACTGGAGATCTGCCGGGGTCCATTCCACAGGCGACATATTTGCTTGTGGCATTCCGAAGATGTGGATTTAGTATACCAGAAACATATCGGAATTCCAAATCTATCTCTGTCCCACCAAAAAAAAGAGATTGTGAACGGATACCTGGATGGAGGCTCTGTGGTAAAACGCCAGGCGACCCAAATCACGCAAATAACCCGCTTGGTGGCTTCAACGTTCGATCGATCGTCACAGTGATCGGCGAGCCCATCGAAACCTTCTGTAACCTTCCGCCCACATGGTTTCAGTTCCTCCCGGCTACGGTACCTACCGCTGCTGAAATGATTTTAATGGAGCCCGTTCGTTTGCTTGTGAGCGGGGCTGGTTGTCTCAAGGGTTTATCGCGCCGACCGCGCCTGTGGAATGGGATCAGATCGATTGTTGATAATTGTTTGTCCCGAGGCACCACCTCGCCGGGCAACATCAAATCTGCCCTTGTTTCACGGCAACGGCAACGGCGAAGGCAACGGGGCAAGCTCGTGCCGAAGCAGAGGAGCCATCTTAGTCTGATCATAGTGAGGGGTGTCGGTGATAGATGGCACGCAGGGGGGATGAGAAGAGGAGAGAAGGGAAAAATCTTCTTGACACCAGGTACAGTATGGAAAGACGGTGAAGAACTGGAAAGGGGCCCATCCATCTGCACTTTGTGATTCGACGATAGAGCCGTCAGCCCTCGCCCGCTTCCCTCTCCTCCACTCTCTCTCCTCCACCATCCTTCACCATCCTGACTGCCCGACGCGCAAACGGACAAGACCGGTGTAGGGTGATTAGTAAACAGTAAGGGGTCCGCTTATCACGCCCCCTTTCCACCAATTACCGGTCACGTGTGGAGCTCGAGCCACACCGGGAGCGTGCTTATCCCTTGGCGTCCGGAGCACATCCTCGCGACAACGACTCCAATGAATGTAAAATTATAATGAATGAATGCCTCGATAGAACCACCCTCAGTAGTTCTCCGTACGTTGCATAGCGGCGTTTGAGTTTAAGCAAGTGTCATGAAATAATTTAATAGGGGGAAATTACATCTATGTTTTAATTTATCCCGAGGACTATACTATTTCTTAAATGTCATTAAACAATTGCTAAGACCCCTAGGTAATAAAGAGGCCCCTGTGGTTATCTATGTCTCCGGCTAGAAACCGTCATGTGCTGTGCAATCCACGTCGAACTAACAGCTTTCAACAAGACCTACCTCGGTAGTTTTGAAAGATGAAACCGCTAGAAGCTGTGGGTCTTGCTAGTGGAGGGAGTATAGAGCCTATATGAAGTTACACGTGGTACCGATGTATTAGTGCTATGTACAGTAGCTACCTGCCTTGGTGTTGTAGGTACCTTTGGGATGTGCGTGGGTACTACCTGGTACATGTACATACAATGTCTACAATAATGTCTCCATACCCCGTCAACCCCAACCAACGCCATCTTGCTTGGCGGGCGCGGGCGTTGCCCTTATTTATCATCCCCACCCCTGCGTGCATCAAGCCACTGACGACATGGGCGGTCCACCGCATAACAGCGTCCATCCTGAGGCCTGACCCCCCAACGCCTGCAACAAAACAAACACTACGGAGGACAAGCTACAAGCCCACGACGGTGGCGTGGACGCTAGACACAGCGTGGCCGCGATCCTGAACCTGAACCTGAAGCTGGAGCTGGACTGGTTCAACATACGATGCCTCCTCCGGTCTACTGAGTACAAAGTAGGACAGCACATAGAGGGTGTACGAAGGTTACTTCGCAGCAACGGAGCTAGTAGTAGTACCTATGTACCGAACAGGATTCCTGTGCAAAAGCCAGCAAACCTCCCTTAACTATCAATAGCATCATACAGCATCATCGAGCATCATCGAGCATCATCGAGCATGGCGCACTGCGACGCAGGGCGGGAAGGGAGGGGCCCCAATGCCATCATCATCATCATCATCATCATCATCATCAAATTCGGCCTTGACCAATATTCACCAATATCTCCCCCATCTCTCCCCAATCTCTCCCAATTAATTTACCACCCCTCCGCCGCCTAGTCACTCGGCCCCCGGCAGACGTGGCACAGCGCCCCTAATGCACACAATAACAATAAGGGAGATGCCTCCCAGCGTGAGAAAGGGTCTTTTCGCCCCATCCCCCGGGTCGCATTCAATATCTCGAGGTCGTCTCTGGCCAATGGGACGAGCCCCATTCAGTGGCAGCGGCAAACAATGACGCTTTTTCCAACACTATCATCATGGAGTTTACCCTCCTGCTCCCCGGTCGCCGCTTCAAGTTGCAAGTTGCAATCTATAATATGACAGCAACCAATGTACTTTCGTACAATGTACGGTACATGTACTATACATACATACAGTAGCAAGCACAGACAAACCACGCAGCAACACAAACTGCCCGACCATGACGAGTCTGACGACAGACCCCCCCNCCCCCCCGCCCGAACACATGGATCCTCCGGACCTCAAAGGTACACAACCACAACTAAAATCTGCGAGGCAATAATAATAATAGCAATAGCAATATGCGCAAGCCAACGGCCACCGCCTCTTTCCGGGGGGGGGACCCCCCATGCTTTTGATCATAAACCCCACAGGCAGGGACTCGCTGCCTCTTTTGCCTCTCTTTGCTCTTTGGCTCTTCTCTCGAAGCCCTTCCGTTCTTTAGCCTGCGATACATAAACGGAACCAACCATTCGGCCCACGCTAGCTGTGCCCAGCATCATCCCTCCCTCCCTCACCACACACCCCAGAAAACCACACATCAACACACGCACACACGCACACCGCACCCCCAGATAACCCTCAACCCTCGCCCACCGATCCGTAACAACCCTGCCCCCCGTCGACAGTAGTACGTTTCATGTTGTCTGAGGCGAAAGTTCGGGCATGGCGTTCTCCACGGGCCACCCCTTTTCCTTCGTGGAAAATTCGGTCGACCTTCTCTATTCCCTGAATCCCTTCACCGATGCTCCGCAGGGTCGTACTGGGGGAGAGCACAGCCTACTACCGCCTTGGGAGAGAGGCAGATACTGTTTGGCCGGCGACTTATTGGGGGTGTTATTTTGGGCTTGCGTTGGGTTGGGTTGCCATCCGTCCCATCTCGTCTGCTTCTCCCGTCGCGATGAGGCAAAAGCTTACAATGATGCAATCAGCACTCTATGCAGCCCAAGGCTCTTGCAATAACTGCGTTTTTTTCCCCAGTTAGATGACATATTTTAATTAAGTGGCAGGTTTGCAACACGTATGCCGCAATTCTGATGTGGTTTTTTTATATTTTAAAAAAGGTTGTCTCTATTGAGATTATTCTATTAGTAGCGAATGTGCTACAGCCATTTGCAGACCGTGGGGGTATATGTGACAGCGGAATAAAAAGAGCAACCAGCAGCTAATCGTACATCCCGTAAAAATAGATAGGCCCTCTCATAGCAACTTCCATCGCAGGCCCGCCGTGTCAATAGCCTCCACCCTCCACTATCCATTGCGCATCGCCTCGTAAAAGCAGAAAACCGCTAACTCAAAAAAGTCGCCATCTCTTCCCAAAAGTAACGCCGCTCAAAACTCTCATTAAAGATAGTTGTAGAAAAAGTAAACTCTTGTCTAGCCCACCCGCACCACCTTCCCATGCTGTACATCATCGATTGTCCAAACTGCATAACTGATATCGAAACGTAGCCCCCGGGGATATCGCAAAAAAACACATTAATTGCACATAAAATATTCCATGGGTTTCCGGCCAGTGTGTCGTAAAGATATCCAAAAAATTAAAGCACGTATATGATTGATTCGTCTCCGTAATAGATTTTTGATCTCGTTCGCAAATGGGCTACTCGTCGGATTGATGGTCTTCAGATCCTGCTTCTGAACGTGCTTCGCCCTTGTGGACCTTCCGGTGCCGTCGTAGGTTTGAAACAACTGAGAAATGTCGCCCGCAGCCTTCGACTTCACAGCAGAATGCTATCCAGGGTTAGTATAGGGGACAACGAGAATTTTCGGAAATGGTCCACACTTACGCTTCTCGCCAGTGTGGCTATACATGTGTGTCTGGAGCGAGCTGGGACGAGTAAATCGCTTGTCGCAAACCTTACACTTGTGCTTTTTCTGCGCGCTCGAGGAAACCTTCGAGCTGAATTGCCCCATCATTGACTGTGGCGCCGGGGGAGGGCCGCCTCCACTGAGAAGAGCTGACGGTCGGGGAAGTGTTCGCGATGAGACTGACTCGATGTCTGAACCCGCGTTCGAATAGTCACTCACGGAGGATTCGACAGAGCTGCCAAAGTATGATGGGAAATTTCCGGATGACGATATCGACGAGCTTGATGAGTGAGTCGCGGGAAAACCATACGAATCACCTGATCCTCTCCCGTTCCTCCCTGGCCCATACACGTTTCGAGGCGTCGCATTCTGGCTCATAGCAATCATCCCTCTGCTTGCGTCTATTGCGTCGCCGAAACTTCGTATTGAATCATTTTGCATTCCTCTGTCATTGAAGTCAATAATTGAACTCTGTCGCTGGAGCTGCTCTCCATCCTCGGGATCATCGAGGATAGCCTGTGGGGGTACTGACGGTTGTGAAAGACGTCTGGAGTCTTCATGATGTGGAACGGCGTACGTCGATCGAACCGGCGCGGGTGCATATCCCATAGAATCATAAGGTGATGCTGAGGAGGGATAGTTGCTGTGTACTGGTGATGGTCCGCTGGTATATGCCACTTCATTTCCAAATCCCGATGAACGGACCGGACTCAGGAGATCTTGGGTGGTGGTGAGTACATCCTGAGCGCCATATACATCCGTCAAGAGGGAGCTACCTGCTGATGCCGCGGTGATTGGTACACCGGCATATGATCCCATTGATACATTATTAACAATACGGGAGGCTTGCTGCTTCCCAATGCTATCCATGCCCGCATTCGTGTTGAGAGCGTGGCAAGTGCCGTACGGGTTTTGAGACTGGGGAGGAGCCGACGACGAATTCCACGGATTGGTGAACTGTGGGGTTTGGGAGTAATGCATGTGGTCGAAGTTCATACCGTTGAATCGTTGCTGATTGTCGACGGCCATAGTCATCTTTTTTCAAGATGTATAGTGTCAAACGTTCTACTAACAAAGATGCGTTTTCCGAGTAGAAGGATAGGAGTTTCAAAGATACGTGGATCAGATGCAAGATCCCGTAAGAAATTCGCGTCACACTTCCGGTCGAGGGAGGGTTTTGCAGGAGTGAGAGTCGATCAGTGTCGCTTTGACGAGGCGGGATCAGCGTTCTTTATGTGCTGGTTGGTGCACAAAAATACAGGACCAGGATCCAAGGACCTGGTTGGTCGACTGTGGAGAGGTCGAGGGACTTTCCCAGCCTGACTAGAAATCGACTTGGGGAGGATGGCGGGGGGAGAATAGCGGAGGGACAACTTCGGCGTTCGTGCCTGAGAGAGGCGCCTGGTATGGCTTTTGGGGTGAAGATCGACCACGTCAACTCTTTCCTTTTCCCCAGGTAAAAACGTGCTTTTGCTCCTCGTGACAATATCGAGATGCAAGTGCCCAGGTTCTTTGTCCGGTCCGTAGCGTGGGCAAGGCGTCGTTTGGGAAATAAGGTCGGAGGTTCAAGAGACTAAGTCCCACTCTGAGCGCAAGTTACAGAGCCGTAAGATCTCCCGGCAGTCTGGTGATCGATTGGTATTGAGGGGGTCCAAACCGAGCGTAGTGCTGGTGATAGATGAAGGTTGTTGTGACAGGGACGATCAAAGGGCCGTGGGTCTGAGAATGGGGAATTTGCGAAGAGACGGTGTTGTTTTAGCCCGGGGAGGTTTGCAGTAGATCGCAGGAAAATAATGGAGAAATAAGAGATTGAGGAAGGGAGGAAGTGGGAGGCATATGGCCGATCTCAGACTGGGATTATGGAAGGGGAGAGGAGGAGGCAAAACCCGCTTTACATAAGGATTCCAGCGTCACCGGCGTGTAGGGATGTGTGTTGATGATGGGGGGAGGTTCCAGGGTACAGGTTGCCTTTCCCATCAACCACCAAAATATTGTTCAAGGTGCTTCTTGCTTGCTGGGAACTAGCCGTAGGCCAAGATCCAAAGTAGCACCAGGTGTGCACGAATAGCTGAGTTGATAGTGGGTAGTGCATCCGTCCTCCTCCCCTTTCCGGACACGGATATCTGGGGAAGCCAAACAAAAACTTCCGGTAATACTCGCGGTGATACATAGTAGTGCCTACGTGTCTCAATCCGAGCACCTCCACCTGGTACTGACTCGCCGAGAGATGTTGAGGCTGCAACGGCGTTATGCGATCTGTCTCCAACGCCTTCGTGCCATCGGGGGCGCACGGCAACACGGGCCCCGGAGCGGATCGCTGTATGAGAGAAGAGGGCTCCACCTCTGGGCAAAGGGATCTAGGATTTGTAGATATCTCGATACCTGTGTACTCCGTGGAGCGCCTCCAATGGCTCCAAGATATGAGCTACGCCGAGCTACTGTAGGCAGTAGGAGCGCTAGACGGTTCGATATCCCGCACGGCCTGAGAAACGGGAATGGGGGAAAAGCAACGGAAAATGAAGTAATTCAGAGACAGAGCTTATGCCGGCCCACGGCTGGCCCCTCCAGCCCACAAGTCGTATGGCCGACGGAGGGCCAAACCGTCGTACTGGCCGCCACGCCGTGTGCTGGACGGCGAATAGGAGCAGAACCGCGGGACCAGCGAGGACGATGGGCGATGGGCGATTGAACTCACTGTATGACGCTGATGGGCGTGCGTGTAGCGAATGGGGGCGGGTGGCGATATGCCCTCCAGGCTCCATGTTCCATGGTCCGGACGAGATATGCGAATATGCACTGGCGGATGTACGAGCGCATCCCTAGGTTCTCCATCATTATTGGCGGTGTCTAACGGCCGCGATGACACGAAAAGCAGCTCACGGTGGTTGGAACAGGAATCCACGGGCCTTGCTTTGAGTGATCAGTGATGAAGCAGCACTGCACCCGCCGGCCGCCATGGCACTGGACAAGTTTTGGGGGGTTTGCTTCCCCTTGGCTGCCTGGGCCATAGAAGAATTCAATGGCACGGGAGATCCGATTTCCTTTCGAAGAGCGGCCGGCTGGCGGACACGAGAATAAGGGAATCCTGTACCTAGGTCGACGCCGTGTCACGGTACTTTGTGCTGGTGGTGGTGCTGGTGGTGGTGCTGTGCTCTGATGGCGCTGGTGATGTCGCTCGTACTCCCATTATTGCGGCCCACTAGGTACTGCTGCCCACTGCCTACTGCCCACTGCCCACTGCCTACTCACTGCCCACTCGCTGCCCATTCCCCGTAAGTAGCCCTCCAAGTCCTCGTCGCATGCAGGGCAGGACTGATTGAGGCGTCTGGCGCGCCCGTGGCGCAATATCTAATACCAAAGAGGACGCGGGCTTGCAGAAAGCCACCACCGTAAACCATAATTCGACTCGTTCATCCGGAGTGATCCGTCAGCAGAGCATCACCACCTAAGAGGATGCCCCGGAGCAGCACCAGCATCAAGCATCTCAGAGGCTCATAGGCTCCCAAACCTAGATGTGCCTTAAGGTAGAGCAGAGTACCTTAGCAGAGGCAAAAGCCCTCAACTAGCCGTGCCGACATTCTCCCGCTCCCTCCACTGTATCTAAAACTTGGAATTGTGGTACTGTACCGTGGCGGCATCTTTGATCAAGAGCACCTTTGCTAGAGGCAGCGCAGAGCAGAGCTGAGCCAATGTGGCAGTTAATACCCCGTATATTGCTCGCACACGCACGCAAGCACCATTACGTCGTTGCGGTCTGAAGTAAACCACCGATCAACCTCTCGACATTAGATGCTCGAGCCAAATACCTACGCTCTCCCAGGATTTGGATCCTCTCGTGGCCGTTGGGGGGTTGGTTCTGCTGTCAGGCGGTCTGTCCTGTCTTGTTCATTACTGGCGTTCCCGTCATGGCCGCCGTGATCTCTCAACCGTTAATCAACCGCCCCCTGTCTATATGTCCCAGCAGGCGCCTCCCTAGCAACACTTGGTGCTTTGCGGATTTCGTTATTTGGTTCCTTGGTTATGGGGTTATTTGGTTATTTGGTTATTTCGTTATTCCTTCTCTTCGGTCAATAAAGCGTGATGAACCCTGGGTTTCGGCCGCTTCCTTGCCGCGGCCTGGTTTCCGTGGGCGATTCGATATCGATAGCGGCCTCCGCCCACCAGGCTGCAGCCTTTTCCTCAGGCTGCAGTAGCAGGAAGTAGCAGTAGCGGTGGCCGTGGGGACCTGGGAGCGTGGGAACTTACTTGTCTTGGGAACTTGGTTTTGATCTGGCGCTGCACCAAACGGGATGTCTCAGATGGACGCTACGCGCAAAGGGGGACTAAGTCCCCCAGGAGGAGCATCATCCCTAGCGCCGTCAGGCTCAAGCCCAACGCATCCACGATCTCTGTGCCCGGCAGATGGCCAGCGGATACCGCTGGGGAACCACACAGGGCCCGATCTGCAATGGCCGCTGCCGCAAGCAGACCGCCCAGCGCGTGAGGCCCTCCCCCCCCCCCAACGACGCTGCGAGCGAATCGTCGCGGCGCCCAAGGTCGTCCATGCTGGGCTTGGGCGGCGGATAGATCCTTCCGGGAGGTGGGACGCCTGGCATCTGGGAGTGGGATGGTGGGAAAAACGTTCCCCGAACGCTCCAAACTCTCCAAAGGTCCCCCAAGCCTGCTGAAGCCCTGCGGGGGCCCGGCGAAAGGCCCTGCTAAAGCCTATCAACGCCTGCCAGCAGCCTCTCCGTTCCGCCTCGGGACCCCGCGTCATGTGCTCCCGGGCTCTGCCCGAGCCGTGGCTCTTGCGGAGGAGGACGGTACTACAGTACGTACAGTAAGTAGTATGGACATTCAGGAGATTGCTCTCAAGATTCCCAGGTGCTAACGAGTGTCTAGGTATTGGCGAGCATCTAGGCAATCAACAATAAACACGTGTGGCGAATTTGACATTGCATTGCCAAGGTAAGAAGGTAAGAAACACGGCACGGAACTTGCTCATGCTCATGTTGATACTCATGCTCATGCTCATGCTGTCACCAAGTACATACATACCTACCTACATGCAACGTACTCGTACTCCAGTGTGTGTACCACTCAGTATGCTTCGTATACAACGAGGTCGGCGAAGCACGTAGGATGGTGGTAGTACTACGTAGCAGTGTTCACTCGGTACCACCTCCAAAATATTCTTGCAAGTGAAGAGAAATCATATAAGCTACTTTGGGCGCCCATTGCTCTTTTGCTTTTTCGGCATCTCAATTTTTTGTATCGATCGCCCTTCCCCAAGCCTTGCCGGTGCTTCTATGTGCGCCATCCCGCCGTCAGGATGCAACACGACCTCGTTGCTGATGAAAATGATGTGTTCCGAGACCCATTATCCCCCGGACAGATTCCGTGCTTCTTTTGGATTGTCGGGGCTGGCTATTCGACGTTTCTGGCAATCCTGTGTTTGTACACCCTTCGCCACTGTTCACTTATACGCTAGAGACGTGGTTGTTTTAGTCAAGGCCATGATCTTACTACATGCTACTCTGGTATAACCCGCATATAGGAATCGTGGGAACTATTTGGCTAGGTTTTGCATGGATGGCTATGCTATGTCGATAAGCTGGGCGTAATCATACCGGCTGCTGCACTGTCATCACAGCGTTCCCCAGAGCATGCCAGAACGTGCTTTGGTTTTGGATACCTAAATGGCATCTATCAGTGGCACTATCAACCATCCTTTAGCCAGGCCTGTAGGTGGTGAAAATAAGGTAGGGCTTTGTATCGTGGCTTGCATTCGCGCTGCAACGGCACTGTGCGAGCGAGGCGTTGGAGGGATAGACATGTCTCCTCTGACCCATCTAAGACCTTCGGATCTTTTACTTCGCTATTCGAGTAATGATCCGCTGAGACCGCTGAGAGTAATGCCGAGTTGGAGAGTTTAATTTCCGGCAACTCCCCAAGTTCCCCTCTGCCGGGCAGAGCTGGGCTGCAAATTGCAATACGACCTGCTCACCACCAACCTATCACTTCCTGAAGCCATAGGAAGAGATATCGTCATCTAAGACCTTAAGCCACCTCGGTCTAATAGCGGGGAGAAGGTCGACCACGGACGGCAATTGAAGCGCCACGGGTGGCTTTTGACTCAAATTCAACGGCAACTGCATTCGCAAGCTTAAACGGGATGTGCAGAGTATTGCTTTTTGATAGACATCTTTCTGCAGGCAGCAATCAATCACTCCTGGAAATTGCTTGGAAAAACGCCACCGAGATGGTACAGTAATTGCTCAAGGCCCAAAGACTCAAGCTGCCCCTGGCAAAAGCAACTACTCCGCACGCACCGAGTCAATACAGACCGATGTAGTATGGCGCATGGAAGGCAATAGAGCGATACAGCACAGCGCGATATCGCTCTACGGGAGCGGCGCATGAAAAGCTGGGGTTGAAGGAGGCAGCCCTACTCTACTCCGTACTTCCGTAGGCATCTGTCATCTGTCATTTGGCACCTGGCATCTGCCCCTTGCACCGGCCCCTGGAGGCCTTCGATGTAAGCATTTTGATGTACAGGGAAGAGCGTTCTGTGCTTTGACGCAGGACAGCACTTCGCACTTTGCCCAGCTACTTGGCGCGAGTACCGCGAACGGAGCAGAGAGCTGTTTTGTGATGGGGTTGTTTTGTTTTATTTGTACAATAGGCATTGGATTCTCAATATTGCTAATCGCAAGGTAAGCAAGCAGTAAGCTGTAACTACTTGCGGAGTCTCCAGAAGCCTGTCCTTGAACTGGTGTACTACGTACAAAGTCCAGACTCCAGACTCCATACTTCCTACCACGTACCTCACCTGTGTAGTACTTCGTACGGATACAGCGCGCCGTCAAAGCCACGACAGAAAGCCCTATGGACTTTTTTTCGTCCTAACATGGTTGGATTTTGCAGCTGCTGCGTTGCGTGACAGGCACTGACAACATGACAGGTCACGGCCCACCGATGGCCAAGTTCAAGGTCACCATGGATGGCCCCAAGGCTCAAGCCTACGGAGTGCTCCCCAAGGCCCCAAGGAGAGTGAGCAGTGGTCGCCGACTACTTGACCCTTTTGCTGGGACCGCGAACGACGCCACCATGCACCGCGCTGCACTCGGCTTGCGGCAAGGGCACGCCCAGCTATGCCACCGCATAACCCGGCCAATATGATGGCATCCCGGCTCTGATATGGACATCCCTATGGTGCTACAGTACGGGCCTGCACGACTGAGAAAAGCATCTCTTATCAGCTTCCCAGGCCGAAAGGGGGTGGTGAGGGTGTACGTACGTGGTACTCCGTTGCACAAGGCATGCCTTTTTGAGCTTCGGACTCTGTTTGTGGTCGCTGCTTACGGTGGGCTGGCAGCCCCCCCCAGGAGAACCAAGAGAATCAAGGGAGCCAACCAGGGTGCCAGGACGCCTCTCGTCTGTGCGGAAACGATTTGCTCAAGGAGCAGAAATTTGTTGAACCGACCGGGTCCTTGGGTGAAGGTGAAGGTGAAGGGGGAAAGGAACTATCATCGAAGGCGTGCTGTGGTATGCTGGCTCTGGCTCTGGCGTGGGAACCTCTGCTTGAAGCCTTGGACTTTGAAGTGCCTGTTTGTGAAGGTGGCAGTGTTGGTCATATTAACTAGCTAGTTAATATGATTCCCAAAAAATCCTATGGGTGGTCGTCCCGAGATTGAGGAAGCCCAAAGGACTCGGGAGAATGGGATGAATGGGATGAATGGGGAGAGGTTCGTCTGATAGCGATAGAGAGCGGGTAGCACCGACCTGTCTCACAGCGCCACCGTGAACTCATCTGCCTGCCGACACTGCAGAAAGTGCAGCTATTCGGAACGCCCCCTTTGTCCTCATTATTCCCGCACGTCTCTTCTGGTGGGGTCCTGGAGTTATCCCTGCGCAGCCAATCTTGCAGGTGCAGTAAACCCAGAAACAGATCGACAATTGTTTGTTTCACTTTTATGCGGACACCTTCGAGAAGGTTGCTTATCCCCCCCGGCTCCATATAGGCAATATCAAGACTATTAATCCGGATACCACCATACCAGACCAGCATATGCACACTTTTTCTCGACTTCCTTTGCTTTCCCATTATCGCACCACCCATTATTAAAGGGAGAATCCGATCTGGCGCGGGACGGGACGGCCAACAGAAATCCCAGCGATGCCGCCAGGGGCGCGTGGCCGATCCCCCACATCATACATCGCATTGGCGTTCGTTGATATTGCCGGTGCCTGGTGCTGCTCATTTCCTCTTTGCCCTTGGCGGACGCCATCTTCCTCCATTCGGTCTGCAACGGCGACGATCCGATGAGCTTAAATCTGAACCCCCCGAGTATCTCGCCGAACATGGCTTGCAAAGTTGTCGGTGTTCGACTTCGTAATAATGTCGACGAGTCGGCATCTCGGGCTACAGAGGATAGGAGTCAATTGTGGTTAACCACCCCAGCATGGCTGGGCACGCGCCGGATATGGTGGGCTCTACGTAGGCACTTCCTGTGCTGTCCGGTCGCTGCGATCTGCAGCAACAAGTTACATGTACAAAGCGACTCAAGTCACAAGTGCAGTTCAACTCTCCACAACGATTTTCAGATAAAGTGTTGATAAGTTTTTTCATTAATTCCATGCTATACGCTGATTCCCTAGCGTTTAATGCATTACATCCTTTGAACATACATGAGGTGTGGCTCCCGCCATCCCCTCGCAGCTTTGTGACGTGGCTGCAGAGAATATATCTTACAAAGTGAAGATCGGGAGTAAAAAAAAAAGGGGGGAGTTGGCGCTAAACATTAGGCTCTCTGTAACTGAAAAGGAAAATAAGGCAGGAAGCCCATGAATATAGCACTTGGTGCTTGTCGTCAAATAGGCCGTCGCAAAGCTCGTCGAGGAGCAAGGGCGCGCTGTACATTGTAGTATAGAATGCCCAAAATGAATGCCGCAGAATATCGACCGCAGGAAGGCCGGCCAGCCTGTCCAGAACGCCACCAACACATACGCCGTCAACCTCTCATCTTCATATCCGTGTCGATTGCTTTTCGATCCCACTCCGGCCTTGGCCTAACGATCCGAAGAGCTGTTCGGGAGGTATTCTCGACATTCCATCCTTATCGTAACTGGCAGTCGGTGCAGCTACGTAGCCCTCGCGCTTACGTCGGATACGTTCAGCAACTACTCCGGCAACAACCATGCAGAATATCAATGCCAAAGCGATACCGAGTGCTATGAGTACAATGAATCCTCTAGCAAGTCCACCACCTATAGAGTTTATTAGCATGAAATAAATAGATCATGGGCTGGGGGCATACCTTTCGAAGTGAAAACGTTTTGTTTTTCCGAGAACAGATGCGAGATACTGCTGCCAGTGTTGGAGGCGGAGCTGGTCAGGGCGAAAGGCTGGAAGGTGGTGCCGTTGAAGAGCACAGCAGAGGCATTTCCGAATCCTGGAAGATTTAGAGAGCCAGTGACAAGGAGCGACTGGCTGGCTGAGAGCAAGCTGGATGATTCGTGTTTCGTAGTAAGTGACAGGACTTCGAGACCTCGAATGTTTGTTCCACTTCCTAAGGTGTTTCCAACAGAATCCCAAGTTGTACCGTCGTATTTCATGAGGAAAGAGGATCCATTTGTGGCCGTGCCAGCAACCCAATACTCGGAGGCATCACTGTTAGCTGCCGCCATCGCAACCACGGGGCCGGGGATTGTATCTGCCCCATTTGCTACAGTCCAGTTTTGGGATTTGGCATCGAATATCATCAAAGGGGCATTGCGGCCATCGATGGATAACGAACCGCCAACTATGAGTGAGCTTTCACTGGCCCAGGTCATAGTATTGGCGATACCTCCCAGATCAGATCCCGGGCGGTTCCACTGGGCGGCGGACGTGGAGAAAACACATACTGCAGGGCACTCCAGAGAACCTGCTGATGAAAAGCTACCACCAACATAAACATCGCCTGTATCAGGTCTAACTGTGATTGAATTCACAGCAACATCACCCCCACCAAGGGCCGGTGGCTGAGTGTTGGGTGACGCAGTAGCCAGATTGAATGATAGCAAACCATTTACTTTGCCACCGTCGACATTTCCAGAAAGTCTACCTCCGGCGAAAAGAGTGTCTTGCTGAATAGCCAACGCTAGGATAGTCGAATCGCTTGAGATCTGGGGCCCGACACCAGTAACCGTGTCAGAGTTTGAACTGTTGACAAAGAGGAGGTTGTTAATATCAGATCCATTAGATCCCACTGCGACAAAATGGCCACCCAATATTGTTATATTCCGACCACCATTGTTGTAGAAGAGGCCTGTAACAACACCGCTTGCGGTTTTGTTATTGGTATCCCTCCTTGCTATGGCGCCTGTCTGTTGTGCTACTAGTGGTTTGATATGGACAGGGAAAGCGCCCAGTGTAGACGAAAGCTCTGCGGCTCCATTAGCACCAAGTTGCGAGGAGGACAGAGAGCCAGCAAACAGAGATCCACCACCAGGAAGATCTACAGAAGCCGTGAGCGCCCCATTGATGACCTCAGTGGTACCATTGAGGTTCTGAAGCCAGTTACTGCGAGTGGGTACCCAAATTGCAAATCCCGTAACTGAAACGGCGGGGTTCTTTCCAAAGGCAAGCAATTGATTGAAGTCGCCGGTGAACGTAATTACAGTCTCGGGCACGTTGACTGTGACATTCATCGAAAGTGGAACGATGCTTGACACCAAACCATTGACGCCTGCCCCTAGAGCAGCCCATGTGTTCTTCACTGTATCATAAGCAGCAACGCGATTCAGGTCACCCACACCACCACCGCCCGTCGCCTTCGTAAACTTGCCTCCAACGTACAATGTAGACCGGTCAAGGGACATGGTTAAAACTTCTCCGTCCAAGCTGCCTCCAGGGAGTGGCTTGGCATCAGAATCGGCGATGGCGAGGATGTTCTTGTAAGTGCCTGTAGAGAAATTCCCCCCAACGTATGTAGTACTTCCGGAAGTCACCAGCGCGTTGACTCCAGACTCTGGACCTAGATTCATGCCGGCTTTATCAAAGGTTGAATTGGCGAAATCAGAGGGGTTGATAAGAGTTTGGCTAGGATCGTATTCGAAGAGACTATTCAACCCACCAGTTGAAGAGATAAGGCTGAATCCTACACGCTGGGCAACGACGGAGAGGTTCGGTACGTCTTGGCCTGAGCTTGGCGCGAGAACCACTGAAGGGCGGAAAGAGGTGCTTCCAGCTTCAATGTATCCGAAATATATCTGATCGTACTTGTCGAAGTTATTGGTTTGGAATACTTCTGTGCTGAACCCCGCGCTTGTACTACCGCTTGCCATCACTCCAGTGACATTAACTCTGCCCCTAGTTGAGCAGCTATTGTCCTGGAGACATCCGGGTGTGTATATATTAACCGAGTAGTTGCCCGATTGCCTGATGTCAGGGAGAAACACCACATTAGGAGAAGTAGATCCAGTGACGGCAGCGGTCAAGTACTTAGATGAACTCTGGTGGGATGGAGTCACGGTCCAAGGCCCTGTAGAAGTACTATTCGAGGCAATCTTGATGCCGGCACATGTGGGTTCGTTAAAGTCGTTTATAGCATAAGTAAAGATGTCGTCCTGAAAGAGCTCAATTCCATCCAGACCACCACCATTGCCATGCCAAGCCGAGATGTCAATCTGGAAGGCATTCATGCCAATCACGTTAACAAAATGGAAATCCTGGAACTTGACACTGGTGTCGCTGCTCAACGGGCACTCAGATGAACAGGATGCGTTTTGACCAGTTGCGAGGTCAACATAGGTGAAGTTCATGATGCCATTGATCGGCATGGCAGTGAATCTCCATGTCTTAGCGCCTCTTCCGTCCTGATGAGTGTTCCATAGTCGCAATTTAGTGGGCTGGAATCCGAAGCCAAAATTCGCTTTCCAGAACCCAGGCGTATTGTCAGCCAGGAGCCAGGTATCGCCGGCACCACTGAACCCACTAGTCTTGCAAACAATGTTGGTAGGATCACTGAAGCCGGCGGTTGACGCCGACGAGCCAGCTGTAATATTCGCTCCAGAGATATTAATAATCTGCTGATCTGGTAGGCTGGGACCAGTGGCGTTGCCGAGGCCAGTGAAAACCCCCCCAAAGACTATATGGCCATTTGAGGCTTTGGCTATAGAATTCACAGGGCCATTGAAGCCTGCAAAAGGCAGATTGGTCCACCCAGTAGTACCCACCCACGCTAGGGCGTTGGTTGAATTTTCTCCCTTAAAGCTGCCTCCAACGTACACTGTATTTGTCTCTTGGTCGCACAGTAGCGCAGAAACCTGCCCGGAGAGCCCAGGGAGAGGTACGACAGCAGAGGTATTCGGGTTGAACATGGCGACTCCTGGTGATTCCATTCCGCCCAAACTTGTGAAATTTCCGCCTACAACCACCCCTGCCAAGGTGCCATCTTTCATAATGAATGGGCACATAGCTCGGATACATGCATCGGCAGACACCAGGCTCGCAAAGTCTCCATTGGGGAATCGTGTGAGTAGCGATTGACTGCCATTGGTGTTGAACCCATTCTCGTTCTGTCCCTCGAATTGATAAAGTGAAATTCCACCGAAGTCGCCCGCCAAGCCCACCCGGCCCAACGCCGACAGATCGAGACCAGGTGAAGGTACCGGATTAAAGGTGATGGCTTGCGTGAATGAGGTGAGCGAGATTAGAAGAAGGCCGATGCACGACAATAGACGCTCCCCTGATGGACACCGCCATGAAGTGGGCTTCATGGCTGGTTCCGGAAGCTTAATATTAACAATTCTTGTCCCCCTCCAGTGATATGTTTAGTGATTCTCCAAAGCCGAGTGGCTAGTGTTGTTCTTATATTCACGTTGAAAGTCGCATTTGCACTACCTAGCACAGAGTTATTCCATCACCTTCCGTCGCAGTGATCGAATTGTCGCACGCTGATCCACGCGAACGGAACTCAAACCTCAAGCTTAACTGTAGATGCCTCCCCTAATGACCCTAGAATGGCGTGCAAGTGAAGGTGAAAGTGAAAACAGCGCGAGGTCGAAAGTGAAGGACGGTCGCGCGGCCGTGAAGAACCAGGTTTTACTACCGATAATACGAGTAGTCTCCTGTTGGTTGTCAGAACTCAGCCTTGGCGAGAGATCGTGAATTGAAGTCTGGACGCCGTCGCGCGCCGTCAAGGTCGAACAGTCGAAGGGTAGATTTGATATGATCGCAGATGCACTGCACCACGAATTGTATTGTTTGAAGTGACTCAGCACAGCGTCAGAGGATGCGAAGAGGATTGAGGAGCGTGTGGTACTGATTTGGGGCTCGGGGGCTGGGGCTTTGGTGAGATGGAGGACGGTGCGCGGGTCCAGCAGTGTTGTATGATGGAGAGAAGATCGAATCGAGCAGTGTAGGTATCGTGTCGAAATGGTATGGCGAGTGAATGTTCGGGCGGAAAAGAGCGTGGGCGGTCTGGGACCTGGAGTCTGTTGTCAGGTCTCTGGCGACGTTCGAGGGCGGTTTGGATTAATTGCGTCGAGTCGATAGGAGAACACATATAGTCGGGGAACAGGGTACGTACCGAGTAAACACAACAGAAATACGAAGAACTGGGGCGATTGGAAATGAGCGACTGATGGACACGACGAGAACTGGACGAGAAGAATGATTGATTGCTCTACTCCATGAGCACGAGGAATCGAAGGAACCGCAGATGCGAGAGATGAAGCGGCGGGTTCGCGCAGTAATCTCCTTTTCGGTTTTCCGCCTTCCGCCTTCCCCGTTTCGTTTCAGACATACAGTGCTGCTCCGGTGCAATACGAAGTGCACATCCGGAGTACAGTTACTAGTATTTATCTCCCACAATCCACAACAATCATCGCAAAGGACATGTCCAATACTGAGTCAGTACCTGGGATTCTTTCGAAGCTACGGTGTTGCCGCATGCCGGGTATCTCATTTATATCATTCCTCCAGTTGGGCCATGTAGGACCGTGGTTCCTGGGGCAATTATCAGGAATTTTGGTTATGGGCCAATGAAATCCATTACACAAGGCTCAACCCCAAACGCGGAGGAAACCCAACTGGACTTGCTGGAGTGTCGGGCTTGTGGGATCGGCGAGCCTCAGCATCCGGAGCCCAACATGCAAGTGTCCGTGGTGAGGAGTAGCAACGGAAAGCTTCAATCTGCACCTATGGCTATCATGGTCTTTCAATTTGAAAGCTATCCGTGGGATTAAAAGCCTGACAGCAACTCAACTTCCCGCTTAGCCTCTGGTGATGCCCTGCTGAATGAAGCAGCTCATCGGGTTTACCCAAAGATCCTCAGAGCTATATCCAAATGTCTCAAATATAAACCACGACGGAAAATAAAATCCCCAAGGTGTCAGCCCCATTTGTTCGTCTTGAATTCTTGGATTCTCCAGCTTGGGTATCATCTGTAATTAAGGTACGTATCACTTCAGCTCGCGAATAGCTGCCATCCTGGTTTTATAGTCTCGGGGACTCTCGTAGTCTTTGGCCTTTCCTGACCACATCCCCACCTTCTTTCTCTTTGCGACCTCCTCCGCCCTCCGATAACTATCCTCGAAGTCTCCAAACTCAGCTCCCATCTTGGCTTCATACACAGTAGCCATCCCCGCCTTGAGCATTTCCTTTCCAACATCCTTGCGGAATAAAAACCTCCGTACCCATACCGTGGCCACGACCCGTTCATACTGGTCCCGCTTGTAGATGTAGGCCCGCACTCGACGATCCATAATGTAGTTTTTGAGCCATTGTAGGGCCTCCTCGGAATATGGTTGTGCTGGCCTGCCAAAATGGGCACATTCGGGCGCGTCAACGCCTGCTATTCGGATATGTATCTGTGGACGCATTAAACTTCTGCAGAGCAACTTGGAAGCTGTTAGAACATACCGTATTGCCTTTCAACAGCTTCTTGTCGGGAACCTTCCGCCATGGTAGCCATCCCCATCCTGCCAGTCTCCCGCCAGGCGTATGAAAAAGGTGGAAGTTATCCGCATCGCCCACTCTCGTCACAGTACCAAACAAGCTCCGCTTTCTGAAGGACCCAGGTCGAATATGGGTGGCTTCTGGAATACGGCGCAGGTAGGAACGATAGACGCGAACAGACACCAAGATGGTTGTTGTGAGGAGTAGCGTCGGAACCAGCGTCCTAGGATCCGTGTAATGAGACCAATCTGTAGCATTTAGGCTTTCGGTCCATGGCACACGCCGCTTCTTGCCATCGGTGTCCCTTTCGGAATTCGAGGGCCATGGTGGCCATGGCATCGTTGTTGTGGGTTGGGGTCCTGGAAATGGTGGGGAAAGCAAGTCCTCGCTTCATGGCCGACAAGTTCCCAGGGCCGTAGAGGCTTGAGTGAAGCTCCGAAAGAGCTGTACTTCGGTCACGATGCCAGAGATCCTGCCAAACAATAATTATTAACTGACATGAATTTACAGTTTATATAATGTGCGGCTAATTTTCCAATATTGACAAAACTCTGAGGTCGGTCATAAGTCAGAGGATGTCTAAGGTGTCCAAGTAGTACCTACACCTAATATTTCAACGGCTATTGCATGTCACTATTACAGTAATTCTATACAACTCTTCGACGCTTCGCTCTCTGACTACGTGGGCTCTCAGACAAAACCTTGTCTTTCCCAAACTCATCCTTCACCTCATGTAATGTGTATTCCCTTTTCACAATAACCTTTGATTCTACGACGGTCCCGTCCTCTTCCTTAATTTTGACTTCCTCCACGTCCAGTTTGACCTTGGGCGCAAGCCTCTCTGAAAACGTTTTTAGATCCGCAGCGAAAAGCACGGAATGAGCCCACCCAGCCTCCTTGCCCCAAAGTTCTCTGAAGTGATCGCCAACAGCGTCGTAAGTAGCCTTCGTGAGGCTTTTGTTTTTCCCCTTGCCAAACTTATAATCGCGCTGGGCAATCTGCCAAACATGAGTATCAACAGGCACGGCTTCGCCCCAACCGAGCCCCATCAAACAAATACAATCGGCCACCTTTGGCCCGACGCCTAGAAGTTGTAGCAATTCCTCATGGGCTCGTCGATAACCATCCCGGCCTCCTCGCGGTAATTTCTGGTCCGGATTATCACCATCGTTGCGTAAGCTCTGTAGCCAGCCTTCTGGCTTTTCATTTGCAACCATCAAGGCTGTTTTGGCTATATACGCAGCGCGATAGCCAAAGCCAAGTTCACGGAGGTGCGCCTCAACTCTGGGTCCAGTGAGGGCCTCTGGAGGAGGAAAATCGTGAAAGGATACATCATTGATACGCCCAACTAATGGCCCATAATGCAAGCATAAATTATTAACCTATAATTACATGTCAGAAATCTTCCGTAGATACCAAGGAGTTTTCATACCATTTGTGATATCCTCACTATATTATTATTACTGCTACATATGAATGCCACAAGAGTTTCCCAAGCGTCTTGCTTCAAGATACGGACGCCTGCGAAACTCGGAGCCCTCTTTTTAAAATTAGGATCAACCGAAGACCAATACTCGTACAGAGTGGCGACATTGGGGGTGAGGTTGAAGTATCGTCTAAGTAGGCTTTCTGTTGCTTCATCCTCATTTTCAATCTTGGCCACGTGAGAATTGACTGAGTTTGGAAGAATCAATGGGCACGTGGTGCTTGGTCTCATAGATCGGTAATGAAGATAATAATCATCCTGTTTCAAAGACAAAATCTGTCCGTGGAGAGCGCAGGACCTGCCTAAGGATTAGCCCCTTTTGTCGATAACGAGGAACGCATTGATATACCACTCATCATTGCCTAGCTTTTTCCACCTGAAAGATTGCCCACATCGCAAAGTAGTATCTATGCAGAGCTCCGCAAGGCTTACTGGAAGCTTCCGCCACTCAGAGACACGGATATTTGCCATTATCGAGAAGGGACTGAATATTATATCGAAGGAGAAGTCGTGGAGGAGACGGATTATCAAGCCTTGTCCACGAAGCAAAGCGCAATGCAGGGGTTGCTCGCCTAGCGCGGATTCGCGAACTCGTCTTGAGTGAAAAACATCTCCTCAAGGCTCAAGGCCTCGTCGCAAACAAACATCGGAAGAGTTGACCTTCTCAAACTACCCACATATTATAACATACCCAAGCTTAGCGTTGTCACCATGAACGGCGACAGCTACGCATCTAGAGGCATGGCACCCTCATCGACAAAACCCAAACCACAACGTCCAGGTATCACTAACAATGAAGAATCTACAGATGGCAATCGGCACGGCTCATCCAGAGATTACCCTGTAAGTTCACCTTGCCTATGTCTTTGTATTTCTTTGTATTTGTCTGATGATTAAAGCCTGCTCGCGATGATCGACGTGGCGATAGAGGTGACCGGGACCGACGCCGTTCTCGGTCTCCAGGGCATCGAGGACCCCGTCCCTCGCGGCGAGATGGCGACGTAGATTCATACTCCACGAGTCGTGACTACAGAGAGCGAGAACGTGAGGACAGATATTCCGGCAGAGATCGACGGGGAGGCGGGGAGAGAGAATGGGATCGAGACCGAGGGTCATCACGACGCGACGCTAGAAGGGACGATGATGACAGACCCCCTAGGAGAGATCGAGATCTGTTCGATGAAAGACGGGGTGGTGGAGGAAGACGAGGCGATCGAGGCGACCGCGATGCATTTGGTGGAGGACCGGGACGAGAACGCAAGAAGAGTGCCACCCCTCCCCCAAAGAAGCGGGAACCTACGCCGGATCTGACAGATGTTGTTCCTATCCTTGAGCGGAGAAGAAGATTGACTCAATGGGATATAAAGCCACAAGGCTACGAGAATGTGACTGCGGAGCAAGCCAAACTCTCCGGCATGTTTCCCTTGCCAGGAGCCCCGAGACAACAACCCATGGATCCAAGCAAGTTACAGGCGTTCATGGCGCAACCCAGTGGCTCAGTTACGAATGCGGCTCTGAAGCCTTCTAACTCACGCCAAGCTAAACGTCTCTTAGTCCACAATCTGCCGCCAGGCTTGGAGGAAGAGGCCCTCGTCAGCTTCTTCAATCTTCAGCTAAATGGCCTCAATGTTATCGAAGGATCAGATCCTTGCATCTCCGCTCAAATTTCGAAGGACAAATCATTTGCTCTACTTGAATTCAAGTCTCCTTCAGATGCCACTGTAGCTCTGGCACTCGATGGGATCACAATGCAGGACGACCATGCTGGAAATGGTGCAGCTAACGGTGACACGAAAGGCCTCTCTATTCGTCGCCCGACGGACTACATTGTTCCAGCAGTTTCTGATGAGACTCCGCTTGAGCCTGGTGTTGTGTCAAACGTCGTGGTGGACACTCAGAATAAAATATGCATCTCAAACATCCCGCTTTATTTGACGGATGAGCAAGTCACTGAGTTATTGGTCTCATTTGGAGAATTGAAAGCATTTGTGCTGGTGAAGGATAGCAGCACCGAGGAGTCTAGGGTAAGTAGTAGCCTAAGTCCAATTTCTGAATTTTCAGCTGATCTTGGTAAAGGGTATCGCGTTCTGCGAGTATGCCGACGCAACAGCAGCAACAGATATCGCGGTTGAAGGCTTGAACGGAATGGAATTAGGAGATAAACATCTTAAGGTGCAAAGAGCTAGCATCGGTAACACTCAGGCTGCAGGTCTTGAGATGGGAGTCAACGCAATGTCCATGCTTGCCGGAACTACCTCGCAGGGCTTGGAGGATGGCCGAGTCCTGCAATTGCTTAACATGGTAACCCCGGAGGAACTCATTGACAATGATGAATATGAAGGTATGTCAACCTTAGACTTGAAACGAGAAAAGCTATCTAACCACCTCGTAGAAATCTGCGATGATGTTAAGGAAGAATGCGAGAAGTACGGCAAAGTACTAGATTTGAAGATTCCGCGACCCACGGGTGGAAGCAGACAATCAAATGGAGTCGGCAAGATATTTGTCAAGTTCGACACTCCAGAATCAGCAGGGAAGGCGCTTCGGGCTCTCGCCGGCCGAAAGTTTGCGGATCGTACCGTCGTAACGACCTATTTCTCAGAGGTAAAATCCGCTAGCTGTCTATGAGAGAGTGATTGACTGACATACTATATAGGAAAATTTCGAGGTGTCTGCCTGGTAATTATCTGCTTCGTTTGGCGCTACACACACTCATACCTGATGCTTGAATACCGAGGCAGCTCGACAGCAAGTTTTACCTCTATTTTGCATCTTATCCCGCAGTATCAGGAACCATACCTCTGTATTTCTAGTAAAAATGTCCGATTAGCCATGACGTGTAAATGAGCTCGAGTACTACCAGACATGCTGTATCTTGATGTGTAAGAATCCAAAATATGTGATCTAACTAGAGCTACTTAAGACTTTTCTCTCTGCTAGACCAGGAGCTTTATAGTTCAAGATAGTGTAGTTAGTGGCGGCAGGAAGATGTGGGCACAATGTAGGAAATATTCGTAGGGACGCTGTCACGATTTACGATCTACACGAAGTTCTGACGGAAGCAATGTTAAAAGCTTACTGCAATTGGTATTCTAGCTAGTATGTGCACATTGCAGCTATCAATATAATTATATGTAAACCTATATTATTCGAAGCATCAAAAGAAATCGGCACCGGGGCCTCATGAGGATTGTTGGCAAGAATCTATAGATCTTTAAACATAGTGTTAGCGATTGACGACGAGATATATCTGCCTGCATATGCAAACCAACACGGTGTAATGACAAAAAGAAAATCAGAAGTCCGTTAAGATCATCGTCCCTTCCGCAGAAGATCCTAAATCAAGAGGTGCCAGAATAGCAAAATGGAGTATCATCATGTGAAAATTTTCTCTCGTGCTATCGAGAATGTGGAGAGGAGGTTGCAACTTACACAGTATTAGGAAATGAGTGCAAACACATCAGTACGGGAGAAATAAAGAGGCTGGGTAGTAATAGCAATGGTGCCAGTGCCTGTGCAATGCTCTCCCAGCTCTGGCTGGCAGACAGAGCTTTTATTTCGACAGGAGCATGGCGCGATTCGTGATGATGTTGGTAGAAGGATTAGAAGTGGTTTGCGATTTTATTTCCGAGCAGATGCAGAATACCTAAACGAGAGATAGCGCTAAAGTTAGCGCGACGCCTAAGCGAACGCACAATTTCAACTTCCTCAATTTTTATTCTCGATATCGATATCGCGAACATCCGTCAAATACATCACCACCACGACAACAATTCGACACTCCCTCTATCACCATGGGTCGCATGCACAGCAACGGCAAGGGCATCTCAGCCTCCGCCATCCCATACTCCCGCACTCCCCCAGCGTGGCTCAAGACAACCCCAGAGCAAGTTGTTGACCAGATCTGCAAGCTTGCGAAGAAGGGAGCAACCCCATCTCAAATCGGTGTCGTCCTACGGGATTCCCACGGTGTTGCGCAAGTCAGAGTTGTTACTGGTATGTCAATTTAGAATCTATTGTAGCTATCCAGCTCTTCGAGACAGTACTGACAAGTTCAACAGGTAACAAGATTCTCCGAATCTTGAAGTCGAACGGTACGATATCACCAACATGATTATATTGCTGTCATAGGATCTTCTCCTATGATGTGCCAAATATACATACAACATTGCCTCTGCTTGGTCTTTGACTGACGGAGTGAAATATGACAGGCCTTGCCCCAGAGATTCCAGAGGACCTATACATGTTGATCAAGAAGGTTTGTATTATTCCCGAGACATTGGGGTGTAGTGTAGTATGCTGATCTTTAAAACTTAAGGCTGTCGCCGTCCGCAAGCATCTTGAGCGCAACCGAAAGGACAAGGACTCCAAGTTTCGCCTCATTCTCGTCGAGTCGCGTATCCACCGTCTTTCCCGGTACTACAAGACCGTCGGTGTCCTCCCACCCACCTGGAGATACGAGAGCGCCACTGCCAGCACCATGGTTGCATAGATGTTAAGATGGAAATATTCGTGGTTTGGCATGGAGTTCGGGGTATGGGCTATTTGCATCGATGGCTGATCTGCTATCAGACCTTGATATCATAGAAATGACAAAGCAAAAATCTCACCCCAGAGATCCCGTGAAACTATCCCTTATGGTGCTTCTCCTGTGTGTGTTGGACAACCGCTCTCGCGGTTTGCGAGAGATAGATATTGAATTACTACCAATTGCCTGCTGGCCTAGCATAGCTCCTTAAACCCCACATATCTTATTTGTAGCAGACGCCCACCCCACAAACTGCCTAGTCCCGTAGTATTACAAGTATTGAAGAACCCATCCGTGTTGCCTTACGTCCCCTCCAATTCTCTGGACTTCTGTAGTAGGTACTCTCCCAGCACTCGTAAAGGATCCTTAGGTCTAAAAAGCGGTCAGAATATGCGCCGATAAATTTTAAGCAGTCTCAAGAACCACGGGCACGTACTGCTCTTTCGCTACGTGCTTCATTCCATCTAGCAGCACACCCGTAACTTTGCTATTAAGGTACTGTCTTGTAGGCGCGCCATGAGGTGGCGCCTCTTTCGGGATCGTAGGGGCGGGATCGGGGTGCTGTGAAGTTGCTCGCGAGGTTGCGTCGTTGCCATTTGTATTGCGTCCCGGGGTACCAGTTCTTGGGGGAACGGGACTGGGAACATTCGTTACGCCCATTGCGTTTGCAGGAGACTATGAGTTAATTAGGCCACGGATCGCACAGTAAGGCCACCTTGGGGGACATACAGCTGGTCTATCCGGAGTGCTATCGCTCATCACAATGTCCCTCGTTTCGGGGACGGGAACTGATGGAGTCGGTACAGACGTTGTGGTCCCTAGTTGTTGCTGGATTGCTGGTTGGTACGTTTCGGTTGATATATCGGTACTTGGAGGAGGGTTCTCCTGTGTCCCCACGTCTGGGACATCTGGTTGCGACATTATATTCCTAATTCGGCGGAATAGGTATAACAAGTTAGGACTGGGATTGAATGGTGCCGACTAAGGATCTTCGAGTCAGCATGAGACCACAAACTACTGGCTTGATGATACGTACCTTGCCAAATACCAGGCAATTGAATGTATCGTCTTATTTTGAAATTGGATTGGAACGAACTATTGAACTATTCAATTGGATCTCCTACGCCTACGATATTCCTTCAGGAACGGAATCCCCACTGTCTGAGCCGTCGCGCAAGCACGTGATGTCGCGTAGCGAGTCTAAATTGAACGCGCCTCTACCTTCTCGAAAAACTGTTTTGCCAGCCATGCCAACTTCATGAGATTACTAGGTAGGTATGGTCGTCGATTACCAAAATGGCCCATTCTTCCTCGACGAGTTCCGACGATGGTTCTCGTACCCCTCCTGCAAAGCGCCTGAAAACTCGGCGGAGTGCTGAGGAGGAGAACGAAAAGCCTCGAAGAATATCCCGTGATGAGATTATACACTGTCCATATAATCATGAGGATGGAATTTTAGATTCGGGAGAAGATGACGATCTCGAGAGTGGGAAGCGAGCTGCATCCATCAAGCCTACCGAGCTTGAGAGTACCTTGCCCCCTTTGAAAACTGACAGAGAATCCATTGAGGAGTATGAGGCAATGAGAGCCGGCGAGGAAGCTCCCCAGCGTTTGGAAGAGCGATTGATTCAAAGAAACTGGACCAAAGGCAAAAGCTCTATTTATGTCGATGCGTTTAATTTAGCGCTAGAGACTGTTCTGGCCGATGAAAGTCACCTCTTTGATGAAAAGGAGATGGAGATCTTCAATCAATGGAAGAGCTTGGACTATGAAGCCCAGTATCTGTGAGTTCATCACCGCAGCGCCTCTCCTCTAGACTATAATATATGGAAGTCCCAAATTTGCGCTCAGCATTAGGCTTTCGTAAACAAATATGTTATATTAACATTCCCTTTCTCTTATCCTTCATTCTTTTCAAGTATCCTTCGTAACGAGGGGGTAATGGTGGTTACTCCGCCCAGAGACCCTACTTGGTCTTTCACAGAAGTTCAAATATTATGTTTCTTCATATTACAATTATGTATGTGAGAACAGTCACTAATGGAAATAAAGTTACGTCCGCTTGTTCCTCAGAAAGACCTCTGCATGGCACCGCATTCAGCGATTAGGTTATTATAGCGATATTTCGCATCTTCCATGCGCCGTGGAAAAGCTTCAGTCGCTGCGAGATCTGCCAGAGTCATCTGCCCCCGTTCAAGTCAACCCCGCAGAGCTTGCCCCGCCGGAGGGTACTGTGTTAGGGTCACCATTTTCTTTCGCTGATTCTTCCGAGGGAACAATTAACACCCTGGAGGAAGCTTCCTCGCTCCTTAGCCTAGATGAATTGAAGGGACTTGCCAAAGATGCTAAGATTCAAGGGAATAACAAGGCAGAATTGCTAGGAGCTCTTCGAAGGATGAGCCGCTGTCAAAGTGGGCTAGGCTGGGTCGGACTAAAGAAGTCTGACAGTGAACACACTACAACTTCCGACAGTGGTGAAGATAACCCTCGGGTTGCTACAGATGACAATACAGTTTCTGAATTGAACAGAGACAACCACTTTTTACGGAAGATTATGAATAGCACAGGGCCTTGCATTCGTCTATCGCAACCCACTCTTAAACTTTTTGAGCGGGTTCATTTGGTCTTCTACAGATCAACGGAATGGACAGAGAAGTCTCTAACAACCGTCATATTGGCTCGAATGTCTCGTCGAAATTTTCCGACTTATCTCGTCTCAAGATCGGCCAATATCTTCCCCTCTCGGTCCAGGTTATTGGAGTTTGAGGCAGCAATCAGGACGCAGTTTCGAGTCGATAATATCCTAGAATTTAATGGTAATAACAAGCAGCAAGGCTTCGAGGATGTACTGGCCATTTTTGACGGAATCTATCCACGCTGGATAGTGCTTCTTGAAGAAGAATTGCGCAAGGAGGAGAGTGTGTATGAAAGCGGCGAAGGAGCATATGTCCGCCGATTCTCGCCAGCCTGGGTATATACACGGATTGTTCACAAAGCTGCCAGCGCCCTTGGCCGCTTGAAGATGTACTTGCAGGAACATACCGTCCTGACCGAGCTGCTCTCCCAAAAACTTTTCCACGCCGCCCGTCGCGGAGCCTGGTATCAGCGTAAGGCACTGCTAGAAGAGCACTATATGTATGCTATCTCGCCTTCTAAGGGAATTTCCGATCCTGAGCAGCAGAAACGGCATTGGAAACGCATGTCCTTACAGACTTGCGAACAAGGACTACAGGATAGAGATTGCCACATGATCTACCACTACGATCTGCAAAAGCGAATCAAGAAGCTGGAGAAAAGTCTCAAGATCCCCATGCGGGAACAGCATGATTTTGGTCATGTTTTGCTTTCCAAGCCAACTGAAGTAACTATTGAAGGAATCCAGATCAAGAAAATATATCCTCCCGTACTGAAACGACGCACATCTACCCAGCCAGCTGAGGAGAAGCAACGCAGTACAAAGACGATCTGGGTGGACGAGGATGGAGAGGGAGAGGGATGCGAATGCAGCGTCGAGGCCATGTGTCTCTCTTCGTACCGCTCACGCGGTCTCAAAGGATACCACTCCGAGGGTGGAATTATACGCACCTTGTTTGCATATCTCTTCTTTGACGTTCTATTTATCTACATCCCCAACGTCTTTCAGACTGCATACCAGACCTGCCCATTGGATCTGCACACTGATGCATTCTTTCCATCCCGTGGATCAGAGATCAATCATCGGCTTGTCGAGATCGCGAACGGCAAGGCGGCCCAGATAATCCGCGCCGTTGACGAAAGAGAGCGCGAGAGAAGAACTTGTGTCATTGGACTGGATTGGGATTTCGAACTCGATGATCTCCTCGAGATTATTGATTGTTTTGATGGGGCTGCGCTAGCAACAGTGTGCAAGGTCCTAGCCCAGGAGTATAGAGTCCGTGGAGGAGGTATTCCGGATTTGTTCCTTTGGGATCCGAAAAAGAAAAGCGTGCTGTTTGCGGAAGTGAAAAGTGAGAATGATAGACTAAGTGATACACAGAGATTGTGGATCCATGTCCTCACCGGTGCAGGCATCCGAGTTGAGTTGTGCAATGCGATGGCGAAGCAGGTGAGGGTTGTTGATGGGGGGTGAGGCCCCGTCCGTACTTCTTGGAGATGGTGCAGAGGAGGCTACCATGTCCTTGGGATAGAGGCATATTGGGATATGTAAATAGCATAGGTTTCGCCACTACGGGCGTCACCAGCAGTTCCCTGGATAGGGACTCAGACTCCGGGGGTACACGTATTGCCTCGATGGGGCTAATAAAAAAACATCATTCCTGCACTCCGTCATGATAACATTATGTCGAATCTCTATGGAGGATGTTTTGCATCTATTGCCTGTGGATTTCATACTCTCCCATTTCTTTCTCGCGGTTTTTAAACAACTTGAATTGGCAATCCCCTAACCTTGAGAAATTCTAAGATCTGTTGACCTAAGCAAGTGCCGTGTAATCGAGCCTACTAAGCTGCTGCGAAGTGATTCAACCCGTTGGCTTGGATTTCTAAGATTGCTCAATCTAGTAAAGAAATTGACAACCGCTCTGGCGCGTGTGCCACCATTATACCTTGGCTATTATTTATGTTCAACGACAATAGAATCGTCGGTGGCATGAGACTCGTCTTATGTACGGCCATTTTCTTCGATAAGTAATTCTCCTCCCATCGCTCGCGGCCTATGGATACTTGAACGAGGATAGGCAGGGTCATTAAGCACGATCGTTCAACCCAAGGGCGGAAAATGCTCTAAGAATCTAACTCGCTACTCTGTGCACATCTAGTGCTGCAAGAAGTACATTAGATTACCCATTAATAAAAAAAAGGTATGAGTGAGAAGTCATATATTAGTATTATTCAATGAACTAGGGATCCATGTCAGGTCGCCCACTTGGAGTAAAGCAGCAAGTAAGAAAGAAAGGTAAAGATCAGCAATTACATGCGAATTGACTTGATAGCGTATAGTTTTGACGGGGTATATTTTTTATTTGAAGAAAATATTGGTTTTGTCTGATTAATCAATCCCATCTCGCGCCGTACACGACGAATTATTCATCAACCGGCCGGATCTCATTCTGTTCTGCGATCCATAGCACGTCAAAGTTGCCCTTCCTCCCTTATCGAACACTGGGTTACAGAGACGCGTTTCCTCTGTCTTCCATTCAATATACAATGAATACATGCCGTGCTTCACCCCTGCCATATCTCTTTCCCAGCCCCATTCCCAAACAAATTAGGCTTCTTCCTCTAGTATCAAAGATATGGCCACAGGGAAGTCTTGCCCCTGTCCTCGTCCGTCTGCTTCCATTTGGTCGTCGCGGGTGTAAACCCCACTAGCACAGTCGCTGCCTTTGCCAGCATTCAATGCCGGATTGTACAGTGTACCCGAGCAATTATTAAATTTTGCCCTTGGCGCGAAATGCTGGTATGCATTCCTCAGTTGGGGGGTATAAAACTACCTCTCCCCCATATTGAATGCCTGGCCAAGCTGCCAAGTCAACAGAAGGCCGCAAATCCCATTGCTTGTCTATGCCCACAATTAATAAAACACCATGCGCCCTCGTCCGCAATATGGCCACCAAAATTCCACAATGATCGTTGCCTCCAGATATAGAAGTATAATTTTTAAGATATAGACAAGTGAAAGAAACGCTGAAGTGCGAGCAAAGCAATATTACAGCCGCGAGCTCTAAAGTGGGTCATCAGAACTTGTTCATGCCCAGTGGGTCCATCCCAGGTGGAGGAGGCTGTGGGGGGGCATATGTAGATGCTGAATCCCAGGACTGGACTGGCTGCTGTGACCGCCCTTGTGGAGGCTTGGGTGAGCTGAATGAGCGCGATGGCGACTTATATCGTGCTTCGCGCCCAAAATAGTCAGGGGTTTCGCGACCTTTTCCGGGTATGGGTGATTTGGCAGTGGGCGATACTGGGGTCATGTCTGGAGTCGCAAAGGCTTCGGGCGTCTTGGTGACGTCTCGCTCGCGGCTTAGCATTTCATATGTGTTCGGGTCTTTCTGTTGTCGAACGTCGACACTCACGAACTCGTTGGTGGGCTTAATTAATGATTTAATTAGGTCATACCAGCCTGTGAGCATTGAGAGCCGGCCAAGGAAGATTAGTAGCCAGATGCCGTTCAACTAAGATTTGTTAGTATTTATGACGATATATCATTTGCAGAATGACCTACCGATAGTAACACAAGCACCGACATGACGGTAGCTTCATTAACCATGAGGCTGCTCCCAAGATCCAGGCACTTGTTCTTCTGTCCCTTTGTGGCGATCAGACATGCCAACCAATCTTGGGCCTTGGTTGGGTTTTCCTTAAGGTTCGTCTGGATGTCGTCCATGAACACGAACACAACTGCAAAGAAGACCACGTCGGCGATAATCACTAGTACAATTGCGATTCCTCTCCATTGAAGCTCAATGACCCTTCGAACCCTTCGATATGCCTGGCGTGGGGAGAGCGTTCCTCGGACGCTGTTGGAATACGATGGCAAGTCGGAGGTGCCCGTTGTGCTCGAGTTGTCGACAAGTGACGCCAGGTAGACTTTGATACAATATCCGAAGGTGGCAAACTGAATGACGACGGTGATGGCCGAGAAGACGAGCAGCGGGATCCACAGATCGGCCAAACTGTGCTTGTGGTTGATGTGGCAGGTGTTTCCGAATCTGAATGATACACCGCTGAAAACCATAGCGCATGCCAACCCAATTGCGGGTATCCCCCATCCAGCAGCCAGCGCACCCCACATGAACGTCTTCCCAATAACCAGCTGCCAGCAGATCTGGAGATGCAGCGCAACCGCTCGCAAGAATACCCACATCAAACCGGCCCAGCCCCCAGCAATCACCAAAGCCCCGGATAATGCGCACGGCACGTTGGTTGTCATGTCATTGGGGGTAATCGCGTTGAAACATTGCTCCGGCCGCGCGCCGAGCGGGATAATAAATCCAAGCTGTACCAACGTAAGCAGAAATTCAGAAGCAGGGGCAAAGGGTTTGAAAGCCATACCTCCATGAGCACTACCGCCAGAACCAGACAAATACTGAGGTAATGACGGTGGGTTTTGTTTACTGGTAAGAACACAAAAGAAGCCAGCATGAAGACCATGCCAACCAACCCGACCACGTTAATCCAACCGGTTGATCTAGTGATGGCATCGAAGTGATCCGGGTAGAGCCATTCTGCCTGTGGGCAGGGCAGACAGCATGTTGGACCTAGTACGTCCGAACAGAACCTCCCCTCTAGATCTACATGCTGAGTTAGCATCAACACGGCCATGACGGAACGAGAATCAAGAACATACTACCACCAGTTAACGGAAATTGGTTTGCTTCGAGGAAAGGCGGTAGACATCTTCCCTGGCCTGGTGCACGTGTGGCGTTCGATGACATGGCGCCCAGCGATCTTCACGCCTAGCAAGACGATTGCCGGTGCTGGAGAGATTGATAGCCTTGAGGGCAAAAGGGAAATATCCTGCTATTCGAGTATCGGCTCTCGACGACAGCGAGGGAGGTTTGAGTTTCCAAACACCGCTGGACGGTAGGTAGCTTTATCCTATTCCCCACAACCGGAACTTGTTACACAGGGTAACGGAGACCAGAGATCCGGGGCAGGTCTACTGAGACAGCGGGACGTCCAGTAACCGATTGTCTCACGGGCCGGACGTTCGATGACATGAGCGGGTGAGACTTGTGGGGTTGATATGAGAGTGAGAGAGTTGCCAAAGAGGGAGAAAGCCAGAGGTGCGGGGGGCAGATGGGGAGATATAATAAATGAGAGACCAGGACTCGGAAGGGAAGATATGGGGAGGCGGATTGGAGCCCACAATTGTAGTCCGGCGCCAGTAGATAGAGCGATTGATTGCATAGCAGATATTACTGGGGAAAGCCACAAGAGATGAACATTATTGCATGAAAGAGACCAAGACCAACCCGCAACTTTGGGGAGAGGGACTAGGGGGGGGGGGGGGGGTTGGCCAAGTGGGCAGGGCGAGGCCTGCTCCTGGCTGCAGAGAATGCAGAGGGGTTGAGCAGACTCGACAGAGGGCCAGAGGCAGAGCCAAGCAGGTGGGCCAGTGCCAACCCATGTGGATATCCAGGGCCGTACAGCGTATATACTCCGAAGGTACTGGCACTGACCAGCGTCCGGAGAGTAAAAGTTGGAGGAGGACAGGCGCGCTCCGCCTTTTCGACCCAGCGCGTCCGCACGTTACGGGCGTGTTACCACTGGGTGTTAGTGCGTTTGGGCGAGGTTAGTGGGTTGGCGTGGTCTAGCGGTTCCGTGGGCTCGTCCTCCGATATGGCCACGGTGGGCCGATGGTTTCGATTGGGAGGGTTCCTGGGGCTTTTCATGGCCTCATGCTCAGCCAGAGCCCGTAGGCGGAGGGCAAAGACGTCGTAAGGGGCATGATTCTTCGGGCGTATCCAAGCAGATCTCGCGTAGAGGGCGGCGGTACCCAGGACGCCCGCAAGGAACATCGGGGGGGCGACCACAGCAGTGGACCAGAGGCGACCTGTCTTCGGGCCGGGGACCTGAGGGGAGAGAGGGCTCCAAGGCTGCTCCAGGGGCTGTTGGGGCTGTTGGAACTTGGAGGGGCTCCAGACGCTGGGCTCGTCAGTACTGTACTTCGTAGCAGTACGGAGTATGTAGTAGTGTTGTCCTCACTACAGAGTGCTGCTGCGACAGCGCCTGTAGCGTGTGGCCCCAGGGGAGTCCAGTCAGGGGCTTGCGAGGCAGGGCCCAGGGCCCAGGGCTGATTGGGGATCAGGACCGCAGGGAAGTCGGTCGGGGGGGGTGGAGGGGGGAGGGAGGCCGGCGGCGATCCATCCAGGCCCTGAGGCGGAGAAGCCCTGAAGCAGACAGCGGCCGAGCCGCTAGCCACCCCTTTGAGCGTGTGGCCAGCAGGCGGGAGGCAGGTAGGTTAGGTGCTCCGTTAGTGCGAGAGCGGTGATGGCGATAGTGATAGTGGTAGTGGTAGTGGTAGTGGTAATGAGAGTGGTAGCGTGAGTGAGTGAGTGAGTGAACCTACTCCGCAATTATTATTCTTGCTCGTAGGCGAAGTGCCCCGGACGACCCAACAGTGCCAGGCCAGCTGGTCGAAGGAACGGGGACTCGGGGACTCGGAGGGTAGAATGGAATCTGAATGATACCGTACAAAGTACCTACGTACAGTAGCTAGTACGTAGCCAGTACGTAGTGCTTCGTCCTTCGTAAGGCACCCATTGAAAAGTGCTCCTATCAATGCCCTCCTGCACATGACGCTGCCTGCTCCTCCATCTGCGGTGCTCCCGTGACTGTATGCTGCCGCTACTCAGCTTACTCCCTCCTACCTACCTGCTCCGTACGTATGTACAGTACCGACGAGTACTGTACGACCTCGGCCAGGCCCCAGGGGCAGAACTATGTCCAGCATATAATAAGTGCTGCGCAGGTACAACCGTACAAGGTGCAGGTGTAGGTGCAGGTGCAGGTGCAGGTGCAGGTGCAGGCTGCAGACGCAGGTTGCAGCTCTCTGGTGGGCGCCGGTTCTGCTGACTCTGTGAAAGTCGGGCCACTCGCTGCCTGAGCCAATGGCGACGGGGGGCACTGCCACTTGCTCCAGTAACCAGTCGTCGCCAGGGCCTGAACTTCCTGAAGAGCAGCTGGACTGGGGACTGGAGAGGAAGAGAGGACGACTGGGTACGAGGTACTGCCCACTGGTCAGCACCGACAAGTACGGTACTGTACAGTACGAGTACCTACGTACAGCCCAGTGCTTCCATACGTCCAGCACGGTGGCCACATTCCGTCGGAGCGGCTGAGCTCCAGAGCCAGAACCGTACCGAGTCCAGTCCTCTGTAATAGCACCATGGTGCTCCCAAGGAAAAGAGGCCGGTACTGCTCCGTACGAGGGACGAAGTACCAAGTGCTGCGTACCTCCTTTCGTGCTCTCCGGAGTATTGGTTCTTACGCTGACCAGCTCCAGGAGACTAAGGTAGGTAACTACCATTGGGGGAGTCCAACACCCTCTTCCGCACCATGGTCAATTAGCCTACTAGTACCAACGTACGCTACGGCTACTCCCCATTCGTCCTATGGTCCGAAAGTACATGAACGGTACATGTACCTAAGGTATGTAATAATACGGAGTAATATGTCCAGAGTAATAATAGTACACCGTCAGGAATCCGGAGAAGCTTACTGTTCCTGCTCGGTTCGTGAGACGGAAGGGGATCTTTCTCGCCTCGCACGGAACTTGCAGTCCCCAGCGACTGCCGCCAAGCGGCGTGGTATGTACAGGTTTAGGTACAGGTAGAGTACGACTCTAGGTTCTCGATCTTGGGTGTGTCGCAACCGTTGTAAGGCTGAGATCTGCCTGAATACCCGTCCCACCGTGCCGAGCATCGCGTTACGACCCCTATACGGAGATTAGAGCACCAGAGCAGGCATGCAAGACTTTTGTTGGGAGACTTGGGGGGCCTTGGGGACCTTGGGGACCGGGACTTGTTCGGTCGGTGTGGACCTGACTGATTTCCATCACAAAAATAAACAAGAACGGACAACGACGAATAATAAACAACCACCAACGTGGATATACGAGTAGCACCACACTGCGCTTTGCAACTCGCTATGGCTCGCAACTGTATCAGGCCTGCCGTTAAGGGTACCGCGCTGGCCCTTTCCAGCTTCAACGACGCAGCCAATGGTCGGCCGTAGGACCACTTACGTACTGAGCACTGTCCGCGCTCTTTTGATACTATTGGGATGATGAGATGAGAACCCCTACGTCCTCTGTCCTCCGTGGCTGGCACTTGGTGCGGCGGGAGCGGGAGGCCCGTAGGCGGGTGGGCGCTTCGCCTCGATTAATGACGAGCAGCAGAGCCCGGGACTCGAGTCAGCGCACCGCAACGCTTTCACCTGGACAGCACCGGCCGCCTTCACCTCACGCGCCCACCACCAAACGCCGCGCCGCACGCTTCCATTGGCCTTGCGGCCAACCTCTCATCGTCACGAGCAGCCAAATGACGGTCCTACTGGACGAAAGCCCTTCAGCGTGGCACATCTCACGGTCGTACCGCACCTCGAGCGAATCGATGGGACCTGGGGGGGCAAGGCTGGATGGACTGGATGGGCTGTGTCTGCGACCTCGACCGCGGCCTCAGGTCCCTCAACCTCGGGCTTGACCTACGGCTGTGATTCTGCCTCGCGAATTGTTGTCCCAACGACTCACGCCTTCCAGCTGCCTGCCTTATTGCCAATATAGTTTATATTATTATATTATATCTTATCTTATTTAATTATCCTTTGTATTGCATGCGCGTATTTCTCTCGCGCCCCGCGTTGGGATTGTTACACAGGATGTTCCGCCAACACCAACACCAACACCACTACCATCATCCTCGGCATCGCTATCGTCCGCATGTCATCATCATGTCATGTCATGTCATCGTGTTTATTATTGGGCCTCCTTCTAGGAGCACTCATCCAGCTCGGTGACCAGAGTAGAATGAAGTCTGCCTCGACAACGAGGCAGGCCGTGACCATTGGTGACTGGAGATGGATACGTGCCCGCACATATACTCGTGGGGATGACTCTCGTCATTCCGGTGGTAAGCATCCAAGCCTCCTCCACCGGATTCGCCAGACGGTAATCAATAGTCGCCAATAGTCTCAAGCTTGCAATTCAGCACGGCCCATGGCGCCGTGGTTTGGCCTTCTCGACGCTGGCTGGATTGCGATGCGCTTGTGGAGGCCTATCAGAGAGGTACCTAGGTAGTCAATCTCCAGACACCGCCCAATAATGCGTTCGGTTGCCCGCGTCTCGATACTCGTACTATTATTAATTGGCGGCGTGGCTCTCAACAACAATATTTTGTGCAGTGCTCATCAGACGGTGGGAGTTCTAACCGGGCATTTGGCATTGCTCATATCGTCTCGCGTTATGCCCATCGAATTCAACTCATATTAAGGTTCTTCGCCCTCCGTATATTGGTTTTGGAACGCCCTCGGAGAATTCGGGATATCCAAGTCAACGGTGGCTTGCCCATCGATTGCGTCTTCGCCAATCTGGATTGGATTCTGCTGTGCCTTCGATCGTGCACATGAAACGTAAAATGCCCCGGATATGCGCACCCCACCTTCTGCCGCATTGACCCCCCAGTTGGACGCCCAATACGGCCAATGGCAGGCATGCGAGAGCCTCAACTTGATACGAGGTGAAGTGCAAATGGAATGCTGAATTTTAACCAAACCTAATAGAATGCTTTTTACTTCGTATGCATCGACTCTCGCCATCCACCAAGCCCGCATCCCCTGCATTCCACTCCCCGAAAATCGACTTGAATTCTCAGCAATTCAGACCAGCCCTGCACCCGTCGCTTCGAGAAAATTTGGCTTTTCTGGCGCTAGAAACCGTCCCGAACACCCGGATAGTTCGAAGCCATCGGCAGTCGTCAACCATAAATGGGATGCAAAGGAATGGCTTCGCCAATGTTAGGTCGCCGTCGCTACACTGAGACAACTAGTTACAAGTATCAAGTTTGACCTTCTTCCAACTTCCTTGTCAAGACAATGCTACCGTGCTAATAAATGCGGCCTAGCTACAATATTATATCCTTTTCTATTACATTAGCGCTTGATCATGGCCTGAAAGGGGTTGTCTAGGCCGAGAGAAGTCGAGATTCTCCCAGATCTACAAATTTCCGGAGCATGAGGTCAGAGCATATCGACAACCCCTGAGATCCCTCCAAACCCCCATCACATTGCACCAGGTATGGCATTTGCCGTCTCTTATTTTCCCGTAGGATATGACGCCTGGTGCTATGAGAGGCCGTCGGTCCCAAGCTACTCGGTATGCTATTGCAACACAATTTCGTCCCGGAAAAATAAAACTGTCATCACCACTGTCATAGAGTTTCCTAGAATCAAGCGGTATCAATCGATCCGTTTTTTAAAGGCTCGAGCATACTTTAAGGAACATGAATCTCAATTGGGCTCGTTCGCCCGGCGGGACGCCACAATATAGCCATGGAAAGTCGTAGTCGTCTGAATAATCCTGGCGGGCAGGACCAGGAGGGTAGGTTACCCGGGGAAACGACCTGTTGCCGGCAAACCTCCACCGTCACAACAACCATGATGTTCAGCAAGTAATAGTGATCTACCAAGCTCGATCCTCTTTGTCAAACGAGGGCAGGACGTTGCGCTTCCGCTCATCAACCTAAGCGACCGGCAAGCCACGGGATTTTGGTGCCGGTATTAGGGCTTCTTCATCCTGATCTACTCTGCATGGCTACTCCAGAGGAGCAGCTACATGTACTATACCAAATATTCCAGAACAGTGTCAGATCTGCCAGGAGCTACTCCGTATTTTGTACGAAGTAGTGAGTATCATCTTCGATGTTCGCCAGCTCCACCTATGCAGTCAGCCGGCAACTGCAACTGCAACGGTAACTGCAACTCTCGCGATAACTAGGCAACGGCAGTTGGGTTGAAGCCAACACGACCCAGTCAGTGGTTTTACAGGGGCGAAGCCATCAATGCTCCGTACAACTAGGGAAATTGTTCCGGTCCGCCATCTCCTTGCAACTAAACCTAGCGACCTGGCAACATGGCGACATTATTGTCCCGAAAACTTTTGTTGAGGCTCGCTGTCGGTCCAGCGCTATACGGAGTATGGTGCGACACAAGTCCCCGTCGAGAATTTGTGTTTCTACGGTGTAACCACGGGTCCTGGCGGCCATCTGTTCCGGCGACAAGCACCTGAAGGGCCTCGATATCCTATTTGGTCGTCGGTACGAGTGTGCAACGGTTAAAGAGGCGTCAGCATGCAGGTACTTGCAAGGTACTCACCCAACCGCGCAACACCACACACGGCTGACCCCGGGGCCTTGGTTGAGTTTTTTGGACTTCGAAGGGCCGTGAATCTTTAAATCCTTTAGAAGGCTTGGGCTGCAGTATATGTGTGTCAAGTGCACCGTGGCATCAACGGCATCAGGTACGACAACGCTCTGCCGTGCGTCTGATTCTCCTTGAAAGGCCCTATTTGCAGTGGAGAGGCTTCGGGGGCGGCCATTTCATGCTCCACTCATTCCGTCTCATCGTTCAAGTTGAGCCCGGAGCGTGCGACTCATATGGTAGTGCCGAGCCGTGTGGGCCCAAGAATAATAAATAACTCCCAAGCACGCGGACTCCGTTTATTTGTGACGGTCGAGCAGCAAAACTTACTATTATTGTCCCGTCCAGTACTGCTGCGGCAGGAGATGGGTGGATATTCATATTTTGCCGGTGACATGGGCGTGCATGCCGCATGGCATCCAATATTAATCGCTCGTGTGTCATTTTGCTATCATTTTGCGTCGTACAAAGCGCTCACTGGCAAGTCACTGGCAAGCGAGGTAATTCTTCCCTTCCCATGATACTGTAGGATAGGTGCCAGGCTGTCGTTTCCTCGGTTTCGTCATTCATTTTTGATATTTCGTCTCGATTTCTGCTGGCTTGGAGATCCCCTTTTCTTGCATAATCATGTAATGCACATTCCAGACGCGCATTACTCCGGCACATCGCCACTGAACCACTTGCCACTACACAATGCACACACGGAGCGGCCCTCCGTGTTGGTATTGTTGGTATTGATGCATCTCCCGAATCTGCTTGGCCTAACACTGGGCAACTGGTCTAGACTCCAAAACTATCTCAAGTGCGTACGCCATCCGGCCCCGCAGTTCGCCCAAACGTCTACTGCCCACTACTCCGTATTACTACCCAAAACTGTTACTGTACATGTACCTCTGAATCTGGCATGCCGACAAAAAGTCCGGCTTGCATCATCGTGTTTCAGGATACATAGCTAGCCGAGGGGGGTCGTGTGAGACGTTTTCTGCGGCTGGTCGAGTACATCATCGAGTAGCGAGCGGTATTGTACTTCGTACTTCTAACTAAGGTTTTTGATGGATGGTACACGTGGTTCGGCTTCTAGAAGCTCCCGATGCGGTGGAAATGGAAGCTCTTGGG